TTTCGATTTTTCCAGGAGTTTTCTCATCAAATGAGAAAAACCGGAGAAAAACAGAGACAAAACAGGAAAATATACGAAATGTAGGTGTACCTACATAATATACTACTACCTACTAATATATTAGTTTAAAAATATTTCGGCCTTTATTTTCCTGTGAATAACTTTTCTACAAGCAATTATACTCCGATTTATCTAGGTACCTAGCGCTACCTAGTGTACATTATATTTGCAGAACAGTACATGGCTATAACTAGATAAAAAAAATAATATAAACTACCTATCTGTAGTCGTCAACGTGGTGTACACTAATTACTAATATTGTATTTACTTTTAAACAATTGTAAGTTTTGTTTTTTTGATACCAAAAATGTATGGTGTCTTTAAATATTTGTTTAGAAAACTCCGAAAAAAAAAACATTTAAAGTGTTCTCAATGATATAGAAAAAACAGTGTCATTGGGATGAAATTTGTGCTGAAATAAAACTTTCTGAAATTGTTATTGAAAAATTCTTTGAATATACAGATTGCTGTTTTATTTTACAATATCAAAATTAATCTGAATTTATTATCATAAAATACCATGAGTTTGTTGACTAAGATGTATTTTAAAATATCAAGAGTTATCAGAAATATGTATTAGATAATTTCAAAGTTTTGTATATTAGGTATACATATCAGAATTTTATAAAATATTTGATGATTTTATAAGAAAATTTAACAAAAAAAACTTACCAAGCCTTTTCAAAAATGGTTTGAACATAACAATTTTAAGACGATACGATTTTTAGTTTATACGCCTTCAAGAGCTCAATTTAACAAGATGATATCACGAAAGAAACTTTATCTGATCTTAATACAATTTTTGACATAGTCTTTCCTATTGATACAATATATTTCGGATTTTCTAATCTATAATATAGGTAATATTTGAATTTTTACAATAAGGGGTTATCAAAATATAAAACTGAAATTTGTTGTGGCAGACACCATTTATTTATGACAAACGGAAATGGTAATGTTCCGACATTATGTAGGCATTGTACGTTAGAAAGCGACGAAAAATAAATGACAGATATAAGAACGGAAAAATAACACGAAAATCGTCCGTTTTATAGTTTACGCGGACAACGGTTTAGGGACTTGGATAAAGCGCCCTGCACGACGCAGATTAATTATTGTCGCGAAATTAATTATTTATTTGCTATCTGGGGGGAGGGGGGGGGGCGTTGTCCAATAACACAATAGTAGGTGTATTTTATACACCAATATACTCGCGACTCTCGAGGGGGACATTATTGCAGTTGAATTTGTAGTACAACAATATGAAGATTACCGTGAAAATAATGCGCGATCGTTAATTTGTCTATCTCTGATGCAGTAAATAAAATAGAGGTGGGGTTATATAATTACTATAGTGTGGACACGAGCAAATAACAGAACGAGTAGTGAAATTTTAACAGTTTCGTCGCCGGACTCGGATGGATACCTAATTATTTTCAACGGTATGCGTGTACTAATATGATTATAAAAAAAAAAAAGTTGATACTCGTTACAGATAGGCCACTGTGTTAGGCGGACGGTTGTGAAGATAGGATGTGCAGTGGAATTATTGTGAGCGAAAAAACGACTATGACTTATGGATAATGTTTACGCTAATACTTAGTCGTGTGCGTTTTCATCGTATAGCCACGATAACCTAGGAATCGATAAAAATACAATTTATCTGTACCGACATTTGTTGTAAGTATTTTAAATTTCATAGAAAAACTGTTCGGAATCGAGACATTTTTTTTTTTTTAAATACAGTATTGACGGGTTAAAATTTCCCGTCATTAGAGCTCATTATGAGGTACTCCATAGAAAAAAAAAAAATTGATGCGTTCGTCTAAACTAAAAAGTGTTTTCAAAATAACCATAAAAAGCGAATTTCTGGAAAAAGTATTGGGGGGGAGGGGGATTTTCGAAAAATGTTTCAAATAATACCTACTGATAAATACCATCGAGTACCTTAAAGGTATATGACATGAGCGTTTTCCCTGGGAAAAATCACATCTTAATAAAGGCAATAGCGCCATCGATCCACGCCGAATTTAAAACACGTATACGTAATCGTTCCGATTAATTATAGCGTTTTAAATAATATTCGAAATTATACGTTTGCCGTTGTTTTTTTTTTTTTTTATTCAGGACGATAATAATCCGAACGAAAAATATCCGGAAGAAGAAGCGCACGTTCGTGATGCAAGAACAAACCGAACGAGTTACTCAGAGTTTTAACGACACTTCCGCGCGTGCAGTCGACAACCATGCCGAGTGCTATCCGATATAACGATTACGATGCAGTCAGATGTGACCACAAAAAAATAAAAAAAGTTGTTGAATAGTAAATTGTTCGCATATTACTGCTCCTTTGTTCGTATAACGGTATTATTTTGTATCTTCCCATCGCGGTACATTGTTCGTTTCACGAGTAGATTTTTTTTATTTTTTTAGATTCCGAACAAATATTGGAGTGATAAAATCGCCGTGATAAAATTTCCTAAATCATCGGACAACTTTTTTTTTTTTTAAATCTTTTTACAATGGCACTTTATTTTTTTTTTTTTATACGCTATAGACCACTTTTATCCTAGAATACTTGCTCCAATGTATATAATTTTCTCATTAGTTTTCATAATAATCGGAAAAAAAACGTAGGAAAAACGTACAATTTCACGATATCATTAATTTACATTAATACAAAAAACGTTTTTTATTAGGAAAAATGCTTTAATCGAAAAATGACAAGAAACATTTTTTGTTTTATTGTACATCTGTTTCTTATGGCGCAAGTCGTTTTTTGATTTTATAATGATTCGGAAAAACCAAAATAAGACGGAAGTTGTTGTAATACAGTTAAAATATTTGTAGTGACTTGAAAAATGAACAGAATGCTCATATTTCGTTGTTAAAATTGCACCAGTGCATATTGCATAAAAAAAATTACGGCACTTCAAATTATGTATTACCAAACTGCGCTCGGAATCGTCTTTCGTCAGCAATGGTTTATCGTTGCTTACAGATAAAAATGAAACAACCTTATGTATCCACCATCCCAACTACCCGTCTACAACAAAACCAAATAAAAACTAATAACAAGACTCGAACATGTCACATGTCTACACCTATTATTAGTTCAAAAGTCAGTCAAAACGATTTTAAAATTTGACTGCGTCTAGAAAAGGGTAATATAGGTAAGTGTTCCGTGGAAATTGTAGTTCTCTGCGCAGTGGCGTATTTAGAATAAATGCGCCCCGGAGCAAAACTATTCGAGGCCCCACAAAATATTTCACCCACTAATCTTTACCACAGACCTACCCTCTCCACTCTCATTTATTGATAAATGTTTCCCTTGCTTGTTTTAAATAACATTTTAAAATGTATATCCTAGGATTTAACAATTTACAATTATTTCAAAGTATTTTATATTCAAATAAAAATCGTACCAAATAATGGCATAAGTAAATTGTATAGGTTATTTGTCGTTTCACTCATGTTGCATTCAACTCAAAATCATTTGATACGATAATCTGTGCTCGCATGTTACTTATTACTTGGGGGGGTGCAAAGTGTAGATAACACGTGTAGAAAAAAGTTTATACAAAAGGCGACCGTTCTCGACATAAAATCACTCATACACCTAGTTTACATTCAGCCCACTTCCGTGGCAGTGAGCAGAGATGTGAGCATAAAAATGGGCAGCGCGAGTATGTACACACGTCACTCGGGCTGATCATGCTCCTCGCACTGACGCTGCCCGACGCTCTCGTCAAGAGCGGTAAACTGAGCAGCGCGAGCAGCAACATAACCGGCAATGCGATCAATCCGGTCAATAACTGCTCGCGCTGCTATAATTACCAGGGCAATGTAAACACTCATTGCCGTCGACGCTGTCACAGAAGTATTTTGAGAAGTAAACGCGGCAGCGCGAATAGCAATGGCAGCGGCTGAATGTAAACTAGGTAATAGTCCTTTTACACAACGGCGCTTACAACAATTACCTATAAGTTGAAAAAATATAATCATAGATCAATCTATAAAATACAATTAAAGAAATCTGTTACAAACATTTGACTTTTTTTGGGTTTATTTTTCCTTTAAAAAATTGTTTAGCGTAGGAAATCTCAACTTTTCCTGATTAAAATTAAGAACACATAACGAAGAATTCAATCTGTGTTCCAGCGTGCTAACTGATAACTTTATTAATTATGCTTCTAAGTGTTGTATATTTTGTGACTTAAAAACAAAAATGAATACACTCAACAAAACTGTCGCCCCTAAATCTGTTAAAATTTTACCGCTGGGATCATCGTCCCCTTCAGAAAAAAAGAAAAATGTTGTTATTCTTATTTTCTTCGTATATATTTGTATTGCAATTCACATTCAATGTACCTATTTACTAATTTGGCCAGTACTATTTTTAAAGATGAAGGATGGACAATGTCAAATGGGAGACGCCTTTCGGGCTCTCAGTACAGAAAGAGAAATGAAGAAGCCAATTTAAAAAAGACAATCTGATTCTCTTTAAAAGTTTTTCTAGTGTCCCCTTAAAAATATAGTTAAACAGTCTAATATTATTCACTAACAAGGTAATATAATTTGAACAAAATGGTTCTAATAATTAATCATACATTTAGCTACAGACACCGCAATTGGCGCAACTCTCCAACAATTTATCAATAATGAGTGGGAGCCCTTCGACTTCTTTTCCAAGAACTTCTCAGTGAGTAAATCAAAATATAGAACTTTTATGTGAACTCTTTGCTATCTACCTTGCTGTTAAGTATTTTCGAAATATGGTGAAAGCACCTGATTTAATCATATTCACCAATTACAAGCCCTTCACTGTAATCCCTCATAGACTATGTCTGCTAAAATATCAAATATAATACTTAGGTTAGTTTTAAACAGGTATATTTGTAAAATATATATTTATAAGATAGGTAGGGTAGGTACTTAAGATGGAGCTTACCACAGGTAAGTAATATTATTATACTGAACACAACAGACAGTACAGATCGCTTGGCACACACTTTACCATCATAATATTATAATATATCTATTATTATAGATATTATTATTATACACAATACACTACAACTATTAGTATTAAATGTATACAGGTCATTCAAATTTTTCATAAAATACTATTTTTTTTTTTTTTAATGGTTTGTAAAAAATTTTAAAATCATATATTCTAAAATGCTACATTTCCTTATTTTTGGGGGTGAAACTTCTACCTACTTTTGATTTTTAAATGGCAAACTATATTAAAAATTCAATAAATAAATGAAGTATTAGTTAAAATGTATTTCAGTGTTAAAATTATTGATTTCCATCAAAGAAAATGTAGAGATACTCCACTTTAAAGTTTGGTAAGAGGAGAGAGAGTAGTAAAGTACTATTAAAATGTTGTACATTGTACCTCCATTCAAATGATGTTCCTACTACTCTCCTCCTACCCAAACTTTAAAGTGGAATATCTCTACATTTTCTTTGATGGAAGTCAATAATTTTAACTAATACTTCATTTATTTATGGAATTTTTATTACAGGTTATTATTTTAAAATCAAATGTAGTTAGTAAAATAAGGATGTCAAAAATAAGGTCAATATAACGGTTAAAAAAATATGATTCCAAAAAGATTTTACATTAAATCATTTTTTTTAAGTATTTCATAGCAAATTTAACTGTATAATAAAATTTGAATGACTTTATAGTTTTAAATTTTAAATGAATTGAACACAAATTAACATAAATTGGTTTATGAATACATTAAGTTTAAAAAATAAATAAGCAGGTGCTCAGCATGCTATTTTAAGTATTATTTAATTATGAATTCTATAAATATAATTTATTTAATTTAACATACATAATCTACATAATCTATGGCAGTGTGTTAAAAACTGCCAACTAACAAATATATATATATATATATATATATACGCACATTTACAATGTAAAGTTCATTTAAATATCTGCATTATAAATTATACAATATAATAATTATCCAAAATAAGTTTTAATTTTTATGCTAATAATTAATGAAAACAATTATATTTAATCATAAATTTAAACAATATAGTATAAATCGTTCTGTATTATAAAAAGTTATTTAATACCATTATTATATACCAATATAAATTAAATCAGATTTCTTCAAATATAGATTAATAATTTAAATTAAAATATAATTGATAAGAGTATGGTTAATATATGCTAAATAAACAACATCTTTCACATGGATATCATCAGACCCTAAGGACAGTGAATGCCCACCTCCTAGTAGGATAGAGGTAGTAAATCAATTAAAGAGACTAAAAAACAATAAAACACTGGGAGAAGATGGAATCCAGGGAGAAATTCTAAAAAATCTGGATGAGGTAGCAATAAATAGAATACATGATATCATCGAAAATTTATGGTCTGAGGAACAACTACCCAAAGACTGGAGTACAGCGTTGAGCCAGCACAAGTAATTTTAATGTGGAAATCGAAAAAATAATAAACAATATTCAACAACAAAAATCACATTAAGCCAATTAACTGCAAATGAAAGGCAATAAAGGAAACCTTAAAAGTGGTTACAGATACGACGATAGGGAAACAAAAAAAAGTGAAGAAACCTTGGTTCAACACTTCTTGAAGGAGGCACTTAACAGAAGGAAAGAAGCTAGACAATGGATCAATGACCCCACCAATAGAAAGAAGGAATCTACGTTTAAATAACGCCAAAAAGAGGCGAGTAATATATTTAGATTCGAAAAACGTAAATTCACGAAAGATATACTGTGGGAAGCCGAGACCAACCATAGAGTTAACAAAACTCGTGAGCTGTATCGGAAGATTAACGCAATTAGAGGTAGGTACAAAAAACATGAAAGATTCTTAAAAAATGAGGATGGCTCTATAATTACGGAACAAGACAAACAAGATTCTAGAAAACTGGAGAGTATTTTGACCAACTGCTTAACTGTGAGAACCCTCCTGAATCTTTCACATGGATATCATCAGACCCTAACGACAGTGAATGCCCACCTCCTAGTAGGATAGAAGTAGTAAATCAATTAAGGAGACTAAAAAACAATAAAACACCGGGAGAAGATGGAATCCAGGGAGAAATTCTAAAAAATCTGGATGAGTTAGCAATAAATAGAATACATGATATCATCGAAAATTTATGGTCTGAGGAACAACTACCCAAAGATTTGGGTACAGCATTGATCTGTCCCATTTATAAAAAAGGAGACCCACAAAAATGTAGTAACTACAAAGGTATTGCTTTATTAGATACGGCATATTAAGTCTTATAATGTCTACTTGATAGAATAGTACTCAAGGCCGAAAATATAATAGGTGACTACCAGGATGGGTTTAGGACCAATAGATCCACAACTGACCAAATGTTCATTCTAAGACAAATCATCCAAAAACTTTTGGAATTTGACAAGGAGGTACACGTGTTATTTGAGAATTTCAGAAAAGCTTATACATACTCTATACATAGAGAAAGTCTTTTAAACATTTTCAAATTCCCCAGAAAAATTATTAATCTCATTACAGCCAGTCTCAATCATACAGATATACAGGTCAAGATATGTAACGTAACATCGCAGCCAACTAGAGTAACGACAGGACTTCGGCAAGGGAATGCTTTGTCTCCAGTGCTGTTTAATTTAGTACTGGAGAGGGTAATACGTGAGATGAACATTTCGGAGGGAGTTATATTAAGACAGATTAGAATTGGAATGCNTTTGGAATTTGACAAGGAGGTACACGTGTTATTTGTGGATTTCAGAAAAGCTTATGACTCTATACATAGTGAAAGTCTTTTAAACATTCTCAAAGATTTCAAATTCCCCAGAAAAATTATTAATCTCATTGGAGCCAATCTCATTCATACAGATATACAGGTCAAGATAGGTAAGGTAACATAGCAGCCAACTAGAGTAATGACAGGCAAGGGGATGTTTTGTCTCCAATGCTGTTTAATTTAGTACTGGAGAGGGTAATACATGAGATAAACATTTCGGAGGGAGTTATATTAGGACAGATCAGAATTGGAATGCTAGCATATGCGGATGATAAAAACAATCACCCATTCACTGACATTAAACTTTTTTTAAATGTATGTTAGCTATAGCGAATAAAATAAATCCAGAAAAAATATAACTATTTGAAGAAATCAGCCTTTCGACTCGAACATGTGTGAGGTGACCTGAGGAATTAGGAAGTAATATATTTTCACAATTGAAAGATATTATGCCACCACTAGACTGTTTTTATCATCTGAGCTATCGATGAGAGAACAAATATTTTTGATACAACTCAGGTGGCAAAGTTTAGAGTTTTCAGGATGGTCTTAAGGACCAGAACTAAAAAAAAAAAAAAAAAAATTAACAAATCAAAATTAAAATAAAAAATTGTGCATTTAAAAAAAACTTCAAAACATGATGTTTTTTATAATTATATTTTAGTTCTCAACTAAAATATTTATATTATCTATAAATATACTTAAATTTATAGCAAGTAAATGACTAAATTAAGTATAAAATGAAGAATAAAAATAAATAAAACATCTAAAAATTAGTGAATGAAATATAAATTTTAAGTCTGTTTATAAATTTAGTTTTAAGATAAGTTATTGAACCAATTATACTTAATCAAATAGAATAATTGATTAAAACAATATCAGTGTATTAAAAAATATACAAATAATCATCAATGAATTTATTATTATAATTCACCACTCAATGTTTTACGGACATCTTTTAACAATTCTTTTAATTTTTTAAATGTTCCTGTTGCATGAGGTAGGTTTTCATGATCAATCATATCAACCATTCCTTTTGCAAATTGTTCATGGTTTGGTCGATTTGTATATGTAGAAAAACGTTTAAGAACTGGAGTACCTAAAATTTCTGATTTTACCTCACCAAATTTCCTTTTTAAACTTGTAGATGGTGTTTCATTTTCAGTAATTATTATATTAGTCGGACTTGATTGAGATTCATTTATGGATTCATTTATGGATTCATTTATGGATTCATTTATGGATTCTGAAATATCAATACTGCTTTTGATTTCTTCTGAATTATTTTGTTCATCGGTTATTTCATCTGACACTACCAATTCATTGGTTTCATTAGATATAGTCTAAAAAATAAATATACATATACTTTTTTGTATAATTATGACAAAAGAATGATAAAGGTTATTTATTAAACTATAACAATCAACAAAATATTATATTATAATACAGTGGTCTTTTGACATAAGACCCACTTTTTTTTACCATACATTTTTCAAGACTAATGTCAACTTTGTTGTTAGTCATGAAAATTTAAAAAAAAAAGTTTAAATTCCTTAGTGTCTTAGTATGCCATTAAAGAAGTGCTTTTATTACTGAAAAAATAAAAGTATTATTTTTATAAGTAATATTTAAAAAAAAAATACATATATTGTTAAAAAAAAAAAAAAGAAAAAGAATACTGCAATATTTAACCATAGCTGTTTTTATATAACATACTACATCTCAATATTGTACTATACAATCCACATATTATGTTTTGTTTAAAGTTTATTTCTTTTTAGCCTTTAAAATATTGGACATAGTAGAAAACCCCTTTTCATGTAGTTATATTGTTAGAAACATTAATAGAATTTGATTGTTTATTCTAATCAGTGGCCGATTTGGTTCTGCTTCTAGGGGAGGAGAAGGAATATCCTTCTGGTCCAAAAATTATACTTTTAACTAAAATGACTAGATGTCAGTCAGTCAATGTGACCCTTTACTACTTAATGTAATAGCACAACTATCTGCATAGGCCATGATTATAATTTATGAACTACTATACAGATTTCTGAAAGAAATTATTTATAGCTAGTTTGATATCTAGGGAAAGCCATGGCCCCTATGCCCTCTCTAAACACCACGCCTGATTTTTATTGTCTATTAGTATAAGATGGTACAGTTTACTAATAATAAATAATAAATTATTATATCCAATGTCACATCATACCACATAGAATAATTCAGTAGCAAACTGAACAATAATACAGTACAAAAAATGTTTTTTCTAAGTGGAAGTAATAAGTATACATTATTAAAATTATGCATATTTTAATTTTTTTTAATTTTAAATAGAAGACTTATCAACCCTTTTTTAAAGCTTACGTCCATTAAAGACACACCAGTTGAAGACCACTGTTATAATAGAATATATTAATTCTACTATTACTATAAACTATGTAAACAATATAATATTATCTCTGCACAGTCTAGTTATTCGTTATTACATTTAATAATAACAACAAATTCAAATTTCAGGACTCTATGCAGGGATATAGAATGTAGAATGTTTCCAATTGCTATTAGTACACTGTAATCATTCTAATTTGTTTGAATTATATTTGCTCCTCTCTCACACACATTTGGAAAATTCCTCTATCAAATATATTAATTATTATCTATGAGAAATAAATATCAAATTGTAATCATTTATCTTACTGGTACATCTTGTTCAATAGATGTATTGTTTGTATCTATAGAATAGTCCTCATCTTCAGTAATTTCTCCATCTTCTGGTGATGAGGGTGATTTATCAATTGAATTGTCTTCTTCCATAGTTTTCATATCTTCTAAGGGAAAAATATATAAATGAAATTCAATTATTATTAAAATAATAACATATAGGTAAGGGAGAGGTATTTTTTTTAAAAAAAATTATAACTAAAAACTATTTTCAATATGTTAAAATAACACACCAACATTTAAAAATGTGCGATTTAAACTGTAATTAAAAAGGTTGTTATTTGAACATTTTTTTAACAAATGTATAAAGATACAATAATAATCATTATCAATAAAACATTTAACAATAAATCAAAAGCATGTTTTTTTCTTTTTTTTTTTAAATCATGCACTTTTAAGATATACCTAATTTCAGAACTATTTGCAACTAATCATCTTAACTCATTAAAATTATCAAGTCTATTTGTTAATGAGAGAATCAGTATTGTATCATCCTCTATAGTAGTTACATCAGCTGAAGAAATATTATCAGTAATTACCTGATTAATGTTTTTTTTTTTTTTAAAAATCTTGATAATTCCTGAACCAAGAGGCTGTAATTGTGAATATTACTGAATGATATATAACATTGTAGTCATTACTTACACAAAAAAAAAAAAAATAATAAAAGTACAAAGCAGGAAATTGTCTTAGTGCGATTGTTTTCAATGTGTTTTACTACATCGTAAGTTATTTTTTTCTTCACAAAGAAGAAATAATTAATAAATGCTAATTAATATAATTATCAAATTCTTTTAAATTATAAGAGTAGTGAGGAAAAAATTCATTGTTTTGTGAAAATGCACATTATAGAAAAAGCAATACACTATTTCCCAAGCTCCCCTTAGAATCATTTTTCATTAGCAGTGATTAATTTTACATATATATATATATAAATTAAATTCCCCTCTATATTCTGCCATCCTAACTTCCAACCTACAACAGTAGCCACACCCATCTCTGGTATTGGCTCTTTTATTGTTAACAACTTTTCTACTAAAAATTAAGTTCAGGAATGATTTAATGTTAGTAAATTGTCTAGTTAGTGGATATTGATGGTATCCTTTTTTAATTTTACTATGAGTAATAACACATTCTTAATAATTAAAAAAAATGTATTCAAAAACAGTTTCTGTTATTTTGGATTTTTGTTTTTTTCATTTCAGTTAAAAATAATTGTAGAACCTATAATCTACCTCCAATTACTTATATTAAACCTTACTAAAATAGTAAAAACATTCAGACAATTTTTTTAAAACATATACCCATTTTAAATTTTTTTTGTTTTCTGTAGATAATATTGTTTTTGCCTATCAATAATGATTCTAAATTATAACAATAGGTTCAAATTTTGATGAAAAACAAAAATATAGTCAATTAAATTTGTTCAGAATCGTTTTTTATTAGCAATAGAAATTTTACCACCCAATTTATAATATATAGTGATTTCTTTTATCATAGACCAGCAATTTTTTTTAGGGATTTTAAGTGAATTTTCTGTTTTTTTTTTTTAATCATTATGAAATCAGATAAGCTTTATTTTAAAACTATTTTTAATTTTTTACCCCTACTTCATATACCTTAAATAAGTTAGCTTTTGTTTTTTAAATAGGAAGCCCCCTTTTTTTTAACACAAATTTTAATAAAAGCATATTTTTCTAGACATTTTAATATGAATAACACTAATATCAGATTTACTGTTTATAAGTTAAAATCATTTAAAGTTTAGACTAAAGGAGTAGGGAAGGATAATGAATTGCATATCTATAACTACATGGAGTAGGGGTAAATGGTTTTAAAATAAAGCTTAACCAATTTTATGATAAAAAAGAATAAAAATCAAATTCACTTAAAATCCACTGAGAAAATTGCTGGTTCATGATAAAAGTCACCCTGTAATATTCTACCTTCCTAACTCATATAGATGATTCGTATTTCTATTGCTTTTTAAACTCTATATAAAAATTCTACCAGAAATCTTGCTCTGATTTTCAAGTGTAGCACATTTTCTGAAATTTCCTAAGATAGTACTTTAAAGAGGTCATTTTTTGTTTCCAGAGGAGTTTTTATAATAAATGGTTAAAACCAGAAAAACTTTAAAAATTATGAAAATAATGTTTTTATTATTTTCAATTCAGTTTTTATGCTGAAATTTAGATCAAAATATTGATAAACATGAAATTTGGACAAAAACCTTGTTGTAGTATTTACCTATTACAAACATGGTAAAATTAAAAAAACATATTTAAGCCATTTTTGAGGTATTAATTTTTACCTTTTCACCTACAATAGTGGCCCACTCAAATTACCAAATTATAAAAACCCTGCAAATTATGTTAGTCTTTTCTTATTTAATTCATTAATTTATGTATATTTTGCAAATATTAATATATTATATTTAGTGTACATATACATTAAATTAAATTAATAAATACAAATATTTATTATTACCACAAGAAGATGCAAATCCAGTGTCTTCAAAATTATCTTCCTGTGAGTCTGTTAAACTTTTGTCAGTTTTTTGATCTCTTAATTTTTGAACCATATTTGAAAGACTTTGCTCAGGATCATATTGAGGACAACCATATTTTTCATATTCCTAGAACAATAAAAATACATAAATAAAGAGTTAAAATGAAAGTTTGTTTATCTTTAGTATCAATGACATAATTAAGTTGTTAAGGTTTATTTTTTTTTTTTTTTTTAATGAATTTATTTGTTAAAAATAATATTTTATTTGATTACTTAATTTTTAACTAGATTCAAATTTAAAAATGTATACGTAAAAAATAATAACTTAACAATTAATGTTTAAAATATTATAATTATTGATTAAATAATTAAATAATTTGTAGGTGTATAAATAAAGTAATGAGACTGGTAATGTAACATGCATCTGGCATCTGGCATCTGGCATCACTAATGGGTTTTTGGTTGGGCAGGCTAGCATCTAATGAGCTTTCAGTACTAGTTTGAACTATATCCCTTAGATATTGTAATTGTAAACCTGTATTTTCTTGTGTGTTCTGAAAAGTGGACAATTTTGAGAAATGATATGGTTTTTGATTTCATTTAATACTTGGACACAGTGGGATGAACATTTTTATCATTCTTTGTAGTTGAAGATCTATTAAGAGGATTATCTTCAACTAACTTTTCCACCTAAAAAAGCCTTAAACCATCTAAAAATCTGGGACTTTGAAAAAAAAAATTTTTCATATACCGACTGAGTTTTCTATGGAACTGTATCCAAGTTAAAAACAAAATTTGTTGCAGAACAAGAAAAACCTGTTTATAAAAACAATCACTAATTAGATTTAATAAATAAGATTCATAAATTAGAAGACTAATTAAAAGAAATGTTACTAAGGAGTTCAAACTCATACCAAAAGGTGCATTAGATGTTAACCTACCCCCTCATTAAACAGAAAGTCACTAGATTTTCCAAATTACATGATCTACCAATCTTATTACTTTATTTACATACTTATTATCAATTATTCATTATTATGCAAAAAATACTAATCAGCTTTATTAGAAAACACTAGTGAATAAATGTTCAATAATAAATATTAAATACCCATTCAAATGTCACTAAATATGGTTTTCTATTAGGATTTTAAAATATCTATCAACAATTTCAAATTTGAACTATGCAAGTATGTTAAAAGTAATTTTTAAACTGTGATTATTATAACACAATAAACAATATTATTTATACAAAAATAAAATATTATATGAAAAAAATATTTATTTATAATTGTTCTGAAAACATATCGATTTATGTACTATTATAACAATAATTAATATTAGGTGCTCAAAAATATCACTATTGTAGATTATTAGTTTAACATTTATTTAAAGGAAAAAGTATCTGACATAGGCAATATTTTATTTTTCAATTAGCTAGTATTCTTATAATTGTAATGTATTTAACAACAGTTTAATATATTTTGAATCCATATCAGTTAGTTACATAACTGATAAACCAGCGAAAGTCAATCATTCAATTTATTTGTTAGTGTATAAAAATAAATCTATAATATTATGGAACAAAAAAAAATACAACCAATGTTAATTCAAAAGATGGTATTTAAATAAACATCAGAGTGAGGAAATGTTGATTAGCAGAATTGAACTTTTTTATAGTTAAGCAAACATTGTTGATAAAGGTTTGAAAGTTACATAGTACTAACAACTCAGGAAACATACTAAACATGTTTGACAATGATTTCTATAGCATTAATTATGGTTTGTACTTATTAAATTTAAATGTATTAAATGAAATCTTACATCAATGGCATCAGGAGGACAAGGCGCATTAAAGCCAGGATACAAATGTAGTTTTTTCACATTTATATCGCAATAGAACTCATCATCTCGGGGGTGTGGCAGACCTGAAAATTAAATTATTGTTAATTTTTAATTATATTAAAAAATAAAGATAAGTATTTAATGTGTGAATAGAAAAATATAAATTTAAGTACTACAGATTTAGCATTATAATCTTTTAACTAATATTGTATAGTTGAAAAAAAAATTAAAATAGACTTAATATAAAAACCAAATGATAAATACATAGAAAAAACTCATCTTTACATAGAGATTTAAATTAAATAGTTTAATAAGAGAAAACATAGATTTAAAAAAAATGACTTGGTTTTTATCCAAAATTCTCCTAGAATAAACCAGTTTGGGATACAAGTTATTTTAATTGATTCTGATGTATCATCATAATGTAAATATATTTAACATAATTAATTAGAAATTCAGGAATAAACCAGTTTGCCCACACTCCTAACTTAATTTCCTTATTACCTATTTTATTTTTGTCATGATAATGTATTGTTAATTGCAAACTAAAAAATTCCAGTACCTATATTATATAATACATAAATACTATAATAATTAACAAAATATAACTCAAGTGGTTAGGATTATTTTTCAATGATCCAAACTTTTTTAATTAAAATTGTTCAAAGAGTACTTTTTAAATAAAAGACACATTCCCAACTATATTGCCTCAACTCTTGCCTATTAATGAAAACATGTGTAAATTCAATTGCTTATAATTTATAATTATTATGCTATAATTTTACAAAACCCAAACTAAAAATTGTTATTTATCTATTTCACTTGTTTGTTCATTTACTGGATTCTATTAATTAAGGATATGACTATAGTAAAGATATAATTACTATTGACTTCTGAGAATGATGAAAATTCAAGTTATCAGTACCAAAATTAACAGATCAAGAATTTAAATTACATTTTCGTTTAAATGGAAATAGAATCAAAGTATTGTATCTTAATATTTATTCTCTGTATTCATTAGATAAAATTGTTTACCATTGAACTGTATAGATTATTATGGCACAAATATAACATTTATTAACCCAATAATCAATTAACATAAATACAGTGAAACATATATTTAATAGACAGTTATGAGACCACAAAAAATGGTCTTTGTTATAGACAGGTGTCTGTAATAGACAGGTATAATATAATATGGCATTGCAAAGAAAAATTAAAATGAACAGAAAAATGTACAATACTATAATAATAGTGAAGCAATATGGAGTAAACGCTGAATATACATGTTTTCCATCCTCCAATTAACTTTATCCTTATTACCGAACATGTAATCTGTCATGATCAGTGTTTAAAATAAACTGCTACATGGTATATATGTACATATTTTTGCAATATATTTAATTTTGAACCAAAAAAGTTGTCCATTATCAAGATTTTAGTGAAAAATATTACTGTCTGTACCCATAAAAAGAGTCCATTATAGACAGGTTGAAATACCTATCCATTCCCATTGGAATGCCTATCTTTTTATTATGTTACTCTTACAGGTGTCCATTAAGACAATTTTCAATACATTGAAAAACTAATTTTGGTTGTGTTTACATCATAAAATGCATGGTTATGATTGTAATAAAAGTTATAAAATGTGTGTGAATAGCTTATATGTAAAAAAAAAATTAAAAATTGAATAAGGAGAGAATAACAAATTTGTGATGGAGACAAGCCAGGATGGGTAATCATTGACTACCTTTTAGGCCAAATGGAAAAAAAGTAAACTAATTTGTTATATTTTTACATTGGTTTACTCATTTACACATTTTTAAAAGACAGATTTAATTTTAAAGGGAAAACCACACCGATTTATTCTAGACAATTTTTTGTATTTATTATATAACATTATATTGATACAAAATATTACTTTTCATCTGAACAATTTAAGAAATTATTAAAATACAATTTTGTATTTTTACTTTATTATGTGTATGCAAATCTTTAAATAAAGAAATAGTTAATTTTATTTATATTATATAATTAATTAATATTCATACATATATAACATGAACAACTCAATTTAAACATACTATTGTTTCTTAACTCTTTTAACTTAAATAGTCTTTATTTTTGTAAGTTAAACATAATCTTAGTAGTTGAAGTTGTATTATGAATAAAAAAATAAAATTATTCATTATTAATTTAAACTCTTAAGAAACAAAAAAATGTTTGTTGATTTATCTAAGTATTTCATAAAATAAAATATTTCAAAAAAATTTTAAATCATTAAGAAATAAACATAAATTATATGAAAAAATAATTATTACATACTTTCATTAGGTGCAGTAAATATTGTTATTCCTGAATAATCTTCTTTGGCTTCTTCAAGCCACCCTCTTGGATAACCATTTTCCCGCATTTTATAAACATGTGCGGGAATTCCATTTTGAGGCAATCCTAATGCTTCTAACAATTCGTCACTTAATTTGCCAACTATCAAATTAGAACCTGACAATTTCTTGTCCTCAACAAAGTAACGTAGATTTTTTCTAAATCTAAACAATTTAATTTAATTAGGTATTTTTTTTTTCTCTAAATACTTATCCATATATTTAAAAAATATATATATATATATATTTAATATTAACAGAAAATCTTTACTGGCATGAGTTTTATTACAAATATTAACAATTATTATTACCTGTTACCACCACCAAATCTTTGTTGTTGGCTTTTTTGTAAATGGAATGCATTACGATTATAATTAATTAATTTATAATTTTTGGGTTTTGGACAATTGTTTAAGGCATGATTTACTGAATTACAATTCCAACAAGTATTTTGTTTAAAACCAGTATCTGTTTTAGAGTTTTCATGAGCTGTTGGATCCTAAAAAATTATATTTATAAATATTATTATAAAATAGATTATTCAAAAGAAATATATTAATTCAAAAATAAACACATTTTTATGAAAATTATTTTCCCTACCATGGAATATTATGTTTTCATTGATCAACTGACTCAAAGTTAATACATTGTCAGACATACTTACTATTTGGAAGATCTATGTTTAAATCAAGACACTAGGGAATTAGAGACAAAATTGTATAGTTTTTCCTGTATACTACCACACAGATTGGGTTTTGAGCATAACAAATTTCAAGCAAATACTATAAATAGAAATACCAGAAGCTGTGTAAAAATCTACTGGAGACATAAAACTCCAAAACTTTAATGTCTGACATTTAACCCTTTAGTCTTACTACGAATAATATTGCATACTCTATTTACCTATTTATTCTTGAAACACCATTGTCAAATGACATAATAAACATGTTGTAAAAAGTTTAACTTGTAAATGCATCTACTATTTTTTAGATTCTCAGAGTAGCAAAAAATAATTTATTAATTTTACTACATTTCAGATTTTGAGTTTAGCGAAAAATGTATTAGTTTTACAAAGATATTTTTTTTTTTTTTTTATGTAAACATTTTCTCAGCCAGAAAACTTACTCTGATTAGCAAGTATAGCATCTTTCCTGAAGGGGAATGTCTAGGTGTACTGAAGAAAATTAATTTTTTGAAATTCTCATTAATATTCGAGATAATGAGGAAAACCTGGATGTTTTGGCAATAAAAAAATTTTTGTTTGCAATGGTTTATCGGTGTTTACAGATATACATTAAATTCCTGTCTGCATCCTACCTTCCCTAATTCCCATGTACAATAGTAGCTGCACCCACATGCAAAGTATGTCCATCCTTTTTTCTATGGCTTTTGTTTTATTGTTGTAATTCTGTATTAAATTACTACATAATAAATCCTACTTTCCCAACTTCCCACTTAAAACTGTGGCACACCCATCAGAAATATCAACTGATTTTTGAATGTACATATTTATAATTCACAATAATGATAGTTATTTATTCAAAATAAAAAAAGATATTATTATAACAAATTATTTAAGCATAGTGATTATTACACTGCTCATTAAAATAATCGAAGTTTAATTATGTAGTTGTTTTTAGAGCAGGACAACAAAATAAAGCCCTAAATGTTAACATATGCTCACGTGGTTTTGAAAATTAATAGAAAAAGTAAATTTTAATTTAAATTTAATAAAAACTAAATATATTGATATAATGATCTACAATATGCTGATCAAACTGTTATTATTTTTAACTATTTATATATTATGCATATAAAAATATTACAAGGTTTTTGTTTTTATTTTAACTTACGTTACTATTGTGTTTTTTTATCATAGAATAATAATAAATGATAAATATCATTTAACTTGTTCTATTATAATATATAGTTAACCCATGAAAACAACAATAGAAAATTTAAAAATGTACAAACAGAATGTACCTCAAATTCTATTTCTAGAGTGAAATTACTAGTTCTATCCTCAACAAATAATGGTTCTTCTATTTCTGTTTTTTCCGAGGTTTTTTCTTTTTCTTCATCATCATCATGAAAATTGTCGAATTCTTCTTTGTATCCGTCAGAGTTACTTGAATCCTCAGGTAATTTTGGACATACACTTGGTCCTTCATAATCAAATTCCTCTATACAAGTCGGCTTACCTGGCTCAAGTTCTATCTTTTCATTATCTTCACTCATTATTGTAAATCAAATATCAACTGTAATAAATGAATACTACTATTTATTATAATGCAATATGAATAGTTAAAAATTTGTTAAACTTCTTTGTATTATGCATAGGAAATAAAATAATAGATGTGGAAGTTTATTCGCCTTAATAACTTTGAATAATACACTTATAAACTATTTCTGGTTTCATATTATTATTGTATTTATCAAAAGTGTAATAAAGTTGTAAACATTATTACTGTGGGGGTTTATATTTACTCCACGCACCTAAATATGACATTCGAAACGGGTTAACATTAAATCTAATTAATTTGTGACATAGAATTTCTAGCTACCACAAGTTAAGTAACACAAACCAATACACAATAAATTCATGTATACCTAGTAAGAGGTATCATAAATCCTAAACTATGTTAGGAATACGGAAATTTATATATCTAGCTAGATAATTTCATGATAGATTTGAATTTTATGACTTATATTACTTGACTTCTGTGATACAAAATATTAGGCATACTGTTGTACTTGGTAAAACTAAAGTAATTAATTAATTTTTATATTTAATAGAACTAACATCTTAATATTCTACAAATCTATTCAGAAGACGTTATTTTGAAGTCCACAAAGAAGTCAACTACATCATAGAAACGGAATCAGTAAATCAGAACAGGGGGTCAAACAATACTAACCAAAATGAAGCAGTAAACGAGGATAAATAAACATATATTTGCCCACAATAACATGTATATAATATGTGGCTTCTTCAAAACTAATATGTTCAGTAAAGTAGACCTAAAAATAATCTGTTTAAAAATAATGAAAGACATGTTAAATATAATACACAGACATTTAAACATGATTTGCGATCAATATTAAGACAGTGTCTATTACGTTATATTTTATAAGTTACAACTTACTACTAAATTTAAAGATTTAAATATGTAATTATTTACCTATACCTACTACCAACTAAATTTATATGTATAATAATTTTCATCTTAGACCCAAATTATAACCAATAACAGAATGCCTGATAAGTATACTGTGTCATTATAAGCAACCTGTTAGACAGGAAGTCCGCTTTATTCAATAAAAGTTGCTCTCACTCTCTCTCTCTATATATATATATATATAATAAGAATAAATTGGCCAGTATAGCTAACTGTCAACTGACTATATTCATATCATCATTGATATCCAAGTTTCTAAAGTATCACATAACATTTTAAATGAGCATTTAATATCCTAAGCTGAATTTTGTCTAAAAAAACAACAAAATTGTGTATATAATGTTTATAATTGTTCTAAATACATTAAATAAAACTAGTAGAACGTCATTATTGTTGTCGTTTGAATAATAATATTACATTTTGTTGTTTAACAAATAAAAAAAAACCCTCAACGCGAGGATTATTAAAAATTCTTTAATTTGATGTTAATACTTAATGTACATGAAACAAATTATAAGTACATTATACCTATCCGAAAAAACAGTGTTATGAGCAACATAAAAGCCTATAAAAACCTAAAATTCCTAATATTTTTTACGTAACGTGCGTAATGCGGACTATCAAAAAAAATTAAATAACAAAAGCAAATGAAATTACATACTTACTCGATAACCTATTTATTTTTGCCAAACTGAGGAAGATGTCAAAGAGTCAATTGGAATTCACGCGACGCGATTTTAAAACAATGATTAATAACTTGACATTAAATGAAAAATACTGAAAGCTATTCTGGTGGTACTAAAAATGACTATACCCATATCGCGTTTAACCAGTCAATCATCGCGTCGTTTTCGTCGCGTCCATGATTCGATCCATCAATTGATAACTTTTGATTTTAAATAAAAGGTCGGAAACCCGCCTTGGCCCCTTTACTAAATGAAAACAAAAGGGTATTAATTAATAATTTTTTATTTATAATTAATTTGTTTGCACCATAGACATATTTAAACTTGATATAAACCATAAGTAATTTTGTTTACAACCAGATTACCAAACAATCCGTTTTTGTTTGATGCATACCAAGACCATGGTAAGTCAAGGTTTATTATCTACATTGGTAATAAGGTACGTTTTATGGTTATAGATAGTGACTAATGAGATAAGGTCAAATAGAACTACAGAAGTATCTTACTAAAAATTATTATTATAATTTTGTAAAATAATATACTCCTTTTACGTTTAAATTCTTTGTTCAATTATTTTTAAAAAAAAAAACAGTAATGATGACGTCACTACAACTGGACTCAAATACTATTAGAGGTAATTAATAGTGTGGGAACCTTTATATAAGTACTGTATAATACTTAGAATCTTTTAGTACTACAGTTATTTAATATTAAATATGATTTTGGTTATTTTAAATTGCCTACAGTTTCACGTTATTCTATTAAGTGATTTAAAAAAACTATAAAATATTATTGAATAATATTATGTTAATATTAAAGGGTAGTTTCCTATTATATGAGACTACTATGTTTTGTGAAACATCACAATCCTGTTATCTAATCAAAACCGAATTTCAAAATTTAACTACTTTACTATTTTCACAGGCTATCTTATTTTTATTTATATTAACAAATCATATTTAATTATTTGATCATTTGTTTAATATATATTGTGGGGATGACCACTTTTGAATTATATAAAAAAAAAAAAATTTAAATACACAGTGATTAATCATTCATAATATATTTTATAAGCCGTACACAGTACACGCTTTGCTCGATGTACAGTCACAGATAGACTGAAAATAGTGAAAATACTAAAAAAATAATACAAAGAATAATATTATTGACAACACGAACAAAAATGGTAAATCCATAAATAAAATAATAATAATTATCACTACTGTATAAGATGTTTAATGTTTTAATAAAAGTTATAATAATATATGGAATTTATACAAAAATTAAATGTTTATTCAACATGATTTATTATTAATTATTTATTGCGACGCTAGAAGTGATAGTTGTGATAACGGAGGTAGTCTTGGATAATAGCGTTAGTTTCCTATAACAGGAAAGTACTAATTAAAGATGTCTAATATAAGTAATATTTAACTTCAATTTTATTAAAACACAAAAAAAAATCATATTTTAAACTTTAAATTCAACTCTTAATAGTTTTAAACTTTATGTAGGTACTTAGGCAGGGATGTATACTTAAAAATGAGTATCTAGATACTTCATGCATTGATTTTCAGTATCTAGATACAAGATAGGTACTCAATATTTACATTTTATGTAGGTATTTATATATTAGATGCTCAGTACATTAAAATATTGATTAAATTGTTTACACATGCTTCATCTTAAAAATGCAATTGTTATTTGTTTGAAATATTTTTTGAAATTCTAAAAGATTTTTTAAAAATCCAGGGTAAGAAATGACTGATGCAAACTATGCAAAAGATGTTTCATAATGAGTATCTAGATACTAGATACATCAATTTCAGATTACAATATTTTGTTTAAGATACTGCTCAACCCTGTACCTAGGTATAAAACTTATTTTTGTTTTTTGGCTTGGACTATAAAATCATTACTTAATATGTATTTTATTTTATTTGAATAATTATCTTTATAATTAATTTTAATACTATTAAAATTAAATTTGATTTGAATTGTGTGTATATTTTAGTTATTTTGGCGGAAATATTGGAATCTCTTACGACCTGTGAAAATGCATTGAATTTAGAAGATGCTAAAAATAAGGCTGGCAATGATATGCTAAAAGTTATGCAATATGTCTATCCAATTGTTGTTAATACTCAAATAGATGTTATAAAAAAATATGGACTTCCAGAAGGACGGGAAGGTAATTAATGCATAATAATAACAGTACTCGTCTAGTATGCTATCTACTGCTACTTTGTTGATATAGTAAGCTACTTAACTACCTTTTCTTAAAGAGTGATAAGTTTGGCAACCTTTTTTCTGACATTGTAAATTAGTAGTTTTTAATAAATCACCATTTGATTCCCTTTTATGATTATTTTTTTGGTATTATTTCAACATGCTTCCACAAATAACACCGTCTTTTAATTCGGAACACCTACCAAGTTCTGGCAGCAAGTTTCTTTCTTGAAGATAATTAACACATGTTTCCTCATTTAATATTAAATGCTCGTACAAATAGCCAATTGATTTATTCATTATATTTTTTTAAATAAAATTACAAAGTAAAACTTGCAACGAAATACACATACGCTAACACAACACAGACTAAATTAATATATCTAAAAGCAAATTATCGTGGATCTTGGTAAATATTTATCAGTTATCATAATGGCTACTTTAGCTATAATTTTGTACAACTGTTATAATGTGTTATTTATCGTAATGACTAAAATGTATTTTCTCACAATAAAATGAAATAGAATTAAAATAAATATGGTAGGTAGCATACAAGATGAGTACCATAATAACTAATAAAGTTTTTTTTTTTATTAACTGGGTGTAAACCCTACACTGAATAACATTTATTTTTAATACATTATTTAATTCTTTACATTTATTATATTTAGATTAATTTAATTTTTTTTTTTTTTCAAGGAATAATAACATTTACTAGAAGTGTTGTTGCATTTGAGAAAGATGATAGGGTAGTAGCCGATTTACATCGTCAGATTCGATCATTTTATTTACCACCAGTCAATGTTTCTAGTGCAGTTACTTCCCATGTTTAAAATTAATTTTAGTATATTTATGAAGGTATAAAATCTAATGTTTATGAGATTATATTGATTCCTTTAACAGAACTTAAAAAAGTAAGCTTTTTACTTGGTTTTGATTATATTTAACTATTATTTATTTTTATTTTTATTTTTATTTTGTATGTTTTATTATTTCTAAATAATATAATTAACTAATAATTAATAATTCCATATTATAAATTAAAAATGTTATGATGAATTAACTATTAATATTTATAAAAATTATATATCTAGATAGAATCACAATATTTTATACTTTTTTATATTTTGAAAATATTTATGTACAAGCAATATTATATTATTAATTATTCAAATGAGTAGAACAGGACTTATGTCCATGGTGTAGAATTACTCCACTTGAATCTTTATTAGGTAATATACCTATGTTAGCATAAAGTATATTTCCATATAATGTACTACTTTAAATAAAAAATTGTAAATGTATCATTATTTTTATTATTATTATTAAATCCTAGGAAAACATATATAATAAAAGCTATAATCAATATTTTATTAAGAGATTAATAGAATAATATAAATGAGAAAACAGGAAAAATGTATAAGTAAAAAACAAAATCTAATGTTGATAATGAATGTGCCTACCTGTATAGGTGGAAGCCTACAAAATATTACGTGTCACAAATATTATGAATCCAATGTATCACAAAGATATAATCAGGAAAATATTGTGTGACAAAAATACCGCTTCGTCATTGAAATATATTTATTTTGTTAAATACTCAATAGTTTATCCAATTTGTAGATTGCTTATTACCATCATTTTTCATTTATACTGTTTCACATTTTTGTTCCATTTTTTTTTACTTAAAACTTAACAAAATATTAATTACCTTTCTACATATTTTATGTACATAGCATTAAACATTACAAATACTACAAAAGTATTAACACACAATAGATAATAGTTTTACTTTTATGAATGAAAAAAAAATTAGGGACGAAATTTCATTAAATGTGTTTTGAAATTCTACGATTATTATGATTTACAAATTTGAACATTAAATGCATAATAATAATAATAATTATAAAAAAATAAATTGTGGCTACAAATTTTCAATATTTTTAAAGTGTCATAAAAACAACAACTTAGGATAAATCTTTTATTCAATTTTCAAACATTTTTAAGGTACCAAAAAAATTGTATCCACACAAAACCAAATAAAAAACAAACAATATACACACTACTTGTGCCCATTCGCATCTAATGTAAATTACCATCAGTGGTATTTCACTAATGGTATCTATTCAAATGGTATACAGATTGTATTAAAGAACATACTCGTGGTTTATAAAAACGGTTAACAATTGCTAATAACTAGATACCAGATTTATATTCTCTTATAATCCAGAAAAAGGCGCTTAAAACATCAAAAAAGTAAAAATGACAGAGATTTAAAAGTCCCTTCTAATGGCTCTAACCTATTAAATTAAATTTCTACACTACAAAGATAATTTCTCTTAAATAAAATTGTATATATTATAATAAAAAAAACATTTTACTAATCATTTTAGTGGTGTTAGAAAATTCTATTTAAAAGATAAATCTGTTAAAGGGGGAATTAAGAACATATAAATTCGGTCTCTACTAATAACAAATTTTTAACATTTAAAATTAAAGTTTTAACAAAGTTTATCAAAAAATTCAATCACATATTTTTGTATAAAGAATACTGGCATCTGACTAGTTTTTTGTTCAAACCATGGTTTACAGGTTGAACTATCTTGCTTTGAAAAGACATCTGATAGCAATGTATTTTTTTTTTTATGGAAAAAAACAACTTCATATAAGGTACATATTGGACTTTAATTTTGTATTACACTAGTACCTATAACCAAAAGTCAAAACCAAAAAAATTTAAAAATTGAGCAATTGGGAATATTAATATAAACCGGTAATATGTATTAAAATATTTTTTTTTTAGATTATATTAAAATAAATTTGGTTAAAAATCAACTTTTTAACTGTTGTGTGCCCAACATTGTGATTATACCAACTACTTCCATTTATTAACAATACCTTGTACCATTTATTCTACTATATCAATGCTAATAGGTACCTAAACCATTTAGGAGTTATTACTCGCTTTTTACCTAAACCAGCTATTTATCCTATAGTTTATTATTTTTCGAAGAAAATACAAGTATAACCAGTATAGGTACCTATTGGTTATTATACTAGCTCTAAATTTGTCGGTATATATTGTAATAAGTATAGATTATTAATGAAAGGAGTTTCAACTTTAAATTATTAGTAATAGGCTAATGTGTAAAAAAAACAAATACAAATATAGGTAGGTATGTTATATTAATAAAATACAATTAAAATTATTTTTAAAAATTAACGTTATGTTAGTTTGTTCTCTATTTGTAAAGAATCAACGATATCTCTACAAATATTTAAAAGAGCTGGTCCAGTTAGTCACTCTTGACCATAATAGTGTTTCCTAAATATGTCTTCAAGCGCTTTAATGTTAAAAAGGAACGTTCCACACAATACAGGAAGAGTGAATTTTAAGAAGAATATAAATGAGAGGAAAAATAACTTCTCAAATCACACTTCTCCAATGTTTTAATTGCATTTAAATCATATATTTAAGTCATCACTTATTTATTCTTCCCACTTTTTGGTTGATACCTAGGTACTCACACCACAGATTTTTAAGTTTTTCATTTAGCAGATATGTCTTATGGATTTATGTCAATTTGTTTGTAGCATCATTATAATTATTCATACATTTTGACAGTAAGATCTTGAGGTTCCAAAAGTTAAAACATCTGGCTGCTAATTCGCTTAGCACCAGGCAGGTAGCCAGGGAGACCTGGGTAGGCCGAGCCCACCTTAAATTTACCCTGGCTCATAGCCCCCCCCCCGAAAATTCAAAGTATAATTATTTTTACCAAACTATCAAAAATGTGATTATGCATATGGTCAAGAAATGGTTTATCTGGATACAATACATATTTCGCGATATTGTTCTATTATTCTATTTATATATTTAAATTTATACTTGTTAAACATTTTTATTTTTATTATATTATTACTGTTTATAAGCTAAAGTTAATTTTATATAATGTTGATTTGTTGTTAAGCCAATAATTAAATAAGAACCTAAAACTTAATAATAACAAAAAATAAATAGAAACGGTTGCCAATGACAACCTTATTTTTAATCTTTTAATCTCTTCTAAACTTAATATCCAGGTTTTCATCATTATCTTAAATATTAATGAAAATTTCAAAAAATGATTTTTTTTAAATACCACCCAGAGAACATTTCCTTTCAGAAAAGGTGCTATACTTGATAATCGGAGTATGCTTTCTGGTAGAAAGAGTGTTCACATAAAAAAAAATCAACATTATTGTAAAACCAAACTCGCTCCACTCAAAATCTAAAATGAAAAATTGGTTGATATCGATTTAGATTTTGGTTGAAACGAGTTTATTGTTTAAATCACTTTTCGAACAAAGAGCTTGTTCCGATCATCAACTTTAAGATGGTTTCTGAGTGACTGGTGACCTTTCAGAGAGGGCTTCAAAGAAATAATTGGTGTTGTGATCTTCTAAACTAGTAATTAAAATATAAATAACAAATAAGGTAGTGCCAATACTAGATGGCTTTCTTCTATCAAAAATTTTACCTGCTGTACATTAATTTATCATACATTCTTTATACGCCAAAAGGTCCAGATTATGTACACATTTCGTGAAAAAAAATTTGCACAAGAGTTTTTTAAAAACTATAAAATATTACATTTAACTATGTTTTGCAAGAACATAGTTTTAAATAAATTGAATACACTTTTAAATTTATTTAAAAATGAATTTGATTATTTGTGAAATGATACATTTTTTCAAACTTTTTTTAAAATTACCTGCACATGTTTTCTAAAATATTGGATGTTTGACATCGTCTTATTATATAATTCATAATATTATTGGGTCCGGAACTATCACGCCCGGTATCCATGACTCCTGACACATCATAATATATTTTAAGATTGTGTATATAAAACAGTGTTTTATAATGTATAATAGATAGGTCTTTATTTTGATTACGTTATGGTGACTCCGGGCGAACAACATTCAGCATCTACAGTAGAAACGAAAACCAAGTGACGGTGACGACAACGACGACGGATAAACACGATGGACCAAATGACAGACTCGAACAATGTTGATAGGTCAGAAATTCCAAAATCACCAAATGATTATGTCAAAAATCAGGTCTGTTACATTAGCATCCCCAAATTGAAATTTCATTCAAAATATTTACCAACAATCGTTATTCAATCTGTACACATTTTATAATCGCTAATTCTAAATGTGTACACCACGTTTAGAACCCGTGAAAATTGATGTTTACTGTGGTAGTGCTAATGTAACGTTATTCCAACATCCCACTTTTAGATTCTGAGTAAAGCTGTGAAGCTTATAATTTTACAAAGATGTTTATTTTTTATTTTTTGTTCTGTAGACAACTTTTCTACCAAAGATCTTGCTCTGAATTTTATGTGGTGTATTTTTTCTAAAAATAAATCACTATGGGGAGGTACTTTAAGGACTTCATTTTTCGATTTTCTCAAGAGTTTTCTCATTAAATGCCAAAAACCGAAAAAAAAAACTGGAAAAACGTAGATAAAACGGGATCTATTTTAATTTTGAAATTGGAATAATTAGAATTTTACCTAATATAACATATATATTGTTGGCAAAGCAGCATTATTAACAGAACTTCGTTCAGAATAACTTTTTTGTTAGCAATAGTTTATCGTACAGGTTTACATTAAATACTTATATCAGTGGCTACACCCAACTCCATTTTCTTAGACGTCATTTTTACAATACATCTATCGACTTAAAAATTGCATCAATAACAACAAATTGCTATTCTGTTTGTACAAATTTATAATTCTCAGTCTCCATTTTGAAAAATTATACTTAAATTTCATAAAATGTTTGAAAATGTTAAAAACTGTAAAAACATATTGAAAATTAAGTCTGGTTTTAAAATGACCTACATTGTCGTAGTCTACATAACAGTTTTTACACCACTCTACGACGATTCTTTGATTTTACAAACCGATGAACTAATAACAATATTTATTATTCATATAGGTAAATATTCATATTTTGATAATTTCATAGATTTTTATCGTTTTCTGAACCTGTCAGATTATACTATTACAGAGTTATAAAAAATATAAACACTCGTATATACCTATTTATAACCTACATATACCTACATATTATTATATGTAAATAAAAAATAAATAGGTAAATAAAATTGGAACCGACAAATTATCTTCTAACAAATATCGGTTCCTGTTTAGATTTAATATTTTCAATAGGTTCCGGTTAGAATACCAGCATTTTTAATTACCAAAAACATAAGTGTGATATTGATATTATTGTGATTAATTTACATTAGTGTGTAATAGCAGTTAGAAATCTATAGTTATTGTAATATACGTAATAATTACGCATAATACAAGTGTAATCAAAATCAAATAATTATATACATATTCAACCAAAAAAATTTGGTTGGAATATTTGTATTATAGGTATCTAAACCTGTACAGTGTACGTATTGATAAATCACCATATTTCATATTATTTTAGGAAATATTTCACTAAACGCCAGAAAGTTTCATTAGATACCATTTCTGGTGAAGAATCATCAGTACTGGCAACACTGGACTCAAAAATTGGTAGCGGTGACGCGTACGACAGATCGTCGACGAAGAAAGCTTTGAGGAGGGGCTACAAGGCCTTGCTGCGGATGCGGGTGGCCGCCCTGAGGTCCGCCAAGTCGTTGGCCCGCCAACGGATGCCGGCGCACACCCGGAGGGACATGGAGAAGCGTTACGCAGACCTAATGAAAAGAGTGGCAGTGACCACTGTGATGATAGACGCTGCTGTCGCGGACGCTGATAAAGACAACGATTCCGCAGTCCGGATCGACAGCAATAATGAGCTCGTTTTGCACGCGGCTTCCCTGTTGGCCAGTGTTTACAGTCTCGAAAGAAAACTGAATGCCATAGTCGAGGAACGAGACCGGTTGGTGGCCGGCGAAACTAATGACGAGGGCCTGGGCCATTTTATCCGCAACCTATTTCAATGAAATAAAATGTGTATTTATTATTTACGGGACACAAAGACAAATCGATTTGTTTTTACCTAAAAGTGTGGCGTGTGAAACATAGTGTTCCGACTTAAAAACATTTTTTGCGTTTATGAATATTATAAATTAGGTGACATTAATTAACCAATTAATTAATAAACCAATACAACATAGGTGCAACAACCCAGACAGTAATCTAATTTTAATAGAAAATTGTAAGAACGTTTTTATTTGAATAATAACCTTGTGAGAAACTTGCATACTCATATTCACATAGTTATTCAATGTTCCTATAATATTGTGACAAAATTATTTGGTCACAAAAGTAACATTTACTTAACATTATTTCACAAAATTCTTACAAGATTACTTCAAAATGTTCTTATAACTTTACCTCTTATCATTCCCATACAATTATGTTTACATATTTTGATAATGTTTGCCTATAAAATTCTTATAATCTCATGTCAATAAACTCTCATAACCTTCTAATTAAAATTATATTAAGAACGTTTCAATAAGTATTTCATGAAATACGTACTAAATCTAATGAAAAGAATATTCTTTTTTTTTGTAAAAGGTTACTATGTTAAAATAAAGAAAAAATTTTAAAATTAATTATAATAATATTTATTAAACAATTAATTGAGAACAGTTTTAGGTTGTTATTGATTTTTTTCTTGTTTATCTAAATTTCTGATTCTAAATTTTGTATGGTCTAACCAAACCCGTAAAGGAGTATTAATTTTTTGAAAATAACCCTCTTTTTGTTGGGTAAAACCACTTCTGATAAGACATAAAGTAAAATGTGTACGGTTTTGAACGACGACGTTTTTGAAAGCGTGCGGTTATCGAAAAATACCCCTCGTTGTGCAACATTTTCTACTTATCAAGTGTAGCTTATTTTCTGAAATGAAATTTTTTCTCCAAAGTAATTTAAGGAGGACATTTTTCAATTCTCCTAGGAGTTTTCTCAACAAATATGAAAAACTGAAAAAAAATAACGGGAAAATCTATGAAATGTAGGTATCAGTTTTTGGGTATTTGGTATTTGTTTTCTGTTAATTTTGATTTTGTTTTTCAGTTGTAATATTTAGTGAAAAATAAACGTAGACTTGATATTTTCACCGAAAATTCCCGTTTTTTTTTTTTACTTTATTATCTAATGGCTGTTTGAAATGTTCGAATTTTTCAGTTTTATGCAATGCGAATAAAAGTTGTATAATTAATTATTATAACCCAGTTATAAGTTCAAATTTATGATGGGCCATAATTTATTTTATGGTTACTATTTAATACAATATTATTATTTAAAATTTATCAACAAAAAATTATTTAACCAAATTCCGCCCTGATTTATACACGTACAGTATACATTTAACAATATAGTGTGTTATTTTTTTTTAATCTCAATTCGTAATCGTGTTTGTTTTTTATTCTACAAATAATTTATCGAGTCCGGCCCGTGATATTTTACGTATAGGTATGTGACGATAAATATAACAATATGTTTTATCTACAATTCGTTAAAATTCCAGTCGTATAATGCAGTAAACATAATTCAATAAAATCAAACATAATATCGTAAAGTCGAAAACGTCAAACTAAATGGTAGCAATAATATACATAATTTTCATTAGCAAATGTCATTATTATTGTATCAGTGTAATATAATAGGATGACTTATGATGGATGCCAATATTACTAATTTACCATATAAGACACGTATTATTGCAATCATTCACTTTAATGATTGTGTATTTATTGAACTTCACGAAAATATCGTATAAACAAATAGTTTCGATTTTTCAACGAAATAATAACCAAAAACAGATGGGTGGATGTAAATATAAATCACGTTATTTAAATAGGTGCTACCTAATTTATTTACTTAAGTTTTATAATTGTGGACCAAATTTATATGCACTTAAAATCCACAAAAAAACGCTTTAAAATGGCAAAAAATTACTTTAAAAATATTTAGAAAAATCAAAAATAATAAAGGGGTTCAAAAGTTCCCTCTCTAACGATTTTAACTTACAAAATACAACTGTCACAAAACATTGTTTTGAAAACACTATAAAAATAATTAACACAAAGTAATTTTTTTTATAATACCTTTGTTTAATTTATTTAAAGAATATTGTAAGAAAATTGTAAAAATTTCAATTATAATAATTACTAAAATACATACAATTTTAATTTAGTGATAATATAAGTGGTATGAATCATTATTCATATAACATATCATGACGGATTTTTTTTTTAAAAAAACTATTTGGGAGCTATACCCGTGGTTTTTTAACAAAATGTTGAGTGCAAACAACGTATATAATTGTATAATATTATTAGTGTACTCTGTGGGAATTATACTACTGTAATACAGTGTATATACATACACAATATTACAACCAACATTACAAGCTAGATTGTCACCAATATCATTATTAACAATTTATAACGGCATATGAAAATATTAATGTTACCTCATATAATAGTATATATTTTAATAATTGCTGGTACAATGTTTTATTTGTTTGACAGACGTTTAGTTACGAAACGCTATTGCTATATATTATATTTTTTATAATAATAGTTATGTTTTGGTGGACTTCATTTAGTTTCTGTTAAAAGTATTTGAATGAATATTTATAATATATTTGTTTGTAAGACGTGAAAACAAAATAGATAAGAGTAAAGACCATAAAAAATAGCAACATTCTATATAATACCTATATATACATAGTTAATATACTTATTAACAATTATAATTTTTTAATAATTCGATTTAATTGATTTTTAGTTTTTAACCAGTGTTTTTTTTAAATTTATTTATGTATATATATATTACTAATGTACTTAGCAATCACGATGATTGCTTCTATTCGCTATAAAACCCACGCAAGTGAATGAATTATATACGTATAATATAATATCACATGTTGTACATTTGTAACTCATTGCGTACGAGATGTTTGTTATCCATTCGTATAATGAAGATAATATTATAAAATAATATAGGTACCTAACTACTATACTAGTACCTACTATATTTAATATACTATAATAGGTAGTTAATTATTAAGGTTAAAGGTAAGTATAAAAGTAAATGTATACAAAAAAAAAAAAAAATAATATATTTACGATTTGTCTGTAATATGTCTATACAATTAAGTTGATATAATAAATAATAATTATGTTATTAACGCGTGTTTTAAATGTTTTAATATTCGATAAATGCTATCAGTTAACAGTTACCTATATAATATGTGATGTATAATATTATACCGATACATCAAATAAAAATATTCAATGTATAAAATAGTAAAGTAGTGTAATTCGGTCGTCAAATATAAATGCCTGAGATAGGTTTTTAAATCCTCAAAAATAGCTTTTAAACTCTATTAGTTAAACACGTCCCTATGGATTATCCGGCGAGTCTCCTCTAGTCTGACCTTTCTCTTTTCGTCCAAATTAAATATTTATTTATTTATTTATTTTATTTCAGAGAAGAATAATGGGCCCGAATGGGAGCCCACGAGACCTTAGCGTTCATATTAATTAAATTTACATTAAACAAATGTTAACAAATATACTCTTTTCGTCCGTGGTTTAACTTTCAACATTTTAGGAACCATTTATCAAAACCATTTACATTACTTCTTACATATTTTTCACTATTTGTATACAAAATATTTTATAAAGCCATTTAGCATTACCCATAGAACTATTATAAACTTATAAACTTAAACCAGGACAATGGTGTTATATATTTTAGTTTATTTGTATTTACAGTTGAGTTTTAACAATATTGATTTACGAAATCGAAAAAATATACACGATTAGGTATAATTATGTAATATTATTGATTATATTATGTTATAGATATTTGTTTTCCAGTAAATTTATTGTTATTGTCATTCTGTTGGTTCGAAATATATTATTTATGAGAGGTTAGTCATTCGGTGCAACTGGTACGAGAATGCTTTTTGTCAAATTAGTTTATTGTTGTTTTTTTCAGAAATACATATATTAATTCATTATTTTGTTAAATGGAGTTCATAGAAAGTAAACGGGGAGGCCGTATGGTGCTCTATATTAATTTTAAATTTTAATTAATTAATTAAATTTAAATTGAATGGTTTAACGAACAAAAAGGATGACTCCGCCCGTTGAAGATATGTAACGAGAGCATGCGACGCTAAGTTTTACACAGACACAAAAACAATTAGCTTATTTCTACAGCCGGAGAACATAATCATGATTAATATAATAAATCCAATATTAGTTGTCATATTATGAACACAGCATGCAAACAAACAACTTTAAAAGATCTCCATACAAGAGGGAAAAAATTGTACTTAAAAAAATTGTCCAAAAAGATGCATTATCAAATTTAAACATAGGTGATTTTAAACGATTAAGTAAAAATATATTTATTGTATTAAAATTCGTACAAAAGTTCTTCCTCCTAATCCTACATAAATAAATGAAGTTCATGAGTCAATTGACAGTGCTGAAATAAAGACTGTATACAAGGAGAATATTTGGTATATTGTTGTATGACATTGATTTAATGAATTCAAATTGAGTCATTTTTCCATTTTTGTATATAATTCAATGTTTTCTCTATTTTGTATATGCATTTAAATCCTGAAGAGATTGGCGATTGTTTTGTTAAAAATGTATTATCTGACTGTCCTCAAAATAATAAATTAACAAAATACTGTAACTATTTAACTGACACAATGATGTACTTCCGCGATGATAGTCCATTTCCGCCAAAGATATGCTAACTCTAGCTAACTCTTCAGAATTAACTAGAACAATAAATGCGTCCGAGCCATTTCATACATTTTTTAATAAAAGTTTTTATTGTAGTTCACCACCAATAGATATGACCATAATATAAGAAGTTCAAATTAATGTATATGTATTAAATTAAATAGTATTAACTTAAAAAAAATGTCCTGAAGATAGACAATCAAAAGTACGTGCATTAAAAAATAGAGAAAACATTGAATTATATACAAAAATGGAAAAATGACTCAATTTGAATTAATTAAATCAATGCTATACAACTATATACATACATACAGTGGCGACATGAACTTATTATTTCAATGACACAGTAAAATTTTTCCACACACACCCACCCACTCTTTTTTTATATAAACACAAAATATAAAAAAGAGCTAAATGGGGATGGGAGCGGCCTCTTTTGTAGGTGAAAAGTCAGGAAGTTAGGATACATAAGGTTATTTCATTTATATCTGTAAGCAACGATAAACCATTGCTTGACGAAAGACGATTCGGAGCGGCGGCGAGCGCAGCTCGGTAATACATAATTTGAATTGCCGTATTTTTTTTTTTGCAATTTTCGTTTAAATTTGATTTCAAAACGCTTATTAAAAAAAAAAGTCGTCCAATCATTTTGGAAATTTTACCACGTCTAGATTAGTCTAACAGAAGTATTGTTACCAAGTTTCAAGTCTCTACGTGTATTTATAACCGAATTACAGCAAAAACTCCCAAAAATTTAAATTCCTTTAAAGTTCAAAAGTGGCTCAAAAGTTTTGGAAATGATACCTTAAAAAAGTAAATCAAAAATACAAAAAAAATGATATATTGTGATTTTTCGATTCAATCATTTTTTCTGGTAGAAAACGTTTACCATGTCAGAGATCGGTTTGTAAACTTTCATGATTTTAAATTCCGAGCGTAGCGAGATAGCTATTGGTTTTACAATGCTTTTTATTTCTTTTTCTTTTTTATTCTAATCTGTGGACACACGTTTTTTCCTAGTAAAATTGCTCCGATTTTTACGTAAAACAATTTTTCTGAAAGCTTAAGTTGTCTAGATGGTACTGGGAGATTATTTTTTTAATTTTCGACGCCATTTTTTAAATAAAAGCACTCAAGTGGGAAAGAACGTAGAAAAACGTACAATTTCACGATTTCATTATTTTATAAAAACACGGACGACGTTTTCTATCAGAAAAAATGATTTAATCGACATCTTTAAATACATCTTTTTTGTTGACTTCTGGATTTACTTTCTTACGGTATCATCGACAAAACTTTTTTTGGCAATTTTGAGCTTTTAAGGAATTTTAATTTTTGGATGTTTTTCCTGTAATTCGGTTATAAATACCCGTCTTTCGTCAAGTTAAACAGTGGCCGCTCTTTTCCCCCGTATCAGCTCTTTTTATATTTCAATCTAACGAATAAAATGTCTTCGATCATGTACTACACAATGTACCTCAAGTATCTTGTATCTACTCAACCATAAACATCAATATTCTTTATCTACCAATCATTATTTTCGTGACGTGATTGCGTCAGTTTAACCTCATTCACGCCGCCACATTAATAGAATGCAAACACATCTGAAAATATTTTTTTTTGAACGACGTCATAAAAAATGATAAAATAATAAATACCTATATCATTTAACATTTTAAACACAACAACTTTTGGAGAGTAAAAGAAGCCGCCTTCTCGTGGTGCTCTCTGGGTAATACTAAATGTTTTTATTAAAATATTTTGTACAAACCTTGAAAAATACGTAAGAAGTAATAATATACATGGTTCCCAAAATTTTGAACGTAAAACAGCGAACGAAAAGAGTGGGCGAATAATTTGGGCGAAAAGAGAAAAGTAATTTTGGGAGAAAGAGGTTCCGCCCGGGAACGTCCTGGAATTGGGCCATAATGAACCTTTTTTTCAAAAAGGTATACGCTAATTAGGCCACTAAAATCTTACATTTATAGCAGGTAGACCTGGTGATTGGGCTACTATTTTAAACGATTTGTTTAATATTGAATCCGGTAATTGAGCCACTATATTTCAATACATTTTAGATTTGACAAAAGAAAAACCTCTATTTGACATCACTATTTTAAACCATATTATAATTTTTTTCACGATTACAAATTTAAATTTCTTATATGTTCGCTATTATCGATTTGTGTTGATGACACTTTTGAATACTGTGCAAAGCAATCTGTATCAGATTATTTTTAAAAAAATTACTTGACTAATTTTATATTTATTAAAAAAAAAAAAAATTGAATATAATTACTTTTGTGTAAGAGAAAAAATTAATAATTATTTGACTTATTTTATAGATATTGTATTTTATATTATGCATTTTAATATACTTAAAATTTTTGTATTATACATTTGTGGCCCAATCTCAAGGTAATATAATGTACAAAAATATTGTTAACGAAACAGGTAGATAAAATGTGGTTCCATTTTCCAACCGCCCCCTCTCGGATTATCAATAGGTATCTCTATAATAATATATCCCTACGTGATTTTATGCCAAAGTCGAAATTAATTAATTTAGAAAAAAACTTTCAACTGGGTATACACTATGCAGTGTTACAGTGGTAAAGGTATTTTTTCAGTTTTGTTTATCGCGGTACTAACTGTCTATGCCCGACCAAATATTTTATCTCTAGCGTTTCCCCATAGATACCTACTATACCTACTAAATATTTTCTATTTAATATTTTATCTTCATACGTCCTGACACGCGTGATGTATGATAGCCGGTAAATATTATATCGGTATAATATGATGTCATATTGTGATGAATTCGAATAATAGATTAATAAATATTTATGACTATGAACAATTTTGAGTTGAACTTGTAGTAAAAATAAGGTAGGGAAAAAAAAGAAAGAAAAATAATGGTATTCTGTGTTCTGATACGAAAAACAAAATTAAATTGGCAACGAATACTCCTCAAATTGATTATACAAAAAAAATAAATCGACGTGCCTCTAGGAAAATATTTTAATAAGCATTGTTGGTTTTCTGTATACATTTAGATGCGCAATGATAATTATAAATCGAAATAATCATTTTCCAATTTTACAATGAAATAAACCACTATAGAATATTTGTCAACAGAAAAAGAAAAAATGCACGAAAAGCGCAACCGATCCGTGCGCGAATTATTCGTTCGACTGCGTTGCGCTTTGTTAGTAGGTATCTATAATATATTTTACTGCACGGGTAGGTCAACGCCAATCGTAGGTACTTACGATATTTTCGACCGAAACGACAGTCACCCCGCACAGTATGCTCGTGTTATCAAAACACTAGCGGGCTTTCGGCCGAACTACGGGTGTTATTTAAAAAAATTTACGTCCACGGACGTATTTTATGTAGGGGATCGGGGGGAGGGGGGGCAACATTTCAAGGAGGCGTAATAATTTTTTAATACGTGGTAAAACTGCAGTTTTTTTTTATGTTTAGTATTAATCTCGTCCCACCGGTGACACTCGTTCAGCGTGCGATGCTTAAAATAATGTGTTTTAGAGTCCAATGAATAATATACAAAAATCGAAATGTAAAATGTGCAGCTCGGATTCAATGGCGTCCGCAGGGGGGGAGCAAAACGGGCCTTTGCCCCCATCTGGGATTTTCAACTGTATAATATACTTTTATAACGCATAATGCCATTACACTGTTTTCACCGTAACAATATGAAACATTTCTAGAGTAGAACGTTTTGCGCCGTGTGGGATTTTATCCTGCGGGCGCGCTAGCTGGGATTTCCAGTGATGTGTTGTGGAAAAAAACTGTGTTCGTCTAAAAGGGCGCTGGATAAAATTTCCTTTCAGAAAACGTGCTACACATGATACACCGGAGCAAGATTTCTGGTAGAAAAATTGTTTACAGATAATACAAAAAATAATTATAAACATGATTGTAAAACCAATACCCACATTTCTCGCTTCGCCCGGAATCAAAAATACCTATATGGGATACATACATTATTTTAACTACAGCTTAATTGTCTTTACTGTCTTTACCACTCAAATTATATAATCATTCAATTTTTACGAATACAGATTTATTTAAATTAATTGTCTACAGTAGTAACAAAATTAAAATGGTTACTACTCGTATTTGTTTTGACAAATTATATACCTATATTTTGGGGTATTGGGCGTGAAAACTTGTAATTTTTTAAATTTCTTAACTATTACTGCGGTACTTACCGCAATAGACGTTATATTAGCGTAATTTTACAGGAATTTTGACAATGCGATGTAGACTGTGCACAATTATCGTGTAGAATGTAAAAGCTTGGCCGTATTATAAGCGAACGTCAAACGCTCTGTACATCAATTATATTTACTATTATGAACACCGGAAATTAATGTAGGTATTCATATCCCGAGTTTAGAGAAATATAAGATTTTGTAGATATTTTTCCAGAAATTGTCACACACACACACACACATTTCCAAATACCTATTACGACGATAAAAGATTGCGCAGATTCTATGAATCAACTAGATTGCACGCGAAAATCGTTTGCGTGTTATATCTAGAAAACGGATTTTTTATGTAAAAAAAATGTCAAAATATGTAGGAAAATATGAATGTTGTTAATTTGTTCACGAGTCCAGCAACTCGCCTGTATCGCAATGCAAATAGGTATTAATTGTTAAATTCTATCACGTAATGACAAATGACGTTATAGCGTCTGACGTAATGAATGACTTTTATGATGATTCGTGATAACGAGAATTGTGTTTAATTTAATGAATCCGGGAACCTGGGAGTTGACCCATTAGTTTGAACCGAGTCAAGTAAACCGATTCGTGGCACTGGTTTAAAACTCCTATTCCTGCAATAACGAGAGTTGTAAGTGATTTTGACTCTCTGGAAATGATCACTGGGCGAGGCGAAATAAATTAGTTTTAACATCAAATTGTTGGTAATCGAAATCATCGGTCACGCCGATTTTACGGTAGGTACGTCGTTACTAACATAACGAACTTGTTACTAGTTATTAACGTACTATGTAATGTATCAACCGGGTATTTTTTGTTAAACACGGTGTATTTATTTTAACATACATGGTTTACGGTGACGAGGTCGTTCATTGTTGCCGGTATTCGGTAACAACTAACAAATAACAATGCTGCGTTATCGGCAGTTCGCGGCGATTATAATATCTTGTCGGGTTTCTTCCATGACGGTGTGGGTGTGAGCCGCTTCGCAGTCACTATGTCCCACGTCGATGGCGGCGGCGATTTGGGTTCGCGGGGCAGCGGGGTCACGAGGGCGTAAACCGCTTCGGTACGGTGATAGCGACAGCAGCAGCAGCAGCAGCAGCAGCAGCAACGAATTTTAATCAGTCCCGTCGTCCTCGGGCTGCGTTCCGTTTATCAGTTTGTGTCGGTTTCATACATATTACAATTATTGTTAATAAACCTAATTGTATTATTCTATTATTATTGTTAATATTATTATTATTATTATTATTGTTATTGAAAGATGTTCGTTATATTTGTATAGTTTTGTTCCGTCCAGACGAATTCGCTACGCCACGTTCTCAGCAGCAGAGGCAGTATCGTCGCGGCACATCCGGCGATCGACACCCGGACGTTTTCGCCCGTGCCATTTCCGTTGTTGTAAAAGAAAAAAAAGCGCATACCTACCCGACTACCTGCAGCTACGGACCGCACGGACGACGACCGTCCCCCGTTAAAAATCGTTGTTCGCACGCCACGGATAGTAAAAATTCGTGCTTCGATCTTGGAATGACCAGTACAGCCGTCTGCCGTGCATAATGACTGTCGATTTTTGTGATTATTTTTGGGTAGGTCGTTGTTTACAATAATGGAAAAATGAGAAACTAACAAAGCCGCGTTTGAAGGCGGGCCAATGTCGAGGGGGGGGGGGTCGAATTTCATGATACTTGGAGGGATGACAAATTGTTTTGAACCAGAATAGTAAAATTACAACTGTACCTAGTCAAAATTAATTTTTTCCGATGGGCGGTAGTTTAGCTTAATGTTCTACTTGCATTCTGGTTCTATAACTGTGGGTACCACTGGTAGTATGTGGTAGGTTGTATGGTAGCAATATGTAAAATTAATTAATAATTGTTTTTAATGGATCTAATTGGTACTATATTTTATATGTTTATTTTTTATATTAACTATATTTTAGTAACACTGCCTTATATTTTAATCACTTTGGAATAAGTATTAAGACATTATGAATAGTTCAATTTTTAATAATATATGATATGTGACAGATACATTACATATAAATGGTACACGAACAAAATGTTTTAGAACCTCTGGTACTGGAAAACTACTTAACCTGTATTACCTATACTATTACGATTCTGATTTGTAAACATTTTCTTCTAAGACATGCTGCTTTTAGAGCCCAAGACTCACAAACATGTCTGCACTCTTCCTTATAAAATGTTTTATCATTTTTGTTGACAGTTGAATAATTTGTTACCATTGTCCAATCATCTACTCAGACGAATAAATCCTTTTGAGATCATCAATATTCAACCAGATGATATACCTATACCTGTATTTTTAAATTTTTTTACAATGAATTATTTTTTAGTGTGAGGTTTATTTAAAAAAAAAATAAAAGATTGTTAGCGGTCTAAGGAGTAAAATTAGTTTATATCTAAATTTAAATTGAATATTTTATTTCGGTAGTAGTAGGAAATTATAAAATGAATTACAACTGTTCATATTTGTAATAAATTTAAACTTCAAATACTGATAAAAATAATTTAATTTTAATAGCTTAACTTTTTTTTTATGAATTTCATTATTCATATCAGTGGCGTACTTAGAATTTTACCAAGAAAGGAATTATTGAATATTGAAATATTTTGTTTTAAAGATTGTATAATGTGTACCTTCTATAGGTTCTATAGCTAGAACAAAAAACAAAAAAATCCAATTTCAAATTTATATATTTTTAACAAGTATTTTATAATTTGATCTTCATATAAACATTGGCATATTGTATATTATTAGTTTAGTTGTACTATTCCAATAATAAGAAAAAGAAGAACCTTTTTTATATTAAAGTGGTTCTGATAGGTTTTGTTTTTAATAAGAACAATTACTTATAGTTAAGGTTTATTTTTTAATTATTAACTTGCTACCTACCAATATATTTTTGATTTGTATAATTGAAAAGTAAAGTATAGAAGTTTGAGTTTGATAAATAGATATTCACATAAATAATAACTATTAAAAAAATGTCGAGGGGGAGATATATCTCCCTGATCTCCTCCCATAAATTCGCCACTGGTTCATACTTATAATTTGAAAATTTACGAGCATTAACTAGTAGTGGTGTACAAAACATTCATGGATTTCACAATCTTTAAAATGCTTATAAAAGAAATTCTAACTACAGATTTGTAATGTTTTTCTATTGTCATAAGAATAAATATTAAAGACCCATGTGTCAAATGTTTGAGCATTTATAAAGTATTTAAAAATTGTATCCATAACACCAAAATAAAAAGTCAACATTTCAGATACCTAGTTTTCAAAAATTCAAAAATGTTAAAATATTTGAAAACAATATTATTTTGTTTGGAAAGTACTTAAAGAAGTATTATAATTTATATTATTAGTTTACCCTTAATTTAATTTTAACATGTTAGTTTAATAAATAATTATATATTAATTTTTTTAGGGTGACAAAAATAATGGCTTTGATATTTTGTACCACAATATGAAACATGGATTAATAGCTAGTAAAGATCTTTCAGATTTTTTAAGAGAAAGGTGAGTTTTTTTTATTAGAGACCTAAATAACTTTTTTTAGATTCTGAACAGAGTAAGGAATGTATTGGTTTTATATTATATATTCTGACCACCGTAAGAGTAGTAGTCGGCGGTGATGCGTTTTTGTCGCTTACGGGGGTCAGAGCCATGTCCATTTGATGCTGCCCGTCAAACATTTCTCGCGCACACATTCAAATTCAATTTTTCGTACATTTTATTTCGTTCATTATACATTGTGCGGCGGCGGAAATGCATTTCAAGTTATTTATACAAGTCGGCTGTCAATTGTAGACTAATACAGCTCTCAGGGACGACAGAGCCAACGCTCCGTGCACATATTGATGGCCACGCCCATGCGCGTAACTTGGCGGCTGACTACTACTCTTACGATGAACAGAGTACATATATATTTTTTATTTTATAAACAACTTTTTTATCAGAAATTTTGCTCCAATTTTCAGGAACTTTTTCTAAAAGGAAATCTCACTGGGGTGTTACTTTAGAGAGATCAATGATTGATTTTTCTAGTATTTTTCTTAATAAATGCAAAAAATTGTGAGAAAAGATAATATACAAAATGTATTTCAAATCATAAATATTATGACTTTGAAAAACTTATGCAACCAAATTCTGTTCCCAGCTTTTCGTTAACAATGGTTAATCTTTGCATACAGATATACATTAACTTTCCCTATTCTGTGAAGTATTTTTGTTTGTTTTTATAATTTGTATTATTTTTTCATAGAACTAACATTGAAGAAACATGTTCAAAATTACTTGCAAAGTTAGCTAAACAGACTAGTAGTACTTCAACTACAGGTACATTTAATCCATTATGGCAATTACTTAGAGTATCCATAGAAAAACTTTCCACAATACATTTACAGATGGTACATAAAGTATGCGAATTAGTAAAAGATGTTAGTAAATATACAGATGAATTACATAAAAAACACAAAAATGTTAGTAAAATTTACAAATTTATTAATTAAAATAAATTTTTATAAAAATTATCTTTTTATCATAATATAATGTTAATATATAGGTTAAAGAAGAACAGAGTGGTACATTAGATGCTGTACAAATCATACAATCAACTACATTAGCATTACAAAAAGCTAAAGATATATATATTCAAAAAGGTGGAGAGTTGGATAAACTCAGAAAAGATAATGCTTCTGCCAAGGATATCGAAAAAGCTGAATTAAAATTAAAAAAAGCTCAAGATGACTATAAAGTATTGGTTGAAAAATATAGTTCTGTGAAAGAAGAATTTGAAAAAAAAATGTCTATGGCTTGCAAGGTTAAAATAATTTGGTACCATATAAAATTTATTGTTTTCTAATAATTTTTATATTTAAATGCAGCTTTTTCAAGAAGTCGAGGAATCACATTTAAAACAAATGAAAGACTTTCTCAACTTGTATACAGAGTTAATTGAAACTAACCATGAAGAAATTGGAAAGGTCAGTTAACAATTGTAAAATGGATTTGTGGCCATCTTAAAAACTTATTTTTATTAACTTATATGTTCTAATATCTACTTTTTTTTCACCAGTAATAATTCAAAATCTAGGTGAATATTTTTAAAAAATAGTTTTTTTTTTTTTTAGGTCCATGTAGAATTTAAAAAACAATGTTTAGAAATGACTGTTGACAAATTATTGGAGCAATTTGTCTTAACAAAATATACAGGTTTTGAGAAGCCAGGTAACAATATTAATTTGTAAGCAATATTAATGTATTATATTCTTATTATTGCATTTATTCCTTTATTAGAAAATATTGAATTTGAAGAAGTTTGTCTGAATAGTACTTCTAGTAGTTTGAATCAGGTTCCAGACTCATCAAGTGATACAAAATCAGTACAAGGAACTAATTCACCCGTGTTAACTAACACCACACAAAATTCATGTGCAGCTAGTGTAGCATCTGAAAAGCCTTCTACGGCAAAACGCGAAGGTAATTGCCGTATAAGGGACAAGAAAGATGCTATCAATTACCAGTCCTCCAGAGCAACATCCTTACTCAATATCTTCATCTCCAACTCCCACGGTATGTTCATTTAACAATCAATTTTTTTCAACCTCGCAATCGGCCTACCAGAACTGCTATTATAGTAGAATTTTTTCTGCACCGTACCAGCAATCGGTAATATTAAATATCTTTCTAGCTGCTTCACAAAAGTTTATTTTTGATGTGTACTAGTTAGAATGTTTTGACCAATCCTCTTAATACATTATTGCATAAATGCATTAGTTTCTTTCTAAATCATTATTTTAATTCATTTTAATCACTAAAATACTATCAAAATTATAATGATATATTGCCAACATTATTTATATTTATGCTGATATAATTTGGTTAGAAAAAAAAATAAACAAGTATGTCCTCTACTATTAACATGTTGATGGACACTAAATTTTATTTTATTTTTTACTTTAAAACCTTCCAAAAAATATATGTGAACAATATGAAAATAAAGTGCCTATTGGCCTGTTGAGATGTATTGGATCAAAAAAATATTCTCTATTGTAAAATACCATTGAAAATATTGTTACTATAGCAGTATTATTTGCCTACTGTCCATCAACTGTTAAATAACAGCATTTTCTTTATTTATATTGTTACTCAGTTTCTCTATTTTTGTTTGAAGTTATAATTCCAAAAACTAAAACAATTAGTTACCATTTTATAATCAGCATAGCTTTTAAGTGTTACTTAAACTGAATTTAAGTTCCACCTAAATACATTTCTGTAAAATTGCATTACATAATTGACAATTAAGTTGGTGTTATTCCATTAAGTCATAAGTGTCATAATTTATGCGGCTGATCACCTGCACTTAGCCTTTCAAATAAATATTATGCACCCATTTCGATGATATCTGGTTAAAATTAATTTAAATTAATATTTAAAATACAAAAACAATAACCTAAACATTTTATATTTACAATAATTGGGGTTTCTAAAAAAAATTGTTGTGGATATTTAATTTAAATTACTATTTGGTACTTAGTACTTATGGTTATACGTTTCACTGATCTTTTAGCTTCTTCAATTTTACGCAACATCTAATTTCAAAGTATTTAAAGTTATACAAAAAATATGATAATTATATCATATTATTAATAGCAAAGGTAATAATCAAGAATTTGTATCAGGGTTGTTAAACATATTTCAACAAATTTGTCAATTAAAATAGTTTATAGAATAATTGTATACTTACTAAAATAGGTAACTAATACGATGTTTTATTTAATTTTCAATAAATAAACTATATTGTCCTATTAGATTTGAACATTTTATACAATGTAAAAATTGTTCTACTTTCTACTATGCCCATATTTAAACAAAATTTGATAAAAATAGCAATAATAAATTATGTTATTCAAAAATATTTTTTTTAGTATTCATAATTTGAATTTTAATGCTTGTTTAATTGTATTTAAGTTCTTAATTATAAAATATTAATTATAAATTATAAATAATAAAACCTAAAATTATAAAAATTGGTAAAATAAATAACGCTTAAAAATTATTATTTAATGCTTTCTAAACAAATTAAGTTGTACAGAACAAATTGGATAATTTAGTATGGGTACTTATTTAAAATTATGACTGGATAATATTCTCTTTAAAATTACTAAAGTAAATATCACATAACAAAAATGTATTTATTTATTTCAACATAAATTGCATGGTGTTGAAGTAATTCCATATAAGTATTATTAGTTTATAACAGCGGACCAAGTTTTTGTTGGGGGTAGTAAAAAAAAAAATTCTCACAAAGGCCCAAAGAAATATTAAGAAATGTTTTTGTAAATCCAAATATTTAAATTAGTTCAGAGAGCTAATCATTAATAACCAGAGGGTCATAGTTTGGCTACCACTCCTCTATGGTACTTAAAGTATTTGGAAAATATGTATTCAATGGCTGGAACTACTAAAAATATTGGTGTAAAAATAATTCAACTTTTGTTTTAACTCATACGGTGTACTAATAATGTGTATCATATTTTTATGCACAGAAATAAATATTAATATAAGCTTTTTTTTTTTAATGTTACATTAAATAATTTATTATACCTAAATACTAACCAATTATACTTACATAATTTGTATTATTTAATTTGAATTATTATCATCAATATCAAATTATCATAATTATCAAAAATAATTATAATTCATTTTTAAACTAAGAGAGAAAATATTTCTTGTTAGGCTAATAATATCTAATATCATGGCTAAATATTTATCCATAATGAGGAGAGTAAATTAAATACTAAATTAAACTATTATATGCAATGGGGGAGCTATCCATCCATCCTATCAATTTGTTTTGTTATTTCAAATATTTAGAAACAAAGTATTATATTTAGGTTATATTGAGTGTTTCAAATATTATTAAAGCTATTAACTGACTTTTAGATTCTAAGTATAGCAAATAATGTGTTGGTTGTAATGTGTCTGTGTTTAATTTTTTTTTCTACCAGAAATACTTTTCCAAACATCAACTTCAGGGGCAGTTTCAATTTTAATAGCAATTATAAATAATATAAAAAAAAATTACTTTATACATCCTACCTTACCAGGTTTCTCTCAAACAGAGGCCTATCCATGAGCAATGTTCTGTCTTATACATTCATTATATAGTAAAATTGCATTCAGTAGAGACAAACATGTACTATTCATTTTAATATTTGTGTGAATGTCAATCATACAATTTAAATGTAAGAAGGTATACCGATTTGTAACCGTGTAGAGTTTTTTTCTTTGATAATTTAATTTTTTAGCAAGATATAAATATTTTTAAATTGTGTTAATATTTTATTATCTTAATTATTAATTTTATTATGTGGAGCAAAACAAATAAAGGGTTATTTGCTCTTGATCTGGAGTTTGAAAAGATAATAAAATACACAAATGAAAAAAAATAGAGGTATCAACAAATTCGTTTATTCCATGGGTCACGGAAAAGCGCATACCAAAGTGGTAATACGGTAATAATGCACACATACGACCACGGTCAGAGGTTGCGACAATACTTAACTATAAGTTTGTGCGAAAACCCCGCCCACGTTTTATCAGCAATTGCGAATTACTATCGTTATCTGATTGGATGGGTACTCGCCACGAAATTATTTACAAACAATATTATAGATATATAATGCAAAATAAATAAAATATTATATTATACAAAATAAATTACCACAATTATCTTAATATTATCTTGCTTAAAAATTGAAATATGGTAAAAAAATTAGTAAAACTTGACACCTTAACCCAGATAATCTCACCTTTAGGTTTGATTATAGGCCACACATTAAAATTAACAACACAAAATTGTCTCTGGTGCATGCAAATTTGCTAGGTCTTGCATTTATAAGAAAGACAGCAAATTTGAGTATTTATTCTCTTAAAGCTAATATAAATCAAAAATAAATTCTAAATATATACATATATTTAAGAAAACTGCCAACATTGCCATAATTTATTTTCAGTCGAAATAACTATTTTTTGTTTCAAAACTATAGAAAGACCTCTCCCTCCATTAAACAAATTCGCACACCCTAATCCCCCATAATTATGACTAGCCATAATATCATTGATTATATATATAATTAATATATTGAATGCTAACACTGTGTATTACAATTTTATTTATTATATGAAATTAAATGTACTTTTGACATGAACACTGATTGGTAAAAGATATTTTACTACTTACAAAAATCACATCTCTCAAGAATATTATTTATGAATAATAGGGTATTTTTCTTTCATATTTTTATATATTTTTAGATATTATAATTAATAAATCTAATTTTTACAAAATATGTATAATTTACTATTCATTTGTATAATATACATGTTATTAATCATTATTATCCTGCCAAATTATTTATTTTGCATGTATTTTACTATATAATTTAATCATAAGCTTGTGTGTTGTTGTTTAAGTAATAGCTGTGTTTACAGGTGCTTTTTCAAAATCAAACAGAACTGTCAGTTTAAGTGCTGATCACACAGCTTATTCACTTCCCCAGAATTCTATTCGTGGATCAAAATGTAATTCGTATTCATTATTATTGATCCTTTTGTAGTGTTTCTTGCATGTTTGCGTTTATTTATTTTTAATACTTTTCTATTTTTTTTTATTAAGAATGATTCCTTCTAAAGTGCTGTAATCAGTTTTGTTTAGTGGTATATTGGTCTTGTTATCTGCTACTTAAACATATATATATATATATATATACATAGAGTAAGTTTCAGCATACTGATAAATAACAAATTTTAGTTACCTAAAAATTTTTTCATGTTTTGTAAAAATTAACTTAATTAAAAAAAAAATTAATTACAATACAATTTTGTCAGATTAATTATTTTAGTAAAAAATTAATTTTTATTAATATTTTGAAAATTCTGAAAATTTTGATTATTCTGAAATATATTTTATGCATAAATGTATTATTTTAATATTGCTTTTAAACAAATTATTCTTGTACACAAATTTAAGATTATTTACTGTAGTTATTTGTATATTTTTAATAAATACGCATTACACTGTTCATTAAATAATTAATTGTATTACCTATTTGAAGCAAATTAGATCATTTTTTTAAATTAAATTTAATAGCATAATATAATTAATAATATGTCTAATTAAACTGCTTGTTTTTATATTTATATTAAAAATTTAAAAAACTGCTTTTAATGGGAGATATTTTTTATTAATGTTGGCAATTATAAAATATGTATGGGTAGGTTTTATGATTAAGGAAGTTGTAAACTGTAATACTTCCATATTCGTATTAAGGTGAATGGTCAAATATTATACAAATATTTTCATCTGTTATGTATTCATCAATCACAATAAACATTTTAAAATAAAATAAAAAAAATATGTTTTTGTTTTCATAAATGATAAAGAACCTAATGATTTACATTTTTATTTATTATTAATTTCATTATACATTATTTTATAAATATTTTTCTTTGTTTAATCTACTTATATTAAAAAATTTAAATAGAATTATTAGGAATATTTTCTGTTTCAAAAGATTTTTTTTTTTATTTATTGGACTGTATGCGTTTTATGAACTTATTTAGTAATCCTTACAGTTATGCTTTAAAACTAAAAATACATCATTTTTATTAACCTATCTTTATATTTAGCATGCTGCCATACAAGTACACAAAGTTCAAGTAAACCAATTATTTCAAGGTAGCCAAATTTATGAGGCTATAAGTATATTTAATTTTATATTAACTAAAAAAACATATCCTTAAATGAACTTCCTTTTGGTCCTTAAATATTATCCTTTGAAATGGCTTTTGTTGCATTTGTTTTTAATTATTACCTATTTTATTACATTTTTCATTTTAGTTGCATGATGTTTACAGTTACCATAAGTTATATTTATTAATCAATTTTTACAGTGCCAAATACAAAGAGAATGTGCTGATATTTTAAGAAATAACATACATTTTTATTTTTACATGCAAATAATGAGTATAATAATTGTCTCTTTGTATTGTGTGCTCAATAATTAGTATTTATCTAGTAGTTTAATAATCGATATGTGTTCAGGGTTTTTAAGGAGCAGACGGGACAAACGTAAAGAAAAAAAAACTAAAAAGAAAAAAGAACCAAGTAGTGAAACAGTTGGTAAAGAAGATAAATCTGACAAGTATATATTTAATATTGAAGTATTGTACAATACTTAATTATTTTGGTTTCAATCTTTAGTGAGGAAAAAGAAGAAGAGGAATCAAAAAATTGTGCACCAGAAATAGATGATGAAGGATATTGTATTAAGCCAACAGAACAATGGAATGTTGAAAAGGGGAACTTTTTTTCATCTTCAGATTCAGGTTGTTAATTTTTTCTTACTGTGATTTAAAAATGATAATTTCATAAATAGTGAATTGTTTTTTTAGAGGACGATAGAGACAAAAGACTACATGTTGAAATAAAACCATTAAGCAATGGATCAGGTCCAATAAGTGCAAGTGTTGACGAATTAAGAGCCACTGTTGAAAACATATCATTATTACCCATAGGAACACAAACATTAAAAGTAATTTTTAAAACATGTATATATTATGTACCTATTTGATGTGTCTATATTATTATTATGTATTATGAACTTTGGTTGAATTATTAAATTTTAGAATAGAAGAGGTTCAATTAATGATGACAGTACAATGAAACGTTCTAAATCGGTATCACAACAACTGAACACTGTGTAAGTTTATTTAATAAAAAAAAATTGTATGCATTGTAATCATTTTTTACTTTTATTTATTTTTATTTTATTGATATGTGTATATATATATCACTAAAGGCATTTTAAAATTTGATTTAATATTTTAGAAAAATTAGTAATGATCTAATAGGACTGAATTTGTTTCAACCAAGCGAATCTTCTAATCTAGTTCAACAGCCCAATCCACTAAATAGTCCTACATTATCATTAACTAATAAATCCATTTCTCCACCAAATGTTTATCCCGTGGTATCTCGATATGCTGCAGGTAATATTCACTTAATGTTTATTTTATCTAGAATAATAATAATATCTTTATAATAACAAAAATGAAAATGTTTAGACCTAGGTGATTTATTTTTTGAAATCAGTGACATTCACCAATCTACTCCAAAACCAACACTACAACCAACAACTCCTACAGGGCCTTCTATATCTATTCCTCGCCCTCCATCTCGAAGAGAGGTAATTATTATAATCAATTTAAATCAAAAAAATGAATTAGTATTCAATTGCTGTAAAGTTTATTTTTAAAAATTATTTCTCTATCTATTTGATTCCTTTATTATAATTTGATTTGCTTTATTCAATAACATACAATTTATTAAAATTAATGTTTTATTACATAGAATAATGGACCCCGTAATCAACTTAGTCCAATAAGCATTGGAAGAACAGACAGTGTATCGAGTCTTGAATATCGATCTTCTGGAGTTTTAGGACCATCTAGAGGACCATCACCATTAACAATTGGATTATCTGATTCCATTCCATTAGCTGTTGCTTTTCATGAAATAATTCATGCTTATTTTAAAGGAGCTAATGAGTCAAGGTATTTATTATATTACATATAAAAATAACTGTAGTAGATCATTACTCTAAATAATGTAAATTATTCTGTTTAATGGATTTATTTTTAGGTGCCAAGTTAAAATGTTTGGAGATATGATGGTATCATTTCCTGCTGGTATTGCTAATATTTTAGTAAATAATCCTAATCCAGCTAAATTAACATTTCGATTAAAAAATACTACAAGAATAGACAATATTCTTCCAAATAAACAATTAGTATTATCGTAAGAAAAACTTGACCAAAAAAAAATATAAATAAAATTGATTTTCAATTTAATTTTATTACAGAGATAACCCATTTACAACCACTGATTCCACCATTTACGAGTTCATTATGCCAGCTCTAACTTCATTATTGCGTAAACAGTTTGAGCAAAATCCTGTTGCATCTTATTTTAATGTTGATATACTTAAATATCAAGTTAGTAACTGTCATTAATATATAATAAATAATTTGACCTTTAGTTATTTGAATATATATTTTTTTAGGTGAAATTACGCAATACTGCTGCAGCATCATGTCCATTCCAATTGGTTTCATTTTATAAATGTAGTAATACTTATACAGATCTTAAAATTGACTATAAATTTAATAGTCACTCTATGAGTGTTCCTTCACCTTTACTCAATGTTACAGTGTCTGCTAATTTAAATTCAGCAATACGTAATATGCAGTCTAAACCTACTGCACATTGGTAATTTTTATGAAATTTTCATTAATTAAAAATTATTGTGTAATTAATATGAAATATTTATTTTGTAGGCAATCTGATACAAAAACTGTTTCTTGGAAATTTGCTGAACTTGCTCAATATTCTGAAAGTCAGGGTTCTGGTTCATTAAAAGCAAGGTTTGAGGTTGATAATTTATGCCCTATATCAACAATAGTTACTCAATTTAACTGTGAGGGTACTACATTGTCCGGAGTTGAATTTGAGTTAGTGAGCGGTGGTTATAGAGTATCTTTGATCAAAAGACGCTTTGTTGCAGGTAAATTATTATATGAATTACTATTCATTATAGTGCTGTAAAATTATTGAAATTTGGTTTTGTTTTATATTCAATTCTTATACATTTTAAAATAAATAGCATAAAGAATGTTCTTATACTGCTTGCTATTGATTAGCTAAAACAACAATAGGTTGGGTAGTTTTTTTTTAATTTCCTAATCCAAAAAAGATGTATTATACATTATATATAATGTGGTTCACTGAAATGGTAACACAAAATATTTCTGTACAGTGACCTCAGATTGAAATGGGGTTTTCAAGTCTTCAAGAAAAGATAGGAAATACTGAAATACACATTTTGTATAGATTTTTAAATTTCTTACTCTTTCAGTATATAATGTATGTGCAATAATAATTTTTTAAATGGAAACAACTTATATAATACATTTTTCCATTATCTCAATAATTTGTCTAGATACAGCTGGTTAAAGTTAAAACAAATTTATTTTATTTTAAAAAATGTATTACAAAAAATACTCATCAATATGGCTTGGAACTTAATACACTTAAAATCCACAAAAACCCACTTAAAAACATCAAATAAACTCTAAAAAAAAATATTTAAAAAAGCAAAAACAATAGAAGGGTTTAAATGTTCCCCCTTTAGCAGCTTTAGCTAATGAAATACAATTTTCTAAAACTTCAAAACTAAAGTTGACTCAGTTATTTTTTTAAATACATGTATAATTTTATTCAAACAATATTTTTTTGTTAATAATTTGTTTCATGTTAGAAAACTATATTTAATAATTAATTTGTTAGACAGGGAACATTTAAACCCTCTACCATTTAGTCTAATAATATTTGTTTAAAGTGTTTTTTTTTTTTCAAGGCTTATCCATTAGTCAACCAATAAAGCTCATATACTGATAAACCAATAAATGCTTACAATACAATAAGTAGGTATTTCAATAGGTACTTGGTATTTCTGAGTAAATTAACTGACAAATGTGCACCACATTGAAAACTGAACAGAAATATTTTGTGTTACCATTTGAGTGAACCATACTGTATATATGTGTATATATCAAAGTATTCATTTTTGAAAGATGTTTGTAACTTTATATATTTTCATGGTCATCACTTAAAATTTAAAACTGTAGTTTTATTTTTGTAGAGGTAGATGAAAATCAATCTACTACTACCATGTACTATCAATCTACAATCAATATAAACTATCTATATAAAATACATTGTGTGAGTAGATTATTAATAAATTATTAACTTTTGTTTAGGTAAATATATTTGTGATGGTGAACCAGATCCAAAAAGCTCTATTCAACATTCTGCTGTATCATCAAACATTTCTTGTACAGATTGTTAACTACCCAGTTTATATACATATTATTCATTTGTTTTTATTTATATTTTTATATTATTTAAACCCAGTTATAATCTCATTTTTTTTTTCTTGACCATTTTGTTTCTTGATTCATATAGTTCATATCTTTTGTTTTTAATAATCTATACAAGAATTAACATTAGTTTTATAAATCAGTTTTCCTTACAATTTATTCTGGCATTTAAATAGCCTTTAATTATCATTTTGATATTTGATTAACTGTTTCTTTTTTAGTAAACTTGTATGGTATTATTTACCATTATAAATTTAAAAATTAGAACAAAACATAATAATATTGTACTTATGTTATGAGATAATAATGAGACAAATGGTTATAATATATTTTGTATCATATAATGATATAACACTCTAATACTTATCAAATAATTCACTTACAATTATTATTATTAAACTTACTACTAAAGTTTTTATCATTATTTTTCGTACATAGTTGCAATATAACCTAATTTAATATCTATACTTAAATTTTAAATAAATATAAAAATAGTTGAGATTTATTCTTTGAAATGCATGCAGGGATATCAGTGACTTTGAGCTACAATTATGTCTTTGATATGAAGGAATGTATATTTTAATCATATTCTACCTATATTTATACTTTTACATTTTATACTTCTTATCATTATTTCATATAAAATAGGCAACAATGAAGGATGTCTTTTGGGTATTTGATTATGCAAAAAAAAAACTCGATCTGATTGTAATAATCTCTTTTTATTTTAATCTTATTATTATTGTGATATGTTTATCAATATTATTGACTTGTTTATGCTTCCTTGTTGTATTCTTTAGTATTTGATAACTATGTTGCTATTTCATTGTTTATCAGACTTGTGATTATAATTCAAAATATCAGATAATTTACTTTCTCATATAAAAATATTTAATAATAAGTTAACGTTTTTAGAAATAGGAATTTGCATTACATTTGTTGAATTGGACCAATGTATTGCATAGATATATTCCAAGACATATAAATATTACCCACATAATAATATTATGATTTAATTCTGTAAGAATCAAAATATAAATTTAAAAATTAATAAATTTTTAAAATGTATAAATAGGTATTTAAATTTTAAGTTATCAATATTTTTGGCTCAAAAATGTAAGTACCAAATACTTGGTATTGTTAAAATTATTATTGTAAGCAAAGATTGCAATTTATTTTTTCAGATTTAATAATATATTATATTAGTATCTACATCTGTATATCAAATATTATATAAATATATATTTCTTTTACTATAATATTAATGTATTTTATATTTAAAAATACTGATAAAATTAAAATCTAACAATATATTATACTTAAAAATCCTAAAGGTATTGTAAAAATATCTCCCCCCTTGATTTTATTCCAACATAATTAATCGATTACTGTTGATAGTTTTTGGGGCATAATGTATTTATCCAATCCTTACTTTTGCTATTTTATATAATTAGTATTTGTATTGTATTTTCAATTTTACTGAATTCTCAATTCTAAATGTGTCGTGTTGAAGTCAAAAATCCCATACTTATATATTTTTTATAAGTACCTACTATTATGTCAGATAAAATTAAGTTATCTCGGAATCATTGTTCAATTCAACAGTTGAAGAATGGTTCCAAATTTATAAATATATGTATAAATTTAGCTATACATTTTCACAAGCTATTAGTTTGAAGCTTAAATTAAGATGCTATCTTAATTAGTGGTTTTATGTGAAAATTTGAATTAAATATTTATGATATTAATAATAATAACTAAATACCCACTGATATATATATGTATACGTATATTATATCAGTAAATACCTAAACAACTGGTAAAGGTTCATTATATAGATATAATCTTGTAGAACCATCCACTAAAAAAATCAATAATGCATGTGATGCCATGGCAACTAAGTTATATAATACATGACAATATGTATCCTCTTTTTATTTAACATAAAATAACTAGAATTGAACTGAACCAAACTTTTAAAATATTTTATCCAACTTGAACATTGATAAAGTAAAAATATTAGGTTAGATCAAAAACCTATGTTCTTTAACTGTTTGGCCCAGTAATTTAGGCCCACTAATGTGTAGAAAATAGAATTTTTCTTTTTCTTAACAATGCCACAGAACAATCTCTTTTATGCTGTGTATTATAATATAATTCTATTCACGGTATACACCATTTTTTAACTTTTTCAGCTTAATAGAGTAAGAAAAAAAATAATGATTAATGGACTTTAATTTTTTATATGAATTACTCAATAATATGATTGATAGCCTTGAATTATTGTCCATGATTAAATTTAAGGTTTCTTTATGTAATTTAAGATTTGTTGAATTATTTTATTTGCCTGTAGCAACAAAAAATTTAACATCTAATTCTCCGATGTATTGTATTGTAAAATGGACTAATATGTACAATGTTGATTTATTTGTGAATCATTAAAAGTTTGAGCAAAATTGCTGGTAGAAGAGTTATCCACAGAAGAAAAAACAAAAATAAACATCTTTGTAAAACCAAAAGCTTCTTCCTTCCATTCAGAATCTAAAAGTAAAAAGCAACTGGATATGAACAAATAAATAAAGGAACACATAGAGTAAAAATATACAAATTGGTCATTTTACAAAGAAAAAACTTATTTCAATACAAGATATTATATTTTAAAGTGAGTTATTATTAGACATAGACAAGTTAAAAAATATAAATCATTTGGTTATTATATATTATCTAAAATGTATTGATACAATATATTATTTTTAAAATTGGTTTGTACATTTAAAATAGTTAAGTTGTCTTTATTCCATTGTATTTATGTAATTCTTCAAATTAATGTAAATGAATTTTGGATATTTAATATCTCTAAATCTGTATTAATATCAAAACTTATATTATGGTTGTTTTCTAAGACATGTTTAGCAAAATTTGAATTAGATATAGTCTTTTTTAAATTTTATTTCAGCAATATGTTCTTTATATCTTACTTTAAAATTTATATTAGTCATACCTGTATACAATTTTATTACACTTACATTTAAGTTTATATATCAGAATATAATCTATTATAAAGACACCATCTTTTCAGATAAGATGTCATTTATTGATATCGATTTTTGCTACGGCCAATTTGAGAATCCATACGCCCCTGGTCAATATCTGGAACACGCACTAGAACATTATCATTCACCTGAGCAGACGGAAATCAAAAAATGACTTCTATAAAGTACAATCTAGAAAACTTGAACTTTCAGAAAAGTTGTTACACGTAAAAATCGGAGCAAAATTACTAGAATAAACGTGTCCACAGTCTAGAACAGAAAAAAAAGAAGCAAAAAAAAAAAAAATTAAACAGCATTGAAAACCAATACATTATTTTGCTTATAACAGTGACTGCATTCGGCCTCATTATCTTGGACGTCTTTTTTTGTATTATTGAAACTGTAAGATATAATAAATTTAATTTATTATTTATTTATATTTCGAAGGTGAATTGAATGTTTTTATTTATTTTGTCTAAGTAGTTAACTAAATTTTCTTTTTGTCTATTTGAACTTCTAAATAAAATTAATGTGCCATCAACATATTCATAATATGCTTTTATTCACGGACTATATATTTTTTTGTTAATAATATAATTGGTTTCATAATTTTGCTTGTATATTTGAGATAAAAGAGCACTTAAAGGTCCACCCATATTTAACCCTACTTTTACGCGAGTATAATTTATTATTACATAATATATTGAAAATAGTTTTTTTAAACAACTGATTATAAAAAAGTTACTATCAAATAAATTAATGAAATTGAAGAGCATTAATGCGTATCATATTTTTCAAACGCATTTATAAACTATATATGTTTATATGTAAATTTGTTGTTTCGGCCAATTTGGGAAGCATCGCCCCCCCCCCATGGTCATTCAATTTTCTTTTGTATCCTACCTTCCCAACTTCCCAGGTACAACAGTGGCTGCATCCACGCGCGAAATATCTCAGTCTTTTTTTTATTAATAAACCAAAGTGTGATATAACTATACAAATAAAAAGATTATGAAGTACTCTTAAATACATTAGATTAGACCACTTGAAAAAAAAATATGTTTATTAGAAGTAACTTCATGTTAAACCAAAAACCTATACATTTTGCAGTGTATTATATATGGCCGCCTTGGTGGCGAAGGAATCCATGAAGTCCGTGTAATTTTAGGTTAGGTTAACCTAATCCAATCGTAATTAATGTTCGGATAATCACGAATTTCAGTGGTATGATTTTTTTCATCATAGTATGTATTATAATTTAAATCAAAGAAAATTTTTCAAGTGGGATGGTACCAAGATAGTACAATTTCGCAGTGTCGCCAACGTTCCGGCAATAAGTCGCTCAAAGGGGAAGTACTGTGACAGAAGTCCACCACAACCTTTAAGATAACGATTGGCTGCCATTGATGACATTACTTTATATGCGTGGACTCTGGCAGACGGCTATCTAGTATTTTTATGTATCTGTGATGGCCACTTTCTGATTATAGGTTCTCTAGATTCTAATCAAAACCACGAATATTAAGATTCGATATTGAATCCAGATAAACTTAAATTAATAGACTACCAGTATTATCGTGATTACTCTGTTAATGTTAAATTCCGAACGTCAACGAGCTGATACAAATCTGGTAAACGCTAACAACAAGATGACGATGCCGCAATTTGCATTCGAACAACATAAAAATTATTTTCTCCACTCGCTGGATCAGTTGCCCAGTAAATCGGCGATATTCGATAATTCCCGAATTACCATGCTCTATTTTGAGCTAATCGGTCTGGATATACTGGATGCTTTGGAATCTTTAACCGACCAACACAAGAAGGAAATCGTCAATTGGGTGTACAAGTTGCAGTTGGTGCCCAACGAGAATTGTCCCGAGCAAAAGTGTGGTTTCATGGGATCGACCACTGTGATCAATTTGAAAACCTATCCCAAGTGCGATAAGTATTGTGAGAGTAATGTCGGCATGACGTACATGGCGTTGTGTATACTGATCACGTTGGGAGATGACTTGAGCCGTGTTAACAAATCGGCTATACTCTGGGGTGTAGGTTCCTTGCAAAAATCCGATGGTAGTTTCAGAAGCAACTATGAAAACGGTGAGAATGATTTAAGATTTATGTATTGTTCGCTAGCCATATGTAATATATTAAACGATTGGTCCACTATTAACGTAAATAATGCCATACAATTCATTTCAAAATGTTTAAATTATGATGGAGCGTTTGGTCAAAATCCAGGAGCTGAATCCCATGGGGGTTCTACTTATTGTGCAATTGCTTCGTTATCATTGTTGGAATCTCTGAGTTTAGTACTAGATAAAAGAAAATTAAAAGTTTTAGAACGCTGGGTAGTTAATCGACAATTCAATGGTGGCTTCCAGGGAAGAATCAACAAGGATCCAGACACTTGTTATTCTTTCTGGTTGGGTGCCACTCTCAGTATCATTGGATCACTAGATAGAATACATAAAAATGAAAATATAAACTTTATTCTTAATAACGCTAACCTGTTGACTGGGGGTTTCAGCAAAAACATGGATTCTGTACCAGACCTGATGCATACTTGTTTAAGTCTTAGTGGACTGAGTTTGTTTGGTGATGACAACTTAAATCCCATTATTCCAGCTTTAAATATTACTGTAAGGGCAGCTAACTTCTTGAAACATATTCAAAAGAAGTAAATTCTAATTTATAAAAATAAAATAAACAATTTAATGAACAACTATCTATTACTACTAATATAAATTGTGTATTGTTTATATTTAATTACAAGAAATAATAAAACCAGTTTAATAACTTGTTTGACTGATATTTATAAATTTTGTTTTTTTTGTAAATTCCAAATAATTAAGGAGCATACTGTTGTATAATAATTAGTGTTAACAATAATAGTATTAAGTTAGAATTAAGAAATAGTGTTTAAGTAATTATTAAGAAGTATGTTAAGTAATTCAAATACGATTATAAAAGGCTAAGAAGAACACAAAAAAAATTGGTTCCTAATATACATGTAAACTTTCATTGGATTCTTTAATAAGTTTATTGGATGTCATTATTGTTACTTATATTAATTTTGAATTAATCATAAAATGTTATATTAATTTAAGTGGGCGTATATGACAATACTAAATAAAAATATTTACTCTAAGAATACATTTAATTTGATATAATATATTATATACCTATTATAAGTGTCCATAAATTAAATAATACTGCTAAATAATTGCTCTTTAATTTTATTGTTGGACAACTAAGTATAAATTATCCGCAGTTATAGGTTTATAACATATATACCCATTATGACAAATTTCATGTTTATGTGTTACTTTATATTTTTTTCTTAAGCTATATGAAAAACTTACTATTAAGAACTTTAATACTTTTTATATTACTATAATCAAATATTTGTCTATAGGTTTTATGTACTCTTAAGTGATAAAAACTGGCTCCTCCAGCACAAGTTATGCTTTTAGAGGGTGCTGCAATATTATATTTCATTGTAAAATGTATATATTTTTCTGTACTGTTTGTGTTTTGTTACAATAAAATTCTATTATTATTATTATTATTATTAGACTATTATATTATTATGATATTCATTTAAGATGACAATCTAATAAAACTTTGTTAAAATTATATTATATTTGTATTATTTAAAAATATTATATTCATAATATATAGTATGTATAATCAATTATAATAATTATGTGTGAAAATATATTCCTTAACATGAAATTTAGTAATCTGAATAAATAGTTGTACAAAAAGACCTTGGAAAATATAGTTTGATATAAATTAAGTTGATTTAGTTTGTTAAACATATTTAGCAAATTGTAAAAGGTGTAAACATTGGAATTTAAAAACCTAGATTTATGTGCTTCAGTATTTTATTCTAATAATTTAAATAATTGTTTGATAGATAGAAATTTGAAATTAAATTGTTTATAAAGGTTTATATTTTAAATAATAGAATTTGTTTTTGTATATTTATCAATATTATAAATTCCACCTAAATATAGTTTTTAAAAGCATAAGTATAATATAAACCTAGTAACTAGATTTTATAATTTGAAATTCACTAGTGTGGATTTAACTTATATCAGCTGGTAATTACACAGTATTCATTTTTTTTAAATAAAAAACATCACATTTTAATGTTACAGCAAGTATGTAATAGAAAAGAGTAAAAAATAATAATAGACATACAAAAAAACCTAACACTAAAAACAATTAGGTTTGTCCATTCTACTGGTTTTTTTTCTTTTTTTTTGTTCTCCATCTTCTAATATTAAATAAACAACAATTACCTCTACCATTCTGGTTTGAGCAGACATGGTACTTAAAGTATCTCACGGACTCCTTTAATTAAATAAAACAAAGAGAAAATTTTATAATCATTCAATAGTCATTATTACTTGTTTTCCAGTAAAATTTCAGACAGATAAACGAAACATTGTCAGGTATAAACACATCACAGAGTTTAAGACAGAGTACATTATCAGAGTTCTCTGGCACCACAATTGTCGGAGAGAAAAGTGACATATTTGTTGACGTGTAAAGTACATGACAGAACTATACAAGCTCAAGCAAAAAAAAAAATTAGTGTGTGTGTAGACGTTTTTAAGGTTAGGTCAAATGGCATTCAAATCCATAGATAATTAATTATTTATGTTAAAATCACAATAATAATGTGATTTACTAACTTAATATTATAAGTTATAATCACAGATCTATAAAAATACGTTATTAAATAATAATATGTTTTATGTGGTTATAAATTATAGTAAACCATCTGTATCAACAAATTGTAGATAACTAGTTATAGGAAATTGTAAAAATAAACATTTATTATTATTTTATAATAAATATTAAATCAATTAATAATTTAAACTTAACATTAAAATCGTTATTATAAGAATAATCGGACGTTTCTACACCCAACAGCACTTTTTTTGAGCAAAAAAAAAATAAACATTATCGATCGAAATTGTTTAGTTTTAAATTTTTGATTGTTTGGTTAATTTCTAATTCATCAATATTTTTAATGAAGTCGAGAAAATATTAAAATAAATATACAAATTACAAAGAAAATGCTCTACAACTCTTAATCGTCATTAGTCGAAATAAAAACGATTGAGACAAAAGAAACAATCTATTGTTGATTATTGACATATACCTATCATATTGGCGAATGTTGTCAATTTTTTCAAATACCTCACAATGTAGAAATTTACCGGTGTTCATTGATATGCATAATAGTTCTTTAGTGAATGTTGACATATGAGTGAAAACCATAAAATATATAATCAAATAGGTAATTAATTAATCACAAATTGGTAAATAAGTAAAATTTGACAAATGTATTTATTTATGTTTTACTTATTATAACACCGTAAACTATCATGGTATTTACTATTGCAAAATATTCCCCTATTCTTACAGTTACATTTTTTTGTGTTACATTTTTTTTTAACAATTACATCTTCAAAAAACCTTGGCCTCCACTTTTGGAAGCAGCTATTGATATCTGTCTCAAAGACACCGTCTTTTCAGATAAGATGTCATTTATTGATATCGATTTTTGCTACGGCCAATTTGAGAATCCATACGCCCCTGGTCAATATCTGGAACACGCACTAGAACATTATAATTCACTTGAGCAGACGGAAATCAAAAAATGACTTCTATAAAGTACAATCTAGAAAACTTGAACTTTCAGAAAAGTTGTTACACGTAAAAATCGGAGCAAAATTACTAGAATAAACGTGTCCACAGTCTAGAACAGAAAAAAAAGAAGCAAAAAAAAAAAAAATTAAACAGCATTGAAAACCAATAGCTCCCTCGATACGGTCGGAATCTAGAATTAAATGAAGAAATACATAGAAAAAAAATATACAAATTGGTTATCTTACATAGAATAAATAAATACATTTTTTCGATAGAGAGATTATTTAAAATTAGTTATTATTAGACATAGCATATTAAGAAACATAAATCATTTGGTTATTATTTATTATCTAAAATGTATTGACACAATATATTATTTTTAAAATCGGTTTGTACATTTAAAATATTAAAATTATTTGTCTTTATTTCATTGTATATATGTTCTTCTAAAACTGAAATAATGTAAATGTTATTTTCTAAGACATGTTAAGCAAAATTTGAATTAGATATAGTGTTTTTTAATTTTATTTCAGCAATGTGTTCCTTATATCTTACTTTAAAATTTATATTTGTCGTACCTGTATACAATTTTATTACACTGACATTTAAGTTTATATATATATATATATATGTATCAGAATTTTCAAAAAAGTGGGATTTTTTGTGAAGTTTATAGTTCTATTGTTTATAGGTTTGGTTAAATTATTATAAGACTTAAAAGCGATTTTTACATTATTTGCATTATTGTTCAGAATTTTAGGGAATTTGTTAGACATATAATTTTGTTATTTCATACTACAATTGTTAACAGCATTATTTGGTGAGTTATGTATAAGTTTTTCATTGATTGTTTATGAATTTTTTTTATAGTATTTAAATTTAAATTATTTCCATGGGCTATATTATAGATAATATTGAGCTCATGTTGATTAATTAGGTTTATTTAATGGAATACGTTCAAGCCTATAGAATATTGAATTAAAAAATGTTTTTTTTGATAAATAAGGGTGATTAAATAACATCAGTTTGTGTAGGTTTCCTGTAAATAGGTACTAAAATCAAATTTATTGTTTATTATGGAAAACATCTAAGAAATTAAATTTGTCATTAATTTGTACTTAGAGTATAAATCAAATGTTTTTATTTATTTTGTTTAAGCAGTTAACTCAATCTTCTACTTAATCTATTTGAACCTCTAAATAAAATGACCATGTCATCAACATATCTATAATATGATTTTATATGTGGACTGTATATTTTGTTGTAAATAATATTATTGGTTTCATAAATTTGCATGTAAATTTTAGTTAAAAGAGCACCTTAAGGGCCACCCATAACAAATCCTTTTTTTTAAGAATATAATTTATTATTATATTGGAAATAGTTTTGATTAATAATTATATTTAGTGGTTGAATAATTTCTTGTACATGTTAATTTTGATCAAATTTTGATATTAATAGACATGGGTAGGATTCTACTGATAAATTGTGTCAATCTAAGCTTAAGAGGAAACATTAGGATGAAACCATTAACAAAGACTGTAATGAGAACTTAAGTTTAATAAAATTAAATAATAAAATAGAAACAAATGAAAAACACTCCAAAGTTACTTTAATTTTAGATTTTTCTAGAAGTTCATTAATATTGTTTAAAAAACTAGTTATAAAATATTATAAATAATTATATTTTCGTAATTACTTAGTTTTAGTATAATATTATCATCAGGTTACCTACAATTATTGTGTTATAGATGTTAAAGTATTAATTATCTTAATTAAATTAAATTTTAATTTATATATAACTATGTTACTCATAGTTGCTTGATTGTTATTTGATTATTTTAGTGTTAGTGTTTATGGTTGTTTCACTATAATTTAAAGATACTTTTTATACCTATTTGTTTTATTAAAATATATTATTATATATTTTAGGATATTGAAAAAGTTTTAAGATCTAATGATGATAGAAATTTATTCAATAATTTCAAAGGACATTCACTATCAACTTACAAAAAACAAAGTAAACTATTGTTTTCAGCAAATCTGGGTGTTTTTCTAAAAAGTCCCAATGACACTATGTGTCATGTAACTGTTGGTATGATTCATCTAAATTCCTTCTTTCCAATTTCAAAAAAATCTTTTTATATTTTCCAAAATTTGCAATAATGTAAAAGTTAATTGGTTTACTAAATTTGACATAGAATTTTTAGATGAGTACTTGATGGCAATGGAACCTTCATGTTTTACAAGATGAAAAACATATGTAATTTGGTTACTTATTGCCTTATTCTATCACAAAATTCGTACACAAATATGCGGTTATTTCAAAAAAACAGTTGATTTAGTGTGATTTTTTAATTGTTTTGTTAAAAGAAACCACTGAAAAACATTTTGACAAAATATAGAGAGACCCATTATTACTATCTGCTTCAGTTTCACATCCTTACTTTAAAGCTATTTGGCTTAACAATGATGATAAAAAAGGTAAAACATTGTCATTTTTCAAGGCGTCTTGTTTAGAAATGTATGAGGAACAAAACTTGTCTGGATCTGAATTGTCATATAGTATGAGTGAAGATGCAAATTTTTCATTGGTCTAACAAATCTTCTTATTTAACTCTTCCTTTGGAACAAAAAATTTCCCGTTATCTATCCAAAAGTACAACAAAATACTTAAATTCCTTACATGACACACCAACTATAAACAAATTTTGAATTTGTATTAATGTTAAAAATGTAATAACCATATGATGTATTTATCAGGCATACAATAATTTTAAAAATTTATTAATTAATTAACAAATGTCAATTAAACATGCAATAATATAATTTGAATGTTTGTTAATTTGATTTTACTTTTGAATTGTCCTTCTATCTTTTCTTTTCTAGAAATGAAATACAAATATTCCAATAAATTTTATTATATGAAGTTCAAAGATTTTAAAAAAAATTGTGTTATATTTATTTATTATTTTTAGTTATAAGTTTAAAGTATTATTATAAATTAATCAAATTTAACATACTTCTTATTGCACAACTCATAATATATTACATAAATATAATTATGTTAACTATAATCATATAATATCTATTTTCATATCATCTGAATTCAACTTTACACTTTTAAATAGTATTCTGAATATTTTTTTTTAGTATGCATTCTTAATACTTTTAATACTTGATACTAAAGTATTTTACCTATATCTGGATATTAATAAAGAGTTCAAAATATTAAATATCCAAAATAACATTTACACTCATTCAGTTTTAGAAAAATTACACATCCTGATTTTTTCCAGATATTAGGAAGACCACTTGGAAAATCACAAAATGACCTCCCAAAAGTACTATCTAGACAACATTTCCTTTCAGAAATGGCGCCACGGGTTCTGAGCAAGATTTCTGATAAAATTTTTATACAGAGTAAATGTAAAAAAAAATAATAAACATCTCAGTAAAAGCAATGTATTCTTTGCTACACTCAGAATCTAAAATAAATTTGATTTTAATATTTACAAGAAACCTACACAAATTGATGCCATATCATCACATGAATCACCCTCGAACCTTCTCATTTTTTGGCGAGGCCACTAACACCATCTAGTGTACTTTTAAAAACTATGCCAATATTTATTATAGAAATGTCTAAGGGCTCCTTCACACGAACCACTTGGCAGCGCTACTTAGCAGGGCGTCAGTGGCGCTGCAAATTTTTCTAGAAGCGCGTCAGTAGCGCTGAGAATATTTTTAAAAGCGCATCAGTGGTGCTGCTAATGTGCATCAGTAGTTTTGTGAATACGAGAACATACTATCTCACAGTACAGAGAACAGTCTCAAAATGAACGTGGAAACTGAATTACTGTTGGCCATATTATTAATAAAAAAAAAAAAAAACGTAGAAATACATCAAGAAGATTCTGGTTACATCCATTTCTTTTAGACCAGTTTTCTATTTCACTTATAAAATTTTCAATATTTTTTATTTGTACAATCAGACGTCATTATTTCAATATTGACAGAAAACTACACTCAGACCAATAAAGACCGAAATCAAAATAAATTAAAAAATAATAATCGATATCGTTTGATCAAACACGTATTAATTGCGCTACTAAAAATAGTCGCGTGATTGCAGTCGCGTGTGAAACGCCCGATCTAAAAATAAGTTCTGTTACTGCGCGGCGTTCTGCGGTGAAACCAGCCACACACACAACGTCAGTAGCGCTTCCAATCAGTGGCTGTGGCCGTCGTGCGTGAGACCATCCGTACGCGTTTATGTTTTCCCGATGGCAGCGCTGCCAAGTGGCTCCGTGTGAACGAGCCTTATCGCTTAACTAGAGCGAGACGGTATATTGAATGTGTATTTGGAATTTTAAGTAATAAGTGGCGAATTTTTCACCGACCGATTAACTTGGAACCAAATTTTGCAGTTGATATCGTCAAGGCTTGCGTTGTTCTGCATAATTTTGTGAGAGAGAGAGATGGGGTATTGATTGAGGATAGTACAACAATTACTGGGTTGGAGGATTTACAACCAGAAAATTCATCTCGTAGAAGGTTATCAGCAAACAATATACGACCAACATGCGATTACTTTGTAAATGTTGGATCAGTACCGTGGAAAATGTCAAAAGTGTAAATTTATGTTTTAAATTAAATATACTTAAACATAAAATGTTGAATTGATTTATATTAAATAAATGAATAAGCAAACTCAACAAATTCGGTTTTTACATTATTTTATAATTTGTTGAAATCTGATTTTAGTTCAACACACACTTCTTCCCAAGCTTTTTTTGTCCCGTTCCTATCTCTATAAAGGTCATGCGACTTATCCCATAAGATGGGTCTGTATTCCACCGCATAGATTAAAATGTCTGTGTCAATATCCATTTTTTATTTACAATTTAAAAGTTCCTAGTAGTGTTGACAACGGACGGTGGACGACTAAAAACCGTGTAGTGTGGACACGCGCGTCTAGTCACGTAGGCCACTGATAAGACGGCGACGGCACGGCGCCGTACTTTTCAGTCGTTGACACGGATGTGTCACGGCGACTGTACGGAATAAATCCGTCCACCGTCCTGTGTGAAAGCCGCAATCAGTTTCATGCGTTTACTGTTAATAAAAGTCCGTACGGACGAAACCGTCGTGCGTGAAAGGGGCCTAAGGAATAGAACGGATGAGCAATTCATTACGCACGCCGCTCTTCCAGTATAAACTTTAAACTGGTTTTAGTTGATTTTCATTACCAATATTGTCTTAAAAGCGCTAGACGTCCTGCCAAACAGTGAACGCCGGGCGGACTCGGAAAATCATTAATAAGACTTTTTCGTTCGGTACTCTGTATATCTTAATTCAGCTGGTGTGATAAAAACCGTTTGCTCCTATTGCGAACAGTACACTCCACCGGGATTATCGTCTGTAGTAAATACAACGTTCCCCTCTAAACAGACGGGAGGCTGGTTCGCCATACAAATCCACCTTGGTTAATATGTAAATTGATATGTGAATTGAAATAATTTTTCTAATAAAATCCCGATTCGGTATTATATCGAGGGATTCACTAGCTCATGATGCCGACAGCGCTTCCACAGTCAAAATGTTTTCCTAATAGGCAATTCAAAAATACCGCACTTATTTAAATACTTCTCATTTTATACAGACAACAGTCCACTGACTCTGGTAATCTGGTCACTTAAATTCGTTAAAACATACAATTGGTTTTCTTTTATGACATTGGTTTGTATTTAAGTGCGTGTTATTAATGCCGTTATTTGATAACAATTGAAGTTTGTCAAAGTATCAACAAATCTACAATTAATTTAAAGTAACCGAATGCATTAAGTAATAATAATTATTGTTTTAATGTAAATGAAAAGATAGGCAAGCATAAAATATTTTAAATATCGTGGTGACTTATACGCCCCACGCTATTTCGCCAGGTACCGGTCGGCTTCCAGTCGCTGACAGCTGACCGCCGTCGTTGGCCTTGGCATCGTCACTCGTCACTGTCGCCATTCACGTCATTATCCGTTCGCGTTTCTCTATTCCCGGACGAAACTTTGCACCGCTAATCGAGGTTAAAATACCATGTGTCTGTAATACATACCGGAAGAAAACCGAAATTTATCGTGTCAATGAAGACTGCCCTCTACAGTGAGTGTATTTAAATTCTTTTTCACGGTTTCTGTTTGAATTAATCAAAACCAATATTTTATTTTTATTTTTTCTAATCTATTAAGACATGATTGTCTCAACAAATTTGCGTTTTGTCGCGGTCGTGTTTCCAAACCCGGAGCCGGGTAGTGGCCGACAGATTGTACACGATAACTTTATGAGCATATTTTTTTTGGTCGGAAAATATTCAAACGCTTCAGTTTGATTACACATGGCGGTTGAGATACCCCCCGCGGCTGATCCGTCTGTTCAGACCCGTCTGCCGGGGACCCGTACTCGGGCGCCCGGCGTGCACGATATACACGTCCCGGGGCCCCCGGGTCTGATGCGCTTGCTCTGTGCTTTCCGGCAATAACGCGTTGCCGCGCAGCTGGGCCGGTGCGGTTTCCGCGAAAGGCTCGCGCACGGGGTAAGCGCTTACACGCACGTGCGCGCCGAACCTGTAAACGCGACGTTGCGCGCGCCTGATTTCCAATGCGCTGCGAACACGCGCCGCGCGCCGACGTCCGCCGTCAAAGCGCACAGTTCGCCGCATACGTTGCCGCACGTGGTTCAGTGCCGCGAAGCGTCGCGCGCGTTTCAAACAATAAAAACGCACAATAAAATAACAGAGAGCAAAAAACGGTATTTAATACTCGCGAATAAATATCGTGATTAAATGTATAAACGAAAATATGTACACGTAAACATTTTTAAAAAAGGGCCGACACCGTGGATGGGAGCGGACGCTGTTGTAGGTGAGAAGTGGGGAAACCGGGATGCATGGGATTATTTCATTTATATCTGTAACGGTACATCATTGTTTGACGAAAGGCGATTCCCAGCGCAGTTCGATAATATATGATTTGAAGTGCAGTCATTTTTTTTGTTTACTTTCGTTTAAATTTGATTTCAAAACGCTTATTAAAAAAAAAAAAAGTCGTCTGCTGATTTTGGAAATTTTACCACGTATAGGCAAGTCCGATATAAGTATTATTACCAAGTTTCAAGTCTCTAAGTGTATTTACAACCTAATCGCAACAAAAACACTCCCAAAAATTAAAATTTCTTAAAAGCTCAAAAGTTTTGGCGAATGATACCGTAAGAAAGTAAATTAAAAAGGCATCATTAAACGGTTTTTTTTTGTGATTTTTCGATTAAATATGAATATTCGATTAATAATGAAATCATGATATTGTACGTTTTTTCCCACCTAAGTGCTTTTATTTAAAAAATGACGTATAAAATAAAAAAAAGACTTCTTTGAAGTACAATGTAGACAACTTGAGCTTTCAGAAAAGGTGCTACACTTATACATCGGAGCAAGTTTACTAGAAAAAACGTGTCCACAGACTAAAATAAAGAAAAAAATAAACAGTATTTTAAAATTAATTGTTCGCTACTCTTGGATTCGAAAAATAATAATTAATAAAAATAATGAATGCGTCCTCTGGAATATTGTGATAATTTGTATCATACGGTTTTGAATTAAAAATTCATCATCAGGTTTATAGCATTCAAAATGTAAAATGCAACTCGGGAATAAATTTGTGTTATCATTTTTAATAGAGTTTATTTTATATTTGTAGTTTTTTGTTTTTAATATTTTTGAAGTATGTACATTCTTTGTTATTACAGTTACAGTTTTCACAGATTGGTAATGTTCCTGATATTTTGTTGTGTTAGAAATAGTGATGTAGGCCGTTTCATTAAATGCAGTGAAATTTTAGTTTACAATGTTTATATATATGTCCAAATTTTTCGTAGTTTGTTCACTCGGGAAAGCGCCTCCCTTTTCCTTTCCTTTGAGTTTTTGCAGTACCTCTATGATTATTATGCAGTTTAGTAGTAATTAGAAAAAGACTGTCTTGTTGTATGTACACGCCATTTTAAACAAAATTTAAAAGAAATTATTCTTTTAACATTGGTTTATATTTTATTTTATTTATATACATACTTACTACTATTCATATAAACTATGAAAATATTTAAATGTTTTAAATAATTTAAAAAAAATTAAATTGTTTTTTGTTTGTAATGCAAATATTCGGATGTACAGGTTTCTTTAAAATTGGTTTAGGTTTAGGTACCTCATTACTATGCCATTGTTAAAACCATAAGTATCCGTTCTGTACCCTTTAATTTTTTTTCAGTTTTATTATATATTGTTATTATATATTAATATATATTGTATTATTATATATATATTGAATATTGTCAAATATCCTGTTTAAAATTTCTCAAAGCTTAAGAGTATAACCCTTGAATTAATTAAAAAAAAAAAAAAAGTAAATTTTGTTAGAGTTTACTATTTATCATAATTATTATTATTATTTCTACCTACCATTATGATTTATGTTATAATTCTGATTCACATTATACAATATATATTATATATTGTATCTACAAATCCTTATATAATATAAGTTTAGAACTGACAAAATATTTTATTGTATAGACTTGTAATGTGGTTTTATGATAATAACAAATTATTATGATTTTAAATTTTTTCAGATTTAGATTAAATTAGAAAAAAAAATACAATCAAATGGCAAATACCCAAACAATTGTAGTAAAAAAAGAATTTGATGAAATCAATGATTGTGAATTTCATAGTATTATCACTATAGAAAATGATCCCATAGAATTAATTTTGTGTGAAAAACTAAAACTTAGAAAAAAGAAATACACATGTTACCATTGTAGTAACTCATTTTTTTCAAAATCAAAGTTAAAATACCATATGATAATACACACTGGAAGAAAAGTTGACAGTGAAAACTGCCCTCTACAGTGAGTATCTCTAAATTATTTTTTCATAATTTCTATTTAAATAAAATAAATCCAATTTAATCTTAAGTTTTGTCATTTCATATTGCATATGTTTTATACCCACAATAACAATTTAATAACAAATGCATTTATTTTTTATGACATATTTTCTACATTTATTTGAAGTTTCCTACCTTTTGTTTTATTCTGAAGGGGTCAACTTGATTGGAAATGTACCTAACCATCTTTTATAAGATATGATGTTACATAGACAGTCCCATAAAGAAGGTGCTCAAATATACTGAAAAATAAAAAACTAATTAATAATTTAAAAAAAATGTAGACATGAATAAGACATATTTTCCAATTTTTCCATCATTCAAATTAATGCATTTTTCCCAATGATAGAGTAACTTGAAAATACCATCTTACCATTACAGTTTACACAGATTGGTGATGTTACTGATGTTTCATCACATTAAGAGCAGTGATGTAGACAGTTTCATTGAGCATAGCAAAAATGTAGTTTATAAGATTTATGCATGTTTCTATATCTTTGTCAGTTTGTGCACGGGGGGGGGGGGGTTTCTTAGATTTATGCTGTGGCTCTATGATTATTATACAAAACCTTGTAGTTTGTTTAGTTTAAAGATTTATTGTGCTCTAGGATTATTAGCCAGTAGTATTGTCAGTAGAGAAGTGGGTACTTTATCTTTATTTTTTAGTCTTTTAATACATTTTTCAGGAAATATTGGACTATTTAGCTTTTTTGTGACATTTTCAGTGATTGAAATATGTAGATTTCTTATAACTGTAGAAATGTCTTTTAGATTTTGAGTGAAGTGAAGAAGCTTATGGTTTTACAAAAATGTTTATTTTTTTTTATCTGTGGGAAAATTTTCTTTTCAATCCATAAGTGTAATATTCATATTTTGGTGAGTGAATAGAAGTAATTTATTGATTGTATATTGATTTTTATATTGTGTACTTTAGCTGTGATAGAAGAGTAATTTTAAATAACTTCGGATTCATTTTCAAAGGTTTTATATTTTCAACATCATTTATATTTGTAACATATTGATTATATTTAAGGTTATTTATATTTTATCTGTTTCTATTTTTTCTAATGGAAAATAGCTATTAGATGTGGTGAAAATTAGTTTTATTTTATGGTTTGGAGAACCGTGTGCTTTCCTATATACTCACGGTGATATAAACTCTTTTTTGGAATTGGGTGGCGGAGAAAGAAAGTTCAAATCACTTTAATCTGGGAGAAATCTGTTTTTTTTCTGACGAGTCAAGGGACTTTTAAGTTTCTTTTGATTTTTTGATTGAGTTGTTGTATTTGTGCTTGTACTTGAAATACTCCAGTTAGAGTTCATTTCAAACTTAAAAATTATATCTGATATATGTAACACATCAAAGTATTTGACTTCAACTCATACAATCCTTACAAAAATTTAATTTCTCATGGACAATGTGATACACATTCATTTTAGAAGATTAAGTTGGGTGGCCATTTTCTGAACTTTTAGTTGTCTAACCTGACCTGCACTTCTTGCATCATCTCCAATTGTTTCTTGAAAATAATTAAATTTTGTTTTACATTTTTCGAAACATATATGTTATTAACATCAATCAATTATTGACAAATTTCAAATTTTTTAATTTGAAAATTAAAACATGATTGATGGTGTAGGCTTCTTATTTTATGTGACTTAATATTGATTTTTTAAGTTTACATAGCTAACAAAACAATAAAAGATAATATTCACAACACTTAAACTGCATATTTTGTTTCCAAACTTATTATTGTTAGAATTATTGATTCTCATTTTAATGTCTGATATAATAAGTTAAGGATATTTAATATAAATTATGATTTTAAATTTTTTTTAGATTATTTAGTAACTCTGAAGAAGAAATTAAAGAACATGGGCATGAGCTAATTTATATCGGAAAGAAACCTTTTAAATGTGATGTTTGTGAAATATTATTTACTCGATTGTCTAGTTTAAAGCGGCATAAGATAATTCACACTGGAGAAAAACCATTTAAATGTAATATTTGTCAAAAATCATATAGACTGAAATCAAATTTGGTGACACACACAAGGGTTCATACTGGTGAGAAACCATTTAAATGTGATGTTTGCAAAACATTATTTACTCAATCATTTAATTTAAATCGACACAAGTTGATTCATACAGGAGAAAAACTATTTAAATGTGATGTTTGCAAAACATTATTTACTCGATTGTCTAGTTTAAAGCGGCATAAGATAATTCACACTGGAGAAAAACCATTTAAATGTAATATTTGTCAAAAATCATATAGACTGAAATCNGAAGCATTGTTTACTCAATCATTTAATTTAAATCGACACAAGTTGGTTCATACAGGAGAAAAACTATTTAAATGTGATGTTTGCGAAACATTATTTACTCGATTGTCTAGTTTAAAGAGGCATAAGTTGATTCATACTAGAGAGAAATCATTTAAATGTGATGTTTGTCAAAAATCATATAGACTGAAATCAACTTTGATGTCACACACAAGGGTTCATACTGGTAAGAAACCATTTAAATGTGATGTTTGCGAAGCATTGTTTACTCAATCATTTAATTTAAAGCGACACAAGTTGGTTCATACAGGAGAAAAACTATTTAAATGTGATGTTTGTGAAAAATTATTTACTCGATTATCTGGTTTAAAGAGGCATAAGTTGATTCATACTAGAGAGAAATCATTTAAATGTGATGTTTGTGAAACATTATTTACTCAATTATCTAGTTTAAAGCAACACAAGTTTTTAATTCACGTGTGAGAAAACCCATTTAAATGTGATTTATGTAAAAAAAACATTTAGACAAAAAGCTTTTTTGGTTTCACATACAAGTATACATACTGGATAGAAACCTTGAGTGTAATGTTTTATAATAATTATATACTCCTAAATTAAAATTAAATTACTATTGTAACTTACAAAGTGTGTGATAAATCATTTGGACAAATTTCTAATTTGGCTGTATCGAGTGATCCATTTAAGTGGGTACACTCATTATCTCAGAAAGTATTAACTTTTTCTGGAATTTATTTTCTAGAACATTTTAGAAACAAGTTAACCCATAATTTTATATTTGAGTTATTTTTTCACCCCTTTTTTTCGGGTAAAACAACTACCTACTTTTGAATTTCAAATTACAACCTATATTAAAAAATCCATAAGTAGATTGAGTATTAGTTAAAATAAGTTTGAGTGTTGACATTTATGATTTTTGTCAAACTGTTGATTCTATTTTTAAATTCTGGTTGGGGAGAATAGTGGGGTATTAGTGTTGCAGTACAATGCATGGTGTTAATAATGCACCACTACTCTCCTCCAACCTAAAATTAAAAGTGGTAAATCTCATCAACGACTTGACAAAAATCTTAAATGTCAACACTCAAACTTATTTTAACTAATACTCAATCTATTTATGGATTTTTTAATATAGGTTGTAATTTGAAAATTAAAAGTAAGTAGTTGTTTTACCCAAAAAATAACAAAAATATAAAATTGTAGGGCAACTTGTTTCTAAAACGTTTTAGAAAATAAATTTCAGAAAAAGTTAATACTTTCTGAGATAATGAGTGTGTTATGACAGATTGATTATCCTGTATTTTGAAACAATATTTTGGTATTAAAAATATTTACTAATGATGAATCGTTAATTTTCTACAATATTTTTAAATTTATAATACTTTCAAATTTAAATTGATATTATTGTCACTAATGAATAACATCAATTAGTTCACCTACTTATATATTAAAAATAATTTTTTTGTGATTGAACTTCAATAAATATATAGCAGAGTGCTCATTTTGTGAGTTGCTTTTTCAATATACAATTTATTACAATTAAATAAATTGCATATTTACACGTTTATAGACTTATTTATTATGTTAATTATTTTTATTGTATTAGTATTTTGAATAAAATATTTCTATATCTTCTGTTTATTTACATCATATTAAGTGTTTTGATAATTTATTTTATGTTAATTAATAAATACCCTATGTTATATACATTATATTACCAAAAGGGTATTTACCCTTTCAGTTGTAAATAAATATTAAATAAGTTTTACAAACAACAAAAATTACAATTGTCTTATTTTATAACATTTGACACATGTATCAATTTTACCTATTCCAATACAAGGAATACATAAAAATGTATTAAATTGTAAGAACTATGTATGTTTAAAAATAAATTACAGCCCGAATACAAAATTAAACATTTTTATCAATATTTGTTTATCTCAATTCTGAACACAAAATATTTTAAATTATTTACAATATAACATGTATTAGTTGTACACTCTAGCATAAAGCATTGGATGATAAGGATGAATGTAGGTGTTAATACACATGGAAAATAAATATAGATGTCATTCAATACTAGTATTTTGTTCGTCTTTATTTTCTACTTCAGTTGTACAAAGTTGTTTGTAATAATAAAATGAGATCCACATGATATATTTGATAAGTACACATAAATGTAAATTATATAATAATAAAGATTTACATTTAGACAAATGTGTAGATATGGTATATAAGATGTATCAATAATTATTAAATAAATCAAAATTAGACAATCATCTAATATTATTATTTAACCACAAATTCATGTGTATACACTATTATTATTATAATTATTATTACATTCACAATTTAAACATCCAAATCGCTAGTATTATATAGGTATTACATGTAGTATGTACATGTTAAGCTTTCTAAAAAAAAACAATCACAATAAAACAAATTAGTTAAAAAAATTAGCTATAACAAAGGTTCTAAAGCATTAAAGTTATTAATTAATAATTGATTACTATTCAATATTATTTTAACACCCACAAATCAAATATTATAAAATAAAAACAAAAATTAAAAAAGGAACTATGTTGACACTTCAATAATATTATCTAAGTACGAGTATAGGATTAAGTTGGAATCAAGTAAAAAAAAAAAAATAACATACATTACATATAAAATTAAACAAACAAAACGAATTAGTCACTAATTAAAAGTTTTCAGTTGGCACAAATAAATTGGTAAATTACAATTGCACACATTTGACCTTTTTACTGATAAATGTCTGAATTTTGGAACATGAATTTAAAGAAAATAGTTTTAGTTGCAATTATTCAAGGTGGTTAAAAGTGATTCATTGTTACATTTAGATTAATAAACTGGAGTAAAATAAATGTACATTCAGTAGTTAAATTTTTGAAAATGATTTTTCACAATTGTTTTATGTATTGTTGGCAAGATAGTTTATATTTATTTTTAAAACATTTTCAAGTAAGAGTTTATTTTAAGAAAAAAACTAATCATATAATCACTAATATCACTTAATAAAAACTAAACAAATGCTTCCTATCAGATATAAATCCGAAAAATCAAAAAATTAAAATATGCTCTCAATATTAAAATTGGGAAAATAGTAGTGGGTGAATTTTACTCCAGATTATTTATCTAAAACGCAATATAAATGGTTGTATACCTTTAAATGGGATTCTAGCAGTAGATAAGTGGAAAAGTAGTATCATTAAATGTTAAAAAATAATTGTCAAATTTTCCAAAATTGGAAATAATTTGTAAAACTGCTTCCAACATCCTAAAAGAAATTACATACAGAGTTTTCCATGAACAAATATATTTAATCAAATTGTCTATCTCTTGTTGATAAACCAATAACCTTGAAATTATTTTAAAATTTCTTCTTTTTTTCCGACAAAAATATCTATATTCGTTATTATTAAAGCCATGAAAACAACAGACATTATTACTAATATTAGTAAACCAAAAAATTCAAAACACAAGTAATAGTTATCTGAAAAATATGTGTGCAATCAAATTATACCCAAGTAAAAACCTAGGAATTTGAATTTTTAACAAGTGGTGGAGATTGTGACCCATTTTTAAAACAAACAGGTATAGAACATGGGCTTTCAGAATTTTGAACACACATTGTTATTGAATTAGAATCTTCATCATATAGTTTATTGATTTGTAGATTGGTAGGCAATGTTGCTATTTTTGGACTCCTATAAATAACAGCATCCTCACCCAAAGTCACAGTACCATGTGACAGTAATGGAGAAGTTATTTCAGGTGACGAATTTCCTAGGCTTTTGTTCAATGCTTGATATGTGTTTAAACCTAAATAAATAAATTAAGCGATATTATAAATGTAATTAATTTTTATAGATTTTCTAAAATCTAAGTATTATTATTAATTTTTTAAATTGGTTGAATAATTTACCATGGCTTCTTTTTGGAGATTCACCAGTACCACTATCATTACTGTGTGTGGAATAGTTCAATGATTTATTATCAGCATTATTTAATAAACCCAATAATGGGTTTCTTGATCCGTAAATATATAACACCAGCATTGCCGATGCTATAATGATGCATATAATTACCAAAATGATAATCAATCCAATGATATATTTGTTCATGAAACTTTTATATACTAAATCAAAACATATAGTCAAAAATAAGTATTTAACAAAATTTTTGAATTTATATATAATTGTAATAATAGTAATTTCATTAAAAAAAAAATTTTTCAAATTCAAGTTTTGTGTAAATTCTTAAGTTTCAGATTTCTAGAAAATTTTAAAGCACAAATTATTTAGTTGTATAGATGAAAACACAAACTATGGAAATCAAATACACTAAACAAATTAATACATAAATACATACTTGGTAGAATAAGAACTTCCATTTCTTGCATTTGTATTCCATAAGAATTAGCTGTTTCACACTGATAAGTACCAGAATCATCTATATTTGTTTTCACTATAACTAAAATTTGATTCTCGGCAGTAAAATAATGTCTACTGGTTGTTATTAAAGGAATGCCATTTTTCATCCATTTCATTTTTGGTTTTGGAGATCCATAACTTAAACATTCAAGTACAATTTCTTCGCCAACATACACTTGTTTTTTTTCCATTACATTTTTAATTTGAGGAGGTTCTGTGGAGAAAAAAAATTACAATAGAACTAAATCATTCAAATATTGATATATATTATTTTTTTTTTTACCTAACACAGTAAGTGTTGCATTTGCAGCAATCATTCCTGCAACATTCTTAGCAGTACAACTATATATGCCCATGTCAACTAATTTTACATGAACAATTAAAAATACATCATCTTTGGCAACAACTTGCATACGACGCTCTTGAGCAGCTGGAAAATCATTTCCACCATCTTTTTGCCAAGATATTTGAGGAGCAGGATGTCCATTTGCAGCACATTCCAACTTCACTTGTTGGCCAACTTTCACTGAACTATTCCCAGGTACTTTAGCGAAAAATGGAAAAACTAAAAATAAAAATATACATATTTAACTAGTGTAAAAAATACTAATGACAAGTAAGAATATTACTCAGGATAAATAGAACAGAGTATATAGATTATAGAGTATAAGTTTGGTAGAACAGGAGAAAACTGCTAATGGCAATAATCTGTGATGTGATAGGAGTGATTGAGTTTTAAGAACCTAGGATCCTTTATCCAAAATAATGGGGACTTTGATATCAAAGTAAAACTCAGATTTAAGTGTGGTCCGATAAAGTGAAAAGAAGGTGTTTTATGTGACAAGAGAATTCAAATGAGATTTAAAGGCAAGTTTTAAAAAAGTGTGCTGTACAGTTAGGAGTGTAGCAGAGATGATAATGCTCAGATGAATGATTGGAGTGAAAAGAGTAGATAGGATAAGGAATACAGTACATAAGAGGTAACTTGGCTTCTATAGTAGACAGAATTAAAGAAAATAGACCGAGATGGATTGGGCATGTCATGAAAAGAGTTATCAGAAACACTAAGAATAGTAATCAAAATAAACACAGGAGGAAAAAGGAAGACCAAAATAGAGGTGGTTTGATGTGATTGAGAATGATATGAGGCCACCCTTGAGGACCCAATGCATATGAGGAGAAATATCAGGCCAAGTACAAGTTTAGGAAGAGCATAGCAGACACTAAATAGTTGGGATGAAAGCTAAGATAGTAATTTAATATACATATGATACTTACTAACGACAGATATTGATGACCTGTTAGAATAAGTGATACCATGCTTATTGGAAGCAACACATTGATATTTACCACTTTGTGACATTGATATGTTATATAAATTCAATATAGAATACTGTGTTATACCATTAAACTCAAAAGATGAATAATGATTCATAGAAACAAATTCTAAATCACGGTTATCTTTCTTCCAAACAAAATTAATTTTTTCACTGGATGAAGAATTAACACCACATTTTAAAGTAATATTTTGATTTTCAAGAACCATTTTAGATTCTGGGTGGAAGATAATCATTGGTTTTTCACTATTTTTAACTAAAATAAAAATCAATTAATAATTACACATTATTTCTTTTATCATTTATACTTACCACATAAGAAATCTGATTCAGATATTTGATCTAAATTTTTTCCTTTATTTTGATCAGGAAAACCACAAGATATATTTGTGAAATCTAAAGGTAAATTTTCATAGACTTTGGGTTGTTTAATCCATGACAGTGAACAGTCACATACTAATGATGAACTATTTAAATACAGAACATCAAGATTAGGCATACATTTGAAAGCATCTTCCTGTATTTCTTGGATACTGTTTTGCATTAAATTTAATTCCTCTAAATTGTCTAGGCCACAAAACGCTTCTTTTTTTATGTATAAAATATTGGTGTCAGCTAAACTTAATTTTTTCAAATTTGTTAGACCATTAAAAGATCCTTTAGCATCTTCAATTAACCAGGCTAAAATATTATGATCCATATTTCTGAAAAAAAAAAAAGAAAATATATATATAAATATTGTTTTATGCAAATAAATGTTGCTCTTTATAAACATTGTATCATAAGTTGGAATGTTAAACACCTAGTACAAAAAAAATTGTAACTACAGATTATTAATTTTTTTATATTTTCATAAAAAGATCAACCTTTGAGTATCCTGGTTTAAAATTTCAAGCACTTATCAAACATTTAAAATTGTTTAATAATAAAATAAAAAAATAAAACTAAAAAAAATTGACTTAATTTGAAAATTGACATGCTTAGCTCTAGATATTGCTAATATTAGATGAGCATTCTAGATCTTTATATCTTTATGGTGCACTTTTACTAAATTACAGAAAAAAAAAAATCAATATTAACAGAAGTCATTATTGATATAGTATATTTCAAAAGAGAACATATCACTTTCGCGCATGTCAAAATATCAGCCGTTCCAGGCTAATTTCTCCCACTATCGTTAAAATAATGCAACAACGAAACTGTCTGATTTCAAATGAATTGTTTATAATTAATGATATTTGAGTGCCGCGGCGTGAACGATTACCTAATATGATGGTACCTACCTATTACTTTATAATATATAATTTGTATCGGCCCATCCCTAGTAAATAGTTTTTATTTGATATATAAATATAAATCTTGTAATATTTTAATTGTAGCAATATTTCTGGTAGAAATTATTTAATATAATGTAATAGTGAAATCTTACGTTTTTCCGGCTTAATCGATTTTATTTCGAGTACCGTTTTTGAAAATCAAAAAATGACCTCTCTAAAGTACCAGCTCAAGAACATTACCTTTCAGAAAAAATACTACACTTGATACTTTTGAGCAAGTTTAGTAGGAGAAAACGTGTTCACGAAATAAAAACAAATAAAAAATAAACATCATAGTAAAACGGTTGTATTGGTTTAAATGAAAATAACAATAACTGTTTTATTCTGAACCCTAATTATAATTTGACATCAGGTGTATATAGGTTCACAATAACCAGTTGGTGGTTGTGACTAGCGGTAGTTAGTGGGGGGTGCGCGTCGCATCCGCTAACTGGTATGTTCTCTTTTGAAATAGACTATAGTAATTTATCGTGGAACTACTAAAATTTCTGACTACACCAATATTACAAAAAATTTTGATAATCATCCAATTCCATTGTATTATATTATATTATAATATACATTATAACTGTGAAATTTGCATTAAATTTTTAGAAAAATTACAGATTACAGATTTATCAGAAAAAGTCTATATTGAAAATTCAAAATAAAAATTTAATTAGTTTATTATTTTCAAATTTATTAGTTAATAAAAAGAACAAAAAAAAAATCTTTTCTAAATTGAGGATCTTAATTAAAAAATCATTCCTTGAAATAAAATAAGAATTTTGATTACAACTTGTTTAATTATTTTGATTGATTAACAGTTAAATGAATTATGCTAACAATTTTTAAAAACAAAAGTAGCTATCAGTATCAGTTCTAATTATTATTAGTTTTTATGGTTTTTTAATTAAGACTAATTAGTTTTAAGCCTGATTAAAAAATAAAACACAAATCTGAGTAAAACAACTAAAAGCTTCTTCATTACACTAAGAATCTTAACTACAATTTTCAAAATAAAAACTCGTATATTATAACAATACTATAATATATATTAATATATTCTTTGTAACTTACAATACTGCAATGGATGGTGTATTATTAAATGACCCTTCTTCAATAAATGTCAACTTATTGTTATTTAAATTCAAACTTGTTAATTTATTTAAATTTTCTAGGCTACTTTTTTCAATGCATTGTAGTTCATTGAAAGACAAATCTCTGTAAACAAATTACACATTAACATTTTGAAAACATATTTCTTAAGTTAAAATACTCTTTTATATTAAATACTAACAATTCTAGAAGTTCTGCACAATACTCCCATCCACTTTTAATTTGATCTATTCTATTATGACTTATATTTAATATTGTAAGTGAATTCAATCCATACAACCAACCTTTTTCTATACTGCTCAAATTATTATCTTCTAAATGTCTGGATTTATACAAAATAAATGGTTAAATTATTAATATATTTGAATTAAACTAAAATTTCATTTGGAATGTAAATAAATATATGGTTTTAGTATTAAATTCTTAGAATCTTTAAATTTGTATTCATAGTTAACTAAATACAAATGTTTAACAAATATATAATTATATAAATAACATATACATACAAACGTTTTAAGTTTTTTAAACCATAAAATGATCCATCCTTTAAATCTTTAATATTATTATTTTGTAATATTAATTTTTCCAAATTTATTAAATCTTTAAATAATAAGCCTTCAATAATAGTGATGTTATTTTTACTCAGGTCACTAAAAATTAAACAATTTGTAGTATTTTTAGTATAGATAGTTATTATAAAACATAACAATCATACATACAGATATTTAAGATTTCTGAGTTTTTTAAACAATCCAATAGGTAAACTGTTCAGTTTATTATGAGAAAGTTTTAACTTTATCAAATTTGTTAATGTGACAAAACAATTAACATTAAGTTGTGAAATTAAATTATTATTTAAATTCCTAAAAAAAAAAAAAAAATTATATTAATATCCGTGTTATATATTTAAACAGTTTATTATTATTGATTTAACATTGCCATCAAAAATTGTATACTAACAGTGTCTGGATATAGGAAGGTTGTGGAAAATTGTTATCCTTCAAAAATACCAATTTATTTTGTTTCAAATCTAAAGTTTCCAAATTGGGTAAATTTTGTAATGCAATATAGTCCAACTTTTCTATTTTATTATGAGCCCTAAAAATCCAAGACAGAAATATTATGCACCGAATTTTATTAATATAAATATTCAACTTACAAATTTAAACTTATGATGTTAAGTTTTTTCGTGAAGAATGGCAATGATATTAAAGAATTTTTATTAAGTAGCCTGAAAAAAAAAAAAAATAAATACAAATTAATAAACACATAGTGTAGCTAAGTATTACTAATCAGGTAGATACTTACAATGTTCTTAATGGAAGTCTATCATCAATATCAATTTTTAATGTTTCTCCAAATTTATTTGAACTTAAATCTCTAAAAATAAAAATGGTTTCACATATTTTAATTAGCTATTGCTATAATACAAATAATTTTAATCCAGTGCTATATTCTATTCAGAATAAGAACAGACTAAGTGTTTGTGTATCTATCCCCATTACGGCTCTATGACTCGTTGTATACACGATGGCGAGATTGATGATGGTGCGCGATCGTAAACGGTAATTGCAGAATAATTAACAAATCCCCCGCCGGGTCGTCTGACAGTGCTAAGAGCTCGGTTGCAATACGCGAATGCGGTCTGTTCTTATTCTGAATAGAGTTTAGTATTTATTAGATTTATTAAAACCAAATATTTGTATAACACATCATTCTAACAACTCGCATCTATTTTTTTCTACATCAAATGGATAATATTAAATAAAAAAAAAAAAAATTGGAATATACAAGTTTTATTTAAATTTATGTCACTCATAAATGACATAGCATTGTTGAAATTATATTAACAAATATTAGATAATAAAAATGGAAACACAAAAGTACTTATAAAGTAGATACCAAAATTAGGTTTATATGAAAAAGTATATTATATTGGTTTGTAATTAATATAGTTGAATAGTGATCAATATAATTGTAATTTAAACCAACAAAATTTAATATTACTTTTCACTTTAAATAATTCATCAAAGAAATGTGTAATCATACATGCCAAGTTAACTTTAATAAACTTTTTAAAAGATATAACAAGTATAAAATATCTAGATGAGAAAAAAAATTATTAATGAAAGAAAAAAAAAATAACATAAGTACTTATATATATTATCATGATGTGTTGGTCGACATTTGAATACTACCTAGAAGACTGACGAGATTACCTTATAAAAATTTACAAGATTACTTTGTTATTAATGATAATAAATCAAGTAATTATATTCATTCATTTATTTCATGTTAAAAACCCATACAAATCTATTGTATCAATACAAAAAATAAATTGAATTAAATAAAATTTACTTTTAACAAGAACTTAATGTATAAATTAGTCCCTCAATTAAGTACTAAAAATTCAATTACATTGTTGTCAATTAATACTAATTTACTTACAAACTTTCAGACCATTGAGGCAACGAGTCTGGCACACTGGTCAACGAAGCGTTGCTGCATTTGACAAATGTTGAATGACAACTGCATACTTTTAAACATAAATCGTTTTTCGAGTAGATAGTCTTTGTATGGTACAACAGACTCAATATGAACAATGGGTACACAGCCAACATGATGGTACCGCACTATACTGCTATATAATACCAATGGTCACATGGCCATAGTAGTGTGAATAAGTTTAGGTGTCGCAAATTTATAATGGTGCGACACGCCACTGAAACATTAGAGCCATTTGACAGCGAAAATAACACATATGTTTTTGCACTGCATGTTAACAACATTCAAAAAATCAATAGTATTTTACATTTTGAACGCACAAACGCCGACCAATAACATTCGATTATCAAAAATGTTTACAATATTGAATAATTGTATAGGAACAAATATTGTTCATGTTTACTTACACCATTTAAAATATATCATAATATTATTAGGTCACCATAAAATCTTAAGGAATAATAATATAAAAATTAAAAATCTGTTATCTTTAATTTCCAAACAATGATAATAAATATTTCCCTACGGATTTAAATAATTGTATAAAGTTATTGTTTATCACGTCGTTTAACACGTCGTGTAGTCGTCTTTTAGCATTTCCGTCGAGTGGTTTAAGTGTCGTATCAGACACGAGTACCTATAGCATAGTGCCAATTGACTATATCCGACAAAAGTCCACGGAAGTCACTTTTCCCAAAACCACGGGATACCCGTATATGGTAATTATCAATCGTCAGTCTTGACTGTCAATCAATCAATCACGTTGATTGTAATATTCATGACTGACCGTGTATGGGGGCTTAATAGTAAAAATGGTATCGTATGATATAGTAAAAATTATTTTAAATCAGGATGAAGGCCAAAACTCGGAAATATCTCTGAAGATAAATACTAAGATGGGAACATAAATTCCCATTTTTAAGAAATAATTTATTGTTTATTCTTTTATTTTTCGTATTGTTTTGCGGGGCGATAACAAACAAGAATGGAGGGGCGATAAATTTATTACGGCGTCGGGCGTACAGGCGGGGTGATAAAAACAAGTACCTAAAAATCGCACTAAAAATTGTCCCTAAAAGCTTAATCATTAAGTAAGTAATTTGAAGAAAGGCAGTTTAATTTTTTTATTAGGAAGAGTGGACGTACAAATAAAGTTGACCCAGGACGCAAAAAGTGTAAATACCGACGCCGCTGCTTATAGGCATTTATACTTTACACACGAATAGATGCACTTTTCTGCATACCTAGAAAGCTACGTTTAATTCCACTACAAGCTATTATCGTAGTTCGTGGTTACAAGATATGACGACATGGCCACTGAGTACCTGGGTACTTAAAACCCGATGAAGAACATTACCTATAGGTATAGTAATTTGTTATAGTTGGTACATAGGTATTATTATATTTAAATAATCAATGAGTACCTAATTAATTGAACTTTGTACAGGAGCTAAACCGATAAAAAATTAAATACAATACGCAATTTCAAAATAATAATGTTGATATTTCATGATAGGAAAATTAAGTATATTAATATATTATTATTTTTATTATTATTACTAAATAGGTACCTATTTTATATTTTAAATTAATAGTTAATACTTATTGTATTTCAGATTATTATTGGTGAGCAATGATGTAATATTTTAACATTTTTCGAGTATATTCATTATTAAAGGTGTTCAAATTATCTATTGAATTGTATTTAATTGCATAGATAGGTACCCCTACCCACATCATATTAATTGTTTAAATTTCAAGTATTTGTTAAACGTTGTGAAAGATATTCAACAATATTATTCAACAGTTCGATAACATTAAGTCACCTACGCAGATAAAATTATCATTTCCGTTTATATCAAGTACCTACCAAAGGAAAAAAAAATATATAATAAAAATAATATTACCTATGTTCTAGAGTTTTTGTTGGACGTAAATGTAGACTATATTGATTCTTTTAAGTTTTAACGCTCATGAGGCAAGTAATTCAATTAATTCTGTCTCTAATTAATAGTATGTATTTACCTACCTATTTTATTTTATATGTATGTTTCTGTTGTATAACATATAGAATTATTTAGTTTACAGATTTATTTTCTAATTATATTATGGACTCGTTATTAAATAAAAAAATATTCCTTTTGGATGGTAGTTTTATTAGTGGAGTTAGACCATATGTCATAGATATGGACAGCATTATGAAACATCCACTTTGGGGATCAAATTTACTTTTTGATAATCCAGAAGCTGTTATTAATGGCCATAAAGACTATATCAGAGGTTATTATATTTATATACAAATAATCGCTATGAATAAAAAGTTGTATTTTATTTAATATTATATTTCCAGCTGGAGTAGATTTTCTAACCACCAACACATATCAAGCAAGTATTGAAGGCTTCCAAAAATATTTGAACTTAAATTATGAACAAAGTTTTGAATTGATTAAAAAATCTGTTTCAATTTGTCGACAAGCGATATCAGAAGAAAATTGTGGTGAATATAAACATTTAATACACCTAACTTATTAGGTAAATACTATTTCGTAGGTAAATGTTAGATTTATAATGTAAATGTAAATTAATTTACAGGACGGAAAATTCAAATACTGGGATCTGTTGGTCCTTATGGTGCTTCATTATGTGATGGTTCTGAATACAATGGAAATTATATTGATAATATAAATGTTAAAAAATTATCTGATTGGCACAGACCTAGAATCCAAGCATTGATTGAGGCTGGGGTTGATCTTTTACTCTTTGAAACCATTCCTTCTGTTGATGAGGCTAATATCTTGTTAAATATACTTACTGAGTTTCCAAGTCATAAAGCATGTTTATCATTTTCATTTAAGGTAATTATTCTTTATTTCAAACTGATACAGCTTGGTATTAAAATGTATTTGCTGTATTCATATTATATTGCCAATGTTATTACATTTATTGTCTTTTATAGGATAGCAATCACCTAAGTCACGGAGAAACATTTGCAAGTGCTGTTGAAAGGTTATGGGTAAATACATTTCAAGAACAGTTGATTGCCATTGGTATGAACTGTTTGCATCCAAAATTAATAACACCACTTTTAATGTCTATAAAAACTGAAAATGTTAATTTCATTGTTTACCCAAATGGAGGAGGTATTTGGGATGCTGTCAAAAAGTGGTAATAAGTATTTTATTTAGTTTTTATATTTTGAGAATTTAAATATCTTGTTTTTTGTTTTTGTTTTAGTTGGGATAACACTCAAAAATACACAATTTCTATTGATGATCTTAGCATATGGAGTAAAAAAGGACTTAAAATATTTGGAGGCTGTTGTAATACTGATGCTACTGAAATAGCAAATTTTAGAAATTTAATAAACGCTTTAAATTAATTTGAAATCAATAATTCAATATTATGGAATGTAATAACACCATATATCATTGTTCTATAAATAATTATTTTTCTGTACAATAATATTTTATTTCAATAATATTTTATTTTTTATTTATTATTATGTGTGTATAATGTGTATATAATATATATTGCTAAACTTTTGTTCAGTCAACAAATATATACTAAGTACTGAAGAATTTCAATAATATTTCTATTTGAGATACAAAGGTAATTTTGAATAGATTAAAAATAATATGTACCTATTACATATTTTTAAATTAATGTAATGAATAGGTTTCTTCTAATCATGCAAGTATAAATAATAACCTTAGCCATAGTCTTAGAAGAACTATACTCGAACAATTAAGTCAGTTAACATAATATCATGAAACATTAAAAATATAAGTACTATAATATTATATATGAATCATTTCTTATCTTAGAATTATAATACATTAATTATTATTTAAATATGTTGTCTTCCAAGATAACTCTTTTTTAAAATTTAAATGGAAGATATTAAAATTTAAATATATCTATTATAATAAAAATTACAATGTTTAGGATATATTTTGTAGTTACAATAAATTATTATACAACAGACTCATTCTAACAGTGTAAAATGTAGTAATAATTGAAAACTATATTGTGTACCTCCTACACAAAGCTAAATAAAAATAAAAAATATAATAGATATACTTTTGCTATTTGGAAGATTGTCAATACTTCAGAAAATGCTATTTCATAAAGCTTCAAAAGCGTGTGCAATTTGTATGTTATGTTGTAGAAAAATAATTTATGTTTTCAATATATTTAATACAGATTTGATACTATTGCAATCAGAAGAATAAGCTATAGCTAAAGGTTTTATTATATCAGTTTAAAAATTTGCAGCAGTAACATACATAATATTACATTACAGAAAGTTGTCTTTAAAATTTGTGGTTTTTATTTAAAAAAAAAGAACTGAAATAGTGTTATTGTAGAACTCATTGAAATAATTTGTTGATTATGCAATATATATGTATGTGTATAGTTTTTAAATGGCAATGGTCAGACGATATCACTGAAATCGTGGGGACTGAGTAACTGACAAAACTAGTCTCCTTGCGGCTAGACATGTCAGTATCCTCGCTACTCTATTTGCTGGAGTTTTTAATAATATATTTTATGCAATATAATTTTATCTTTTGCATTATGGAGTAAAATTTTAATAGTAATTTCATCAGTGAAATTGAAAAGCATCCCAAGTTTTACAATACATGTTAAAAAGCTACTTGAGAAAATACATTACAGACAAAGCTTGAAATGAAGTAGCCACTGAAGTTAAACTCACAGGTTTATAATAATGGTAACGAACAATATCTTCATCCTTACTAGAATCACTACTTAAAGACATTACAAATATTAAAAAATGATATAAACAAATCAACTACATGAAATACTGAAAATATTCATTGAAATCACAAGTTGACAATAATTTGATAAACCATGTGTGAGGATAACTGAAAACTTCAGTCTCCTAGTATGCAAGCAACTAGTTTCTTTTGAGTATCGTTTGAGAAGGGCCTTAGAGATACCTAATAAAACCTACTTTTGTTTGAATTTTTTTACTTTAAATTATAATTTGTAATAAATATGTAAGGAACCATATTATTACATTCATTTTTGTAAAAACTACTTTCTTTTTATTTGATATTGTTTTAATTATTACAATTTTTATGACAGAATGATATCACATTATTTTTCTGTAGTTTTACAACATATTATTTAGATTGAAGCTTTTTTAATAGATGCTAGTATATTTAAATTTTAATAAAAAATTATATGTATAGAATATGTGATATGTTAACTTATTTTTTGGAAGTAGTTATCAGTTTTATTTTTCTATTTATCATATTTTTGACTTATTGAGATACCTATAAATGTGAATTAGAAAAACAAAATATTAAAATTATTAATTATTTAAATAGGTATTAATCAGACATTATAGCCTTCAATAATATTAAATAAATTATTTGATGAAAAATGTAGTATCTTGAAATCACATGATGATTAAAATATACTTTATAATCTTGATACCTATGTAATGTATTTTTTTTAAACATTGGTGTTGTGAATTCATAAATTATTATGCTATTGTTATTATTATTATAACTATTATGAAATAAATACAATTTTATTAATAATAACTTAATACTATGTAATATTGGATATGCTACTTTATTTAACTAAAAAATACAAGCTAAAATTAATTTAAAAGTTAATGATAATGCATCTGTATCATATTATTTGTTCTATTGTTGGTTATAGTTTTATAGATACATCAAATTATAATATAAAAATTAAACAAATATTTGATAGTTCACTCAAACTATTATTATTAAGATAAACTATTCAGAAGTACATATCACTAATTAAAATACAATAATATAATAAAACTTATTTGGAATTAGATTTAATTTGTTATTAGAATATTGACATTTCGGTTTTATTTATTTTGAAATGTTTGGTCTTCTTGAATTTTTTAATTTTTTTCTTCCTCTCATTAATAAAAGACAATTCGTTGGACATTTCATCCAATACTTGTTGTTCTTCATCTTCTTTGGGTATAGAAAACAACATTTTCGAACTTTTGTTTTCTTCGGTCATTAATTCCAACAGGTCATGAGCAGTGGCCTCATTTTGCCTCATTCGTATCCAGGCTGTTTTATTGTCATCATTTAATTTCACAAAACTTACAGGCCATTTCATTTGATGACAAAATATTTTAATATCGTTAATTTGAACATTTTCTTCTACAATGTCCACTTTTAGTAAACAACCTGGTTTAAAGCATCCTTCAGTTTGTAGGAATTTTCTACTTTGTTTCATTTGTACACATTCATTCTTTTTTAATTCATTGAAATCTTTTTCCCACATGCGTTCCAATTCAAGATCGTTGTATTTAACAGACTTTTGTTTTAAAAAATTGTGTGCAAGTTCTTTAGTTCTAAATACAAAATAAGCAGAACCTTTAAACTTATGGTAGTTGTTCTTTCGAGGAATGACTCTTATGATGGTTTCATTGCCAAAGGTAGCAGCAAATGCGATTAGTTCATCTAAAGTGGCAGTTGTAGGAAAACCGTTACAATAAACAGACTTTTCAATCATTTTATTTAAGAATTCTTGATTGGCAACAGGGACACCTTGGTCAGGTTTACGTCTTATTTTTTCATTTGTTTCATCTATTTCTAATAAACTATTATAAGAAGTTTTAACTGCAGAAGTAATAACAGCCTTGTCACCAGAAATGGATGCCAATCTTTTAAAACTCATTAATACATTGATTTCCACCCAACCATTGTCAGCTGTAGCAAGATTTCTCAAGAACTTGTCATATGGAAAATTTACATCACTGAAATAATACTCAAGTTGCTTGACAATTTTTTCATCGATGGTTTCAGTTATAACTGTGGGTTCCACGATTTCATTTTCAGTTGTAATGTTGATTTCTGTTTCAATGGTTCCATTATTACTCTTAATGTTAGATTCCATATTTTGAACTATTATCGGTAACTAGATCCTAAAGTCGGTCAGGTAACAAAAAAAAAAAAAACACAACTTAGTAGAACCAATAGACCCCTCGCTACACTTCAAATATTAACATTATATTATATTATAATTTATGAATCTCACCTTACCACACAACGTAGTAGAAAAAGACGGGCCTCAGTGTTGAGTAGAATATTGATGTCTAGACACGACTACAGGTTACGAGGTAGACTGTTTAGATTACTTAGATAATAATTATTGATGTCTGATTCCAATTAATTTGAGGTTGTAGACTATTAAACACGAATGTCAAGAAAAAATATAGTGAACAAGGCACATACACTTAAAGTAAGTTCAAACATAGACATTAAATATATTACAGTGTGTGTGTGTGTTTGTAATTGTGCAATCTTATTGTTTGTATAACCACAAAATACTTCTTGTATGTGTTGCAGTACAATATGGTGATAATAATGTAAATTATGCCATATAATTTAGTACTCCATGAAAAAAATTGCATAGGGTAAAAAAAGAATAGGAGTTTTCAGTGTGACCACGTGTATTATCGTACCGTTGATTAAATATGCTCGCACTGTCACCTTCGAAAAAAAAAAACCATCATTTAAAAATCAATACATTTCGTGCTTCGCCCCAGTGGCGTAATTAAGGGAATACGGGAAATTCGGCTGCATAGCCCCTAAGCCTAGGGGGCCTTTCTGCCTTTCCAAAATACTATTTTTTTTTGTTATTATCAATAATATTTGTGTTGAAGATTTAAAAAATTTAATCAATAATATCTTTTATTAGAAACGATTGATAGTGCTAGTTTCTTATCACGGTTGAAAATGAATTGTAGGCTCTAGTTAAGGTTTATAAATATTATCTATAAACTTGGGCTCTAGTAGAAATTAATAATTATGTTAATAAATGTAATTTGTGTAATATTGTTTGATCTTTGATAATTTGATACAAGATTTTATTGATATTATTTCATATTTGTATTTTATTTTTTTCTATATTTAAAAATGTTTATATCTACTGTTGAACTTATAGATATATTAAATTATATTGCCGATAGTAAAAGGCCATTAGTTGAATGCACACAAATATTTCAATGCAATCACATAATTGAATTTGGTATCAAAGAACAAAATGAAAATAAAGTTGTATTTACATCATTGTGCTTACAAACATCCAATTTAAATGGGCATCTTCATCAAATTAATATTTCAAAAATGCGTGAAAATTGTAATACTATTATAACTGGTTAATGTAGTTGTAAAGCTGGCGCTGGCAAATATAAGCATGTTGTGGGATTTTTGCTCAAATTCTAAAAGTTAGTACCTATTTTTGACATATGTGTCTGGTATTATACATACAATAAAGAATATTGTAATATTATAGATAATTACTTATATTTCCTTTTAGAACTTCAGAAGACGAGATACAACATTTAAATTGCACTGATATTAGTCAACAATGGGGTAAATTAAAAAATACTGGAAATGATTTGTAAAGACCAATACCAATAAAATAATTATGCCATGTTGATTGTCCTACTGCTGTTTATAAACAAGTTTTACCAAATTCACTGCACCAGATATCAAGCAGAAGTTTTTGAAACATTGTTAAGAGGTACCTACATCATTCATCAATAACTGTATACACATTTTTAATTGTGTTTAACTAAACTGTAAATTTTGTTTCTAAATTCAACTTGATTTTACAAAAGGGTCTATTTAAATTTTCTTTAAATAATTTAAGTTAATCCAGGTTTATTGATACACCAAACACAGTATACAATTACAATAAAAAATTATGACTTTAATAATTTTTTAATAAGAGGTATTATATTTTGAAATAAAAAGTTAATTGCTTAGATAATTATTTTAAAAAAATATTAAGTTTTGAAAATTACATCAATAAAGCACTTAGAATATTATGTCTTACTCAATATTATCTAATTATTTTATTGGAATGATTCTTAAGCTATTCAGCTATTAGTTTAAGCAATAAAATATATAAATATGTAAGATTATGAATTGTGTAAATTATTTGGCATTTATGCCATGTTAAATTACTTTAATTATTTATTAAACAAAATAATGCTTTTAGGTATTGGGTGAAATGCTTTCTTATGGATATTAAGCATTATTTATTGTTATTTATAAATGATTCAATGCATATTAATTAAATAACTATTTAATTTTGAGGACTATTTTACATAATTTTTTTAGTGATTAACATTTTATTTTAGGTTTTAGACTCAGCAGACTCAGCAATATCTACCCACTTACAAGGTCACCATAGTCTCCGGATCAATGTATTACAAGACAAAGTCATTAGTATGCCCAATTATAATAGAAATAATTTTTATATTAAATTGGTTAGTACACATAATTCAATTATTCATGATGAGAAAAATAATATATCCATGCTTAGTTTTTACTAATGAAAAAGAATCTGTAAATCTGTGTAACAGTACATTGTTTTAAATAGGACCATTGTGGCATATGTCTTGTCAATTGAGAATTACAGGTACATCAGCTTATAAATTATTTACTTATTTTCGTGGGGCACTTCAAAATAAAAATATTAATTTTATATTGACATCATTATTGTTCACAAAGTTTTGTGGGAATAGTGCTACCAAATATGGTGTGGAAAATGAACAATTGGCTATCAAAGCTTTTGAAAAATTAAAAAACGTAAATCAGGTTTTATTGTTAATATTTACTGTCCTTGATTAGGATATAGTCCAAATGGAAATTTCATATGCGATGATCAAATTTGTTTAATTGAAATCAAGTGTCCTATCATAGGAAAAAAATTTAAAAGTTTAAAATACATTACATTTCATAGATTAGAAATACCCATTTAACAGAAAAAAAAAAAAAAAAAAAAAGACTTTCTTATTATGTACAAATTCAGTTAGGCTTATTACTTAGCAATATTTAGTTTTTTTACGAACAAAATTAGTGATTCTGTTTTCCTAATATAAGTAATATTAGACGAAGTATTTTGTAAAGAATTTTATTCTATCTTAACCATTCAGCAGGCGCGTATGCTCATTTTGTACGACAATTATAGATTTATTGACATAACTTTTATCTACGTATCCCGATTAATACTGGGATTTTTCCCATTCCACAATGACGTATATGTTATAAACATTTAATAATTGTTATCTAATCTTACGTATTTTTCAAATTATTATCGATGTATATTTCAGTCAACTCCGTCCGATCGCACGAAATACGTCTCGCGCCCGGTCGTAATAATATTATTATTTTTTTCTTTTCACACAAATATTTTTCTTTTTATTTATTTTCGTGTATTGCTTTTTTCACCTCATTATGGACGATATTGCGCGTATGTTACAAGAATTATCAGACGAAGAAGTAGGAGATAGTTTTGAAGATTTTGATAGTGACAGTGATCTTAGTGACGAAAATATTGTTTACGATAATTTTGACAGTGATTCGGAACAGAATATTTCGGATGAAGAAGTAGAAGCAATGTACACAGATGAACTGTACTATACCGGAAAAGATAAGGTTAGTAAATGGCGTAAAACTGAGTTCACCGAGCACTCAAGAACTAAAAAACATAATATAATAAAAACTTCCTCCGGTCTCGCCTCTCATTCTAAAAATATTGAAAGTGAAATCGATTCATTCATGAAAATAATCGATTTGGATATAGTAGACGAAATCGTAAAATATACGATTGTTACAATTTTATCAATTTTATACATACACTTCTAGGGTATTTTATTTTTAAGTATATGATTTATTTTAATTTGTTACATTGCTCCCCTATTATAAACTTTAGCTTTAGCAATTTCTATATTTGCTACATCATCTGTTAAACTAAATTGATAATTTTTTCCCTTAAAAGTTGGACGGATTAACTTGATTCCTGCATTATAGCATGATTGTTTTTCAAGGAAACCTTTATCTGATATAGTGCCCCCTACTTCACACTTTTCTAAAATTTCATTTGTTTTAAATATGTGTGTTTCAGAAGCTTTTCCACCAAATACATCACTCAAAAAAGTAATTAATTCATCAGGAAATATACTACCTGAATTTAATAGTGTGACGGCCTTTATAAAATGAATATGTTTTAATGTGACAAACCAGACATTTTGATGTCTCAACAGTAGTTTCAGTTCCATCAACAATAACTCTTGTAAATAAAAATGTATAAAATACATGGGAATATTTTTTTTTATAGTTGTTTTTGAAGGCCAGATAATAAGAGACTTCAGAATTAAATATAATAGATTAATTGTGTCATAGAAATAATTTTTGCATGTACTTTTAGATATACTAAAAAATACACAAATACATTTAGTTTTAACTTAATTAATGTTAATAATATTTAAATTAATAAAAATATCTAATTGGTGAATATCTAAAGTTACTTATTAGTTATTGCTTCCATTTGTGTCTTTTTAATACAATCTATACATAAATAAATAAAATTAAAGTGTTGTCTGTCCATTTGTCAAAGCTTATCTCTGAAATGGCTGAACAAATGTCTATAGAACTTTCACTGTAAGATGGAGTATTTTCTTGAGCATAATATAAAGTATTTTTTTTTCCTAACATGTAATCTAATATAAAATAAAAAAATAAGACAGATACATTTTATATAGTGAAATATAATAAATTAATTATGATTTATTTAATACATTGATAACTTCCCAATAGGCAGTTATAGACTATTTCTTTTTTTAAATTCAAACCACTAATGTAATTAAATATTTAAGTTGAATTTGAAACCCCAGTGTACAGCAGTCATTTTGAATAGATCAATAACATAAGAAAAAACTACAATAATGTTAACTATCATTAATAATATAATACAATATTTCCAAAATTTTTTTAGAAAAAAAATGAAATATTATTACTATTACTTACTAATCAATATATTCAATGATGCCATTTCGAAGTATAACGTCTAAATATATTTTGAGAAACAAACGAGTAATGTACAAGTACAAAATCATAAAACAGAAAGTTAATAATATATATATATATTTATAACTTGTTATCCGGTATATTCATTGTTAATTTTACGATAACATATAATAGGGCAGTAAATTTGGACTTCAAGTGACAAAAAATCTCTTCTCATTTGTGAGACTTCAGCCCCCACCCCCCAAAAAATATATTTGAGCTATTTGTGCCTATGGACATACCTACTTTGTAGGTATGTCATATTACAGGTAGTAAGGTTACTTTTCCAATCTGTATCGGGCGCAGCCGACATTTAAGTTACATATTGACAAGCGGGCAGTAATGTTGCCTTTCTCACCTAGATCGGGCGCAATTGCATTTTGTTGGTAGACAAATCGGGACGTGGGGGTTTGTTCGAAAATGATGAGGTTTCAAAAAATGAAAAAGGTCTGTAATTGAAAAAAGTACCGACAACCATTGACAACGAAAAAATCTGTAGTTTCAGAATAATTTTTATCAGGGGATATAGATAATATTACTATGTATATTTGTGTATTACTCAGAAAGCCCTCTATCTTTCCGCGCCCATGTAACCATTTTGTTTGTATTAATATGAGGTCTATGTTCAGAGAAGAGTAGACGAATTTTCATCAGACGAGTAGAGTCAAATTTCTTATCACCGAACACCAAACGTCCCAAAATATTTTTAATTTTCTAATTTTTAGTATTTTATTCTTAATAATTAATATGTCAATGTGGGTTATTGTTTATACTGTAAATTCAACTAGTTAGGTTAGGTTAGGTTAAGTAATCGTGCATAATATTACTAATGTATTATTTAATTCAACCAAACTCAAATATTTTAATATTTTACTAGCATTAGTAATATGTTTACTTGCATTATTTTTTTAGATTTTGAGTGGAGCGAAGAATGTATTGTTTTTACTAAAATGTTTAGTTTTTTTCTTTTTTTTTATGCTGTGTACAAAAATTCGACTTGGAAGCTTGCTCCAATATATACGCGCGGCACCATTTCTGGAAGAAAATATTGTCCAAATGGTACTTTACGAGGTCATTTTTTGGTTTTCCAAACAGTTTTCATAATATCTGGGAAAAACAAGGATAAAACGAAAGAAAAACGGGAAATGTTACGAAATTAATGCTTTTATTATTTTATCAATTTTGTTATTTGTTGGAATTCAGTTAAAAATATTCATATCAAGTCTATGAACTTGAAATTCGGACAGAAAATTTATATTTACCTTTTCTAGACGCGGTAAAATTTTCAACAAATTTAGGCCATTTTTAAGCTATTCAAAGGCATTTTAATTTTGCTAGTTTTGTACGTAATTTTTATTCGATAGGTACTCGATGTGGTAAAATTATTAGACTTAACAGACATGTTTGAAAATTTAACAGGAGGTTCATTAAGTCTTACTTTGTTTGAGTGAAAAATTATTTGGAACAAATCTAATTTTTCAATTTTTTTTTTTGGAACATATGTGTATTGCCAATTTAAAAAGGATAGTGAAGTCAGAATTGAGCGGACTGATTAGTTTCGAAATTATAGCTTTTTGAAGTTCAGATGTAATGCAGATATTACATGTTTGTGTAAAATAACTCTATATTGTCTGCTTTATTATATGTTTGCTGTAGTCAAATGGGGTCATGATTACGTATTGTCATATTAGCGGTCGCGGGTTCGAACCCCCCGGGTTTTGTAAAGAAATTGTTTGCACTTTTTTTCCCCTTTTACTTTAATAGGGAAAACAGAAATGCATTTTAAGTGAACCTAGAGACCTAGCTATCGCTCGTCCGGACGATTTTAATCGAAAAATAGCCCTTAATGTGTTGTGTAAACTTTTCTACCAGAAATCTTGCTCCCTTGTATCAAGTGTAGCTTATTTTCTGAAATTAAATTTTATCTCTATGGTTTAGGGAGGTCATTTTTTTGATTTTTAATCAATTTTCATAATAACTGAGAAAAACCGGGATATTATGTCTAAAAAACGGAAAATATACGAAATTTAGATATTAAAAAAAAAAATATTATGTTGGTATCATCATTCACCAAAGTATACTCTTTAAATGATGTGAAAAATCAAAGTATTCGAAAATGTCGACTTTAACTACATTTGAAAATTTCAAAAATTAGAATTTGAATATACGAGGGACGTCCGGAAATTAATGAATACAAGCCCCCCACGGTCGTAGGTAATTTTTTTTTCGAACATCGATACTATCGTCCACGTATTGAAACAGTTTTCGTTACATCCCGCACTAAGTCACAGTAGTGTTAACGTTCTAAAAAACAATTACCTACAGCCGTGGGGGGGGGGCTTGAAATCTTACTTTACGGACGTCCCTCGTATGCTAAATTTAGCCAAAAAAATGGGGTGAGCATGCTTAGGGAATCATCCTGTATATATTAATTAGAATATAATATCAAATGTCGCAATGTGACTGAGATAAAAAAGATAAATATATTATGTTATATTTTATTACACAAAGTAATATATTTTTTAGGAATCTTAAATATGTTCTGCAACTTGTTTCATTTGAATATATCTCTCTAAGTCAAATCTGAAATTCATGACAACAAAAAAAATTATTTTAAAATTTGTATACAATAAGTTTGCAAATTCTTTTGATCACAGCAAACATAACAAAATTAATTTTGTCATTCAATTAATTTGTAAACAAATAATAGCTTATTGTTTTGAAATTAAATACGATTCGTCGTAATAAAAAGAACTAGTAATTTAGTAAAAATCACGCGATATATTTTGAGTAGGTGGTAAAAACACAAGCGAAAACTAGTCATTCAGTTGAACACTAGATAGCGCGAGCGAATTAATTGTGGACATTTTGTTGGAGCAATATTTGTGCATAAACGGTAAAGGGGTTCACAGTTCTTTGTATTATAATTCCGTGGTTTATTACCTAAGCAATAAGTATTTACCAACAAAATTATATTATTCGTTAAATATAATCATCCAAATAATAAAACAAAGTTACACAAGTTTTAAATTTTGACTGTGATTTATCTGATTATGAATTTTTAATTCGAAACCGGTCGTATAATATACATACATATCATAATACTCCAGGCGATGCATTTATTAATTTATTAATTTTTATTTTTATACATACATTTTTTATTTATATGTTTATTTACGAGTGTTAACCGTTTTAATAATTTTGTTTTTAATTTATTATTTTATTAAAGATCAATCATTGCTAACGTAAAACTATTCTGAGCAGAGTTCAGTTTGTAGTATTGCTTTTTCAATAATATATAATATATATTTGTCATATTACGACGGTTTGGGTATCTAAGTGCATCCAAAACGCATTTGTTTTTTCCCTGTTACCTACCCGACGTGGTTTTGCAAAAAAACATTTTTGCAACTTGCGATCTCTGGGATGACAACAGATACGTACCACCAACACCGATACGACCGACATACTATTGAATTGATAATATTGAGTTATTTAACATAACACATATAATATCCGCATATTATCAGAAATAATTTTTCGCAAACGGGTTAATAAAAGAATTCAATAATTATTTTTCGATGTTTTAATGTTCTAATTCGTCTTTATTTATTGTTGCCAATGCAAAACCATTCAACATTTCTTCATTCATTGTAACTCGCAAGTATGTTTTCAGTCTTTTTAGAATAGAAAATATACGTTCGGAGGTAGCGGACGTTATAGACTGAGTAGTAAATAAATTAAGAATCTTCTTTATATTCGGAAAAAGCTCTGCGCAGTGTTGAATTGATTCTACAGCAGTCTCTGGTAAATTTTCTTTCAATTGCCATTGATTTCTCCGTATCAATAACTCTGCTTTTAAACATAAATTCATATAAATTAAAAAAAGTCGTTTTCGTAAATAGGAGTAGCAGCTAGGATTAATTAATCCTGGTCGTCATAATGTGTCAAATTAGATGGTATGAGTCCTTAAAGTTGTGTAATTGTTTCTAGTCTTTTATCAAATATTGAATGTAGCTGAGTAATTAAATTATCAAGAAATGGTATAAATATTGCTATTTTATAGTACTCCTCTGCATCTACGGCATTTATATTGTTTCGGACAGTTTGTCTGCTATAGGTTCGATGCATGCGTATTATAACGTCTAGTTCAGAAACTATTGTGGTCACATTTTTCATTATTTTCTTAAAACATTTTTCAGCATCTGATTGAATGGCTTCTGAAGCTTTTCTAATAATCATTACATCATTTAAAGCTTTAGATATGTCTGTTCTTTCTTGTCTCTCTACTTCAAGAGAGACAAGAAAATTACTCTTTGTTATAGCACTTATATATACCAACATTTGGTTGAGGTTTCAGGATTTGTATTACATTTGTCAAGATGTTCTAGAGTAGAAATTATATAAATGTAAATTTATTTGAATGTAATAAGTAAACCATGCCGATCGAGACTATCGTGTTTCACAAAGTTTTTCAATTTTGTTTTTTTAACCATTTTTATTGGAATTAATATTTTTATCGAAATCACTACTTTCGTGTAATTAGGGTATAATATTAAATTAGCTACATATTATATATTCATATTGTCAAAAGTACTTACGTACTCAAAGATATAATATTATATACATATCTATCGGTGTATTGATATAGAATCAATAAAAAAAAAAAAAAAATACCTACGTTCAATGAGGGGCCGACAATTGTTACCAACATTTCAAAGTTGAATAGTTGTTTTAATATTTTCCAACAAATAATAAAAACTTTCCAAGAAGTAAGATTAAAGATAGTATGTTCGTCATGGACAGTCCTCTGGACTGTTTTCCATTTTCTGGAAGTTCGAGGTGTTTAAGTGTACGAAAAGTCTAAGAAGCCATCTCTACTATAGGTTTAAGAATATAAAGTTTTTCCAAGTTGCATAATGTCTTCAGGAATATTCAACTGGATTTACATATATTAGTAGATATTATTAGTATTACTATTTGTATTATTACTAGTATACTATTTTTAGTAGATATTATTATTTGTGTACAATATAATAATAAAACATAAAACTAAACATTTTAGACTAGATATTTTTTTATTGCGTTTGTGGGAACCACCTCCCTCCTTCGTCTGATTCACGAGTAGTGTAATAATTATACGCCGAGTCGTTGCCCAGTGACTGTACACGTGTTAAGTACTCGCAATACCTATACAATTATTTCTCGGTAATTATTATTGCGTTGCGCGCATTATAAAAAATATAAACAAAATTCCAAATAATTATTACATAAACACTGAGCGAAACTATGCGAACCGTCGTTAAAATATAACCTAATCTGTACAGTTTAAAGTACAAATCTGTACATATTATTCTAATATTATTAAGTACCTTTTTAAAACAGTGTGGGTACAAGATTATAGTTATATTCATAATTGCCGTTAGTATTTTTTTTTTCTAGCGTAACACGTGATTATTATTTCGGAGAGAAATTCTCTCGGATGGACGAAAACTAGTGCGTTTTCGGTATCTACCTGGTGTTATTTAATAATAATTATTCCGTTTACTTTCGGAACGTTAATACTGTCAAAATTACGTGTATTTCATTTTTACATTAATATTTTAACTACACAAGAAGACGAGTAATAATAATCGAAGTGAAAACGATACGAAAAATATTACTCAACGTTATAAGGAGCGCCACGGTTACGTTTGCCGTTTTTTTGTATAAAGGGCAATATAGCATAAATGCATTTTTGTCCTTCCAATAGTTGATTGTCAGAATTTAATAGACCTAAAACAAACATTTATCGTTACGCTCAGAATCGAAAAACGATTCTGAGTAAAGTTAATTTACAAAATTAAACGTTGAAATTTCCTTTCAGAAAAGATGTTATACTTGATACATCGAGCCTATAAATCCCTCGATATACACTTTAAATCTAAAATTACTAAATTTCACTTATCATTTTTTTATCAATATGTACAACTTATAATATATCCCGTGTTCAATTTTCATACATTTCTGTTCTTGCAAAACAATTTTATCTTCATAAAACCAAAATAAACTTCAAATAAACTATTTATATCTCAAAATACATCATGTTTTAAAAGTTTATTTTATTATGTCTAAAAATGGCTTATATAAAAATTGTGTGGAAATTTCGTGTCTCTCGAACGAAAAAATAAAATTCAAATATTAACGATACCGTTATTATTATAGATTTTCCTGTTTTATCTATAAAACTATAAATTTAATAAAAATCGATCTTCTTTAGCAACAATTAGAAAATACAAGATGCTACTCTTGACATTCGGAGCAAGATTTCTGGGAGAAAAACTTAATCAAATAAATTGAAAATAATAAAATCGTTATCGCCGTAAATATCTCCGATTTGTTTTTGTGTATACGTTTTTCTCCATTTATTACCGAAATTTCTGTGGAAGTAAAAAAATAACTTCGTAAATACACCAATTACGTCTAAATTGCTGTAGAAATGTTCTCTTGTCGTTTTTTGATCGGAGCAGGAAAAAATTGTTTTTGGATGGGAAAAAATAGATAAAAAAAAATAAAACAATTTTTATAGTAAAAACTAATACAATTCTCATCGTTGCGTTCATAATTTAATACAATAGGAATAATCTTAGTGGCAAACAGTATTGACCTGACACACATCAAAAGTCGATTATATTTCTAAAAAATAATAACGGTTTCGTGGCTACATTATAAACGTTCTATATTCACAAAAGCGATTACCAGTAACATTTCAGTTTTAAATATTTTGTGACTCGTTTACGTAATTATTAGTAATAAATTATTATATTTTATTATTTTACTGCAGCCTACGATTATTCAACTGAAATCTAAATCTTGTATCTTGCATACAAGGCAGTCAGTAGTTAATTTTCGAGTGTATTAGTGGCTGTGCATATCATATTTATTTATTTTTTTTTTTCTTTGGGGGGGGGGGTGTTCCCGATAATTGTGACTTGGGATAGTTGGGTAGAATGGGTGTAAACATTCAAACGTTATACTTTTTAGGGCTGAATATTCATAAAGGTAAACGTTTTTGAGGCGGATGGTGGTTTGAATTTAAAATTCTGCCGTGCCATAAAAATATAGTTTGGACGCTACTGTTAATGAAGGTATTTAATAAATCTTATAAAGATTTTCAGACACGAAATAGCTCTATGGCAGGCGCTCGACGAATCACGGGCAGTTAATAATTTCTCCGTTAACGAACACGAGCGTATACAGACAAAATCTACTCGAGAAAAAACAAAAAAAAAAAAAAACAACAACGACAACAACTGCGTTTCCCTTCGTTTTAAAACGGGCGTAAAAACCGATTTTGTTATTGATAATCTATGCGCCTACGTCACACAACGAATGCTACGCTATTCGTTCGACAGACCGGGCGCGTTTACCGCGGTTCTCGCGGTCGCCGTTTTAACATGATATTATAATTTACGCGGCCGTCCCGCGAATATAATACACCTACTTTATGTTACACACGTTAAACCGCATATGTATATGTGTACACACACACACACACACACACACACACGTACGCGTATTGCACGCCAATGCACGCGGGTGTGTCTCGAACGGCACGGCGTCAATAATATCGGTCGATATCGTAATAATTCATTGTGCGAATTGCGCATAACGTACGAGGTCCGGCTATTAAACAACGAGACTGCTTATGAAAAATTGTTTTATTTTAAAAATTATTCCACAACCACCGAATGTTCCCCTTCAATATACTCTTACAATCCCCTCTTCGCACACCGTTTCATTCGTTTCTTCCATCGCTCGAGGCAGTGCTGGAAGTCCGTTTTCGCAAGACCATTCAGGAGTTCCGCCGATTTTTGTTTCAACTCTTCCGTCGACTCAAACCGGATTCCTTTTAAGGCGGACTTTATCGTCGGAAACGAGTAAAAGTCGCAGGGTGCCGAGTCGGGTGAGTAAGACGCGTGTTCTGGAGTGCCTTAAGCGGCCAAATAACGCTTCGCGCTTTATCCTGGTGCAAGATCCGCGACTTGTTTTTCCACAATATCGACCGTTTCTTACGAACTCATTCGCGCGATGTTGCCAAAACTGTCAAATAGTAATGTTGGTTCACAGTTTGACCCTCTGGAACCCATTCAGTCATCACGATGCCGTTGATATCGAAGAAAACGATCAGCATGATTTTGAATTTGGATTACGACTGAATTGGATTCCGGTGCACACTCGACCTTCAGAAAATAATTTATGCCACTCGAAAACACGCGCCCGAGATAGGAAATCCTCACTATAGGCCTCTTTTAACAACTTATAGCACTCAGTTGGAGTTTTTTTTTTTTTTTAGTTTAACGAGAAAACTGTACGTTTATCCGTTGCTCGTGTTTTTCGTCACGCATCGTTTTCGGCAAGAGAAAAAAACATGTTCGTTTCTAAACGCTACAGAAAAAATACTAATGCACCGGCAAAAACCCGATTCCGTACTGGCATAATAGACACTTCCAGCCAACCGGCGCTGTATTCGGTTTTCCCCTAACCTTTTCGGGACGCTATCTGCGCGCGCAGTCTCGTTATTTAATAGCCAAACCTCGTATATACAATATACCCGGGCTCGGCTCGACTGCGAAACCGTACCGAGAATACGCTTTCCCTAGCTTCCCGCACGGGGAGTATGCGATACGCGAGTATATATTTTTTTACGGACGTACGCGAGTAGTGCGGGCTTCGCGTACGCGGCGCGAGAGCTCATGCCGAATCGAGCGATCGTAATTGCGTGTGTATTGCGGCGGCGACCGTCATTGCTCGTTACACAGGCGCTCGTAATATTTGCAATTCAACGCGGTAAAATAAACTAATCGAATGTCGTCGACCGAGCCGATAATATACGCGCGTCTGATTGCGATTAACAAAAATAACCGTTTACAATTTGATATACTAGCGAGCACACGTGTCCACGTGTCACCGCGACGCGTCGGCGGCGGTTATTGAATTATCTACCGCCGGTATCCAATTGCGTCTCATTATTTTCATCGGCGTGAGCGGCCGCCGAGTAAATTCGGACCGTTCTAAATGCCCATCGAACGATTTACATGCAATAAGAACGCAATTGCGTTGGTTTTGCATGTTAACACGTTAATTGCCTTGTACCGGAAATGTGTACGCGACAACGGGTTCCGAATAATATTATAACGGACAGTGTGTCGACTTACAGTCGAGTCTCCGAGAACGTCTTACTCGATTTCGAATCGTGAAAAAATAATATTCTTCGAAAAACATTGCGTGATGTTATTGACCGTGTTGAATGTTTTATTACGTTATCCGCAATATTTCGGCGATTGTACGCGTGCAACTCGATCTAAACGAATTTCGTTTTATATTTTAAAAGTGCATACAAATCTAATACCGCGTACAATAATCATGGTTCGGAAATAATAACATTTGATTATTTTTCTGGTTTGACGTAAAAATCAAGCGGAATGCTGCGGACATTTACGTCGCGTTACAACCAGTTTCAATATAAAAATATGAAAATATTTTCATTTTTTTTTTTTTTTCGTATAATTCGATAGTTTTCTGTTTCTTTTAAATTCTGAGCGGAGCTTTGGCTTTACAATGATGTTTAGTTTTGTTTCTGCGACCAACGTCGTTACCAGAAACTCTATACTCGGATTTTCAAGTGCAGCACTTTACGTTACTATTCGAGTATTTTATATTTAGCTCAAAATCTGGAAGTGTTAAGTACCCCCTGGCACCCCCGTATATGCACCACGTAATGGTGCAGGTCATGCGCGCGGTGTAAATATTTGTTTATCAGTATAGTATCGTGTGATGTTAAACCACCATCATTATGGTACGCCATTACTCAGTTATTCGACCGACCGCCAATATTTAAAACCTTACCAACGGACCATTGTACCCCATGATGATGGTGTAATCATTTGTCCATAATGGAAGTACGTATTCACAATATTGCCATCATGAATAGGGACGATGTTTCAATTATTCTTGAATTTAATGTCATTGGCATACAGCGGAATGCCAAATCTCGTTCGTTTAGTCGGTATAATATTAGGGACGCAACATTTGGACACATATTCGCATTGTTGTTAACTTAAGGACAGAACTAGAAAATTAATCATTTATTAATTTGTTTACATGGTTCGTGCATTAGGCAATATGAATATCATGGTCAAATATACTTAGTTAGATATATTTAGCGCGGATTCGTGAAATTTAACCATTTTGTAGTACAAAACTACCGTCACTATTAAGCGTTACGAATTTGACCATATAGAGGCCGTGTGAGAAATTTGTCTCATTAACTGTTAAGTTATTGTTTTGTAACTTGTGTATTTTAATTCTTGTATTACATGAATAATAACAACGAACGCTTAGAAGCAATTTTTCAATTTGTTTCAGTAAGAGTTACTAAACTTAGTACCTATGTGATTAGTTGAATATTTACACGTTTTTCAATTTTACAGTTTTTTTTTTTTTTAGTTCTTTTGGATTCTTTTTTTGTGTTTGCGATGAGTTTGACCCAAACAGACATTTTTCTCATATATACTTTACTTAACTATAATTATCTAAGTAAATTACATTGAAGTGCATTTAAGTACATTCAATCATTAGTAAAGTTTATGGTGCACAACACATGTGTGTACTGAATAAACACGCCCCTCCTTAATGTAGTGTATCAGTAGACCAGTGGCGAAAAGTATAATCATCTTTAAAGTGGCCGTAAAATGATTAAAAATCATTTTTTAAATTTTGAGAAAATTTGGACAATTGGCACTAGTTCCCTTAACTATGCATATAAAACAAATTATATACCTACATAATCTTTTAAGCAGGATGTCCCACAAATATTTTTTTAAATATTTTTAAGGTTTTTTCTTGTAATAATTTTGAGCCTTGTCCTATAATTACTCAATTTTATGATTTTTTTTTTGAAAACTAAGAATAACAAATTTTAAATAAAAAAAAAAAAAAAAAACTAGATATAAATTTAATAATATATTTAAAAATCAATTCCGGTTTTATAAATATATACTAATGATAAATCGTTAATTTTCTTCAATTTGTTGAAGTTATCAAAAATCGTTATTAGAATTATTTTTCATGAACAATCTAATGAATCGATTGATTATATAATTTGGAAGTGGCAATCAAAACAATTTAAATTATCGTAAACTTATAAGAATTAACTACTAATTTTACATAATTAGTAAACATTTGTAACATCAACATTTTGTTTTGAAATAAATGTGTATAATTGTTATCTTGGATTTTTTTTTAGTTTAAAATATTATAATTGTTGTTCAAGGCTTTAGTAATTGTTCCAAAAAATAAAAACTTATAAATGCTGAATAGAAAAAATGATTGTCATACCTCCGTTGGACATTCTGTAAATATATGCATTTTGTTGAATCAATGTTATTGGTGGCCATAAAAACATTGCGCTAAATAGTAAATATTTTTTACCACCGACCTACAATACATCGCGTGATTTTTACTGGAACACTAATAATTTTAATTACAACGAATCATATTTCATTTCAAAACAATGAGTTATTATTCGTTTACAAATTAATTTATTAAACAAAACGCGAACATGTTGCGCTCGGATCCCGTTTCCCGTCGATATCCGTTTATATGCATACGATTGTATTATCGTAAAACCTGTTAACGTGTTATAAGACGACGAGTGAATTTAATATGATATATTATTTGTAATGCATTTACATGCATTTCTGTAGTCGTGTTTCAGTAACACATTTAGGTATGCACATAATATAATATTTATATAACGCGTGATACAGCAATAATAATATTCTATAGTGACCATTTACTAAATAGGTAGTTTCTATTTATATGCACTTACCAGAACCTCGTTAATAGATTTATTTATTTATTTTAGATTTTCTAAAAAAAATCAAATTTTCACCATAGAAAACTAAGAACATAAATTATGCATCGTTGGTATTATATGTTTTCGATATTGGTATATTATACCTACGAATAATACAAACCTCTCAAAAAGAAGGTTATAAATTCAAACTAGAATAAATTATTTCGTAATTCAGTGATATGGAAAAACTAAAATTAATTTGGCGCGGTGAAAGTGCTATTTGTTTTATGGTGAACATTTGGTTTCTTAAACGTTACTTTACCATGTTATGAATAATTTTCCGGAGCCAAATTATTCGCACCGTACCTTAAAAGATGTGGATTTTTCACCCTGTTGTACAATATATGAATAAAATGTCTAAATTAATATAATATATATTCTATAAAATCAAAAAAAACGCCGTAACAATCAATGTCGATAAATCGGTTTTAATTTGTGTTGTTTTCTGGGTTACTTATTGGCTATGGGACAAAATCATTAGTAATATTGTGCTCAGAATCGGTTTTTTACTCCCACAGTAAATAAATTACATCATTATTTTTTTTTAAATTCTGACTGGAGTGAAAAAGCTAATGGTTTTACTTTGAAGTTTATTATTATTATTATTATTATTTTTTTTGCGTACAAATATTTTACCAGTAATTTTGCTCTGATTTACAATGATAACACTTTTTATGAGAAGAAATCTGACTGGGGTGGTGTCATAAGGGATGCCATTTTTTGATTTCCGTAGGAGTTTTCCCAATAAATAGGAAAAAACTCGGGAAAACCGAGAGAACGGGAAAATAGGTACACTATTAAACACATTTTATTAAAGAAAATATTGAATGCCTACGTATAATATTATTATACCAAAATATGACATATATACTGTTGAAAAACCAACACTATCAACCGAACTCCGCTCAAAATCGTTTTTTCGTTAGCAAATGGTTAATCGTTGCTTATAGGTATACATTAAATTCTCACCTATATTTTACTTATCCAACTTCCCACCTATAACAGTGGTTGCACCTGTTCCCATTATCCTAGGACAGATTTTTCAAATTCGAATTATTCCACCATAAGTCTACAAAATATAACATAACAAACAATAATACCAACAAGTTTATTTACATCAGTTATCACTGAGTCATTATTATTTTTATGTGTTTGACCTGTAATAAATCAAAATATTTTAAATATGAGTGATAAGAAGTTGTCGTTCTTTTATCAAAACAACTTATACATTTAAATTGACTTCCGGTTATTTTCGAGCGTTACTAATTGCAAAATATAGTAGGTTATATGGTATTCTTTCACTTTGTTACCCATATCTGCCCCGTTTTATATAAATAGCTTCTGACTGCGATGTCGTATAACAAATGCATACTAACAGAAAAAAATAGCATGAAAATCGTCAGATTGGTTTATATATTTTTTTTATGAATAGAAAGAGTTAAGAATGTATTATATGTATTTAGTAAAAATGTCAGGTTTCCGTTTGTCGAGGTTTTCCCAGGTTTCTTTATCAATTGTTAAGTAAACTATAAGAAAAATAAAAAAAATGGCCTCTTTAATACACTAACTAAACAAATTTTGCAACCAGAAACCACCTCTGGATTTGATGATCAGTTCATAATTCCTGTTCAAAAACTTGTTTACGGACAGAAAAAATAAAAATAAAAAATATAAAATTAATTTTTGTTAACTTTTGATAACATCGGCCTGACGTTATGTCTATAAATATTACGACATAACACCTTATTTATAACGAAAGAAAGTGGAGATTTTATTGTACATTATATATTATATTTATTGGTTTATTAGTCACCTAACGTAGAAAGATATTGTCTCAGACGTTTAAACCAGACTGAGCTCTTACACATTCGTGGTTCGTTATAGATGCCGTGACGAGTTACCAAAGAAGCTTCGTTTATACATAAAAAAAAAAAAAAATAATAATAAAAAATACTCGTTTTCGATAGTTTAATTTCGTCGGTTGTACGATATAATAATAATACATTATTATGTAGTTTGATTTGTGTATATTTCATCAGAAACTACGGACTTTCCGGCGCGTACGTGCGTAATGTATACAATACTAACCTACGTTGATGACGACTGCAGCGTAATGTTTCATTTGCCCGGGTGTGCATATTACATTACGCAGTTATATTTTGTACAGCTCGCGTTATCGCGTGTATTATACAGTCCACGTGACTCGCACGACTTAAACTTTCGAAATAAGTTGTTTATCCGACAACCGCTGCGATTATTTTGCACTTAATGTTGTACTATGCAGATCGCGTTAAAATGGTTTGAAATTAAAACGTATCTATTATTATTGTCGCGTAAATACTTTAAAACGGTTTAAAAACGTCAAACCGTTTTCAAAATTAAAACGATCGCTGCAACTACATCAGTGCATTCAAAACTTTTTCAAAACGTGGCACCCTGTTTGGACTGAAGTTTTCTCAGGGCGCTCTTGTTAATCATTGCAATTAAAAATCGATTATGAACAGAGCAGTGTTAGTCGAAAGGATTTCCCATTGTATAGCCAAGGTAACCGTGTAGAAGTCAATAAAAATAAAACCGATGTAGAGACAATGACTGTTTTTGCTGTCATCTTGGGTTTTAAAAGAATTTTTAGATTAATAAATATTTCACTAATACATTGTGTAATTTATATATTATGTACTTTGAGAAATTAAAACAGTTTTAAATGTTTAAAACAGTTTATCAAATTACTAACGCGATTTTTTAATCGGCTTTCAGTTTTCATTATAACCGTCAGTTAACTAACTACAAGTAATTAATTTGTCGATTAAAGTTCCGATTAAATAGTATGAGATTAATTAATTATGTTGTTCTGGTTAACTATATTTGAAGGTTAAAGATGAAATCAACATATTTTTTAAATTGTCAAATGTCTAATTGATATTGTTATTAGTTAGTATTATTATCATTATTCACCTGCAGTAAAATTATTATAACTCGAATATTTTACATTGATGTTAATCATATTTTATCATATTTTAATTATTAACTCTCATTTAAAAAAATGTTATAACATATTATGACAACTTACAAACCGTATGAGTATAGTATCAACAGGGTCTAAACTACCAAAAAGGGCAAACATTTTTTCGAAGAAAAAAAACACGATTCGAAAAATCATTCAAGATCTGTTTTATTTGAGCAGTCCAAATTACTAGTAAGTTATCTTATGTTTAGCCGTAAAGGAATAAAATGTTCGGGACGGTACGAAATATTTTAAACGGTCTTGAATTTTTGAACAATTATGATACCGTAATGAAATTGAAAATTACATTTTTTTTTAACTATTTAAAATATATTTATTATTTAATTGAAAATTCTTTCGTTGTTCAAAAAGATATTACAGTAATTTAAAATATATATTGAAAAAGCCCCTACAAAAAACACTTACAAAAAAAAAAAAAAAAAAAAAACAACAACACCAATACATCATAATAATATACTTAGTGTACAGACAGATATCTGATAAATTTGAAAACGGAAAAAATATCGACAGGAAGACCATGACGAGTGCATGACTTACCAGATGCGTAATCTCATCTAACGTTCCTTACTTGAAACTAGCCTCAGACACAAATGGAATTATATGATTGCCTATCAACAATATTTAATAACGATAACATAATTTTAATGATACTAATAATGAACATGCTGCTCAGAGATTTTAACTGTGAGTCCAAACCTATAGATATTGTTTCAAAGAAGTTATAGTGTCTTAAATGTAAGCCTAAAACCTATTCGATAAAAATCCACCTCGGGTTCAGATATAGCAAGGAGAAAATGAAAGAGAAAACGCATATTTTGGTATATGATTGTGAGATTCAAAATCGACAGCATATTGATTGACACCAACTTGTATACTCACGCGGTGCTTCTGACGGTCCAAATAGGAACGATTTGAAATTATATTTCTTAAATCGTATAGTGCCTAATGACAATTACGGTTATATATTGCAGTTTTCCTTACTGGCGTTAAAATAACTTGCAATAATTATATACCTATATTTAGTTTACACGTATAATAAAAATAAAAATAGGCTGAATAGAATAATAAAATACTGTGCCGAAATCGTGAATACAGGAGACAAGTGAAGAGGAAGATAAATTATCATAATATTATATAACATTATAATTGTATTTGGCTGTTGTCGTACTTATATGGCAATAGAGAGCGGTCGACCGCTCTGAAAATTTACATAATGTTACCAACAAAAAAATAAAAAAAGCAACATCGTTTTCTAGAGACTAGAGAGGCACGTATTTGGGTCGTTATCTTAAGAGAGACGACGACTAATATATATCTCGTATATAAAATTCTCGTGTCACGTGTTCGTGGTCGCACTCCTCCGAAACGGCATGACCGATTTTAATGAAATTTTTTTTGTAATTTGGTAGGTATGATAATAGGTCGTAAAGTATTTTTCACCCTCCTAACCTCACCTACCATTTTTTAATCGTGATTTCAGTATTTTAATTCGGTCTTTAGGTATTATTAAATTATTTATTTTTATGCATTACTTTAGTAACACGAATGAAATGAAAAAAGAAAAATGTAAATGTTTGGTCCAAATGTATCCAGGGTAATTATTATAAATAAAAATAGAAACATATGGAAAAATAACCTTCTATTTTTTTTAATTCCGATTTTAGTATTTTCGCTTATATATATATTATATACACCAAATAATTTAGCTAAAAAAAATAATAAAAATGACATGGGCCGTTTCCTGGGCAGAAAAGCTTCACTATTATTTTAAAGTTTTTCCCGATAATATCATAATTCACAAATCAAAATTACAAAAAATCACAAAAATCACTTCAAAAGGTTCGAACAATCAAAAATTTAGCTAATTTACTTGAAATTAAGAAAATCATAATTGTATACCAAGCATTAGTAAAATCTATAATTAATTATGATATTACTATTGGGGGGGGTGCTTACGATACAACACTAAATTTATTAAAAATAATACAAAATAGAATAATAAAAATTGTTTTAAAAAAGAATCATTTGTATCACACAGAATATATATACAAAGAATTAAGTGTTCTACCATTAAATACATTTTTCAATAAGACACCAATAATTTATATAATTAAAAATAACCTAACACCTAGTACTGAACCTGGCTATAACACAAAACAATTATCAAATATTACTGTACCTTTAGTGCACAGACAACTAATTTAATTTACTTACTTATAAATAGGACGAAAAATATATATCATATAATAGATATCAAAACAACACTAACCTTTAATACTTAAAAAAAAATAATTAACTGGCTGCAGAACGAACCAAATATAAAACTTTAAATATTTTTTACCTTTAATCTAGTTGCTTGCATTTGCATTTTATCACACTGTATTATACATTAAGTTTCCGTGTATTAATATTATCGTTACATACATTGTATATGTTTTAGTTAGATGCATCTAATAAATAATAGGTTTAAAATTGTAAAAAAAAAAGTTAAATGTAAAATATTATTATTATGAATGTACGAGGTCTAACCAATAAGTAATGAGAATAATTCAATAAAATACGTATATTTAAATATTAAGATACATCGATGTGTTCCCCTTCAAAGTACTCCCCTCTCACCACTATACACTGGTTCCAACGTTTTTTCCAGCTCTCATAACATTTCTGGAAGGCTTCAACTGGAATGTCCTGAAGTACCCTCGTCACGGCGTTCTGGATGTCAGTTATGGACTCAAAATGCGTTCCTTTCACGGCCAATTTTGTTTGAGGGAACAAAAAGAAGTCGCAGGGTGACATATCCGGCGAATAGGGCGCTTGTGGCAACATTGCGATGTTCTTAGATGTCAAAAATCGCGACACACTGAAGGCACGATGGCATGGAGCATTGTCATGATGAAGGTACCATCTTTGCACACAGCTTTTTCATGGACAAATCATCAGTTAAAATTTTTCTGACGGTTTCTCGTTTCAANCGGTCTCCCACTTCGCGGTTCATCCCCGACGCTTTCACGACCATTTTTAAAATTTGTATGCCATCGAAACACCTGAGCACGACTCAGGGCTTCATCACCGAAAACTTTCACCAATTTATCTTACGTTTCCATAACGGAATCGCCGAGTTTAACGCAAAATTTATATTACGTTGTTCCATATTTGTGACACGCCTTACAAACACGTTGTCGAAAACATAACACAACTGGAAAACTAATTATTGTACGAAAATCGCGAGCACATGTATCGATAGAGGAGGGATGAGAGATTAATCGAACGAAGTTTCAGATTCGCAGTGTTGCAAAGCAAATGGCCAAAAAAACAGTCTCATTACTTATTGGTCAGACCTTGTATAAGTTTCCTTGTTATAAATTGTGAACTCGTGGGCCTCCACACGAACCTGGGTCTATTATATTTTCGAAGAAATCAACAATAATAATAGTTAATAATAATAATAATAATTTATTACCGTACAGAGGATCGTAAACTTCACCGGAACTGTCATTGTAACCGATTCGGGCTACAAAATTGCCTAACACACAATGTTATATATATGTTTTTTACGTAACAACGATCAGATAGGTATAATATTATACACACTTATGTGTATCTAAATACAACAACTGCGACGTTCTCTATAACATTTTATGTTCATGTAACATATTATTAATATGTTCGTATACATTTGTGCGGTTACCCCTCCTCCCTCCCACAAACATGCGTGCATATAATATTTATAACAGTTTTATTTTGGCGCAAGATTAGAATTAATATTCGTATCAAGGTACGTTTGTTTGTTTTATTCAGGAGCGTCATTTGGCGGGGGGGGGGGGGGAAGGAGTATGCATTTGTCCAACCCTAGATTTTAAAGTAGCTTTGGGTCGGTATATGATACATACATATCATTATGCATTCAGAAAGTACTGATTCACAAACCAAATGGAAAACGTCTAAGGGGAAGACCTCGACAATAATGACAAGATAGAGTAATTGCAGATAAAAAAAAGCTGTCCAGGATAATGGAGACCGGCGCGGCCACTGTTGTGAAGGCAGGAAATCGGAAAGGTAGGATTCAGAAGGGAATTTAATGCATATATGCATACGTATCTCCAACAATAAATTCCCTAGAATTTCGATGCGAATAAATAATAGGGTTTTCGAAACGGTTTTTAAAGACCAGTTTAACTCCAAACGGCTTAATCGAAATTATATCACCGCGGAAATGATTTACGACAACATTATACCGCGTCCCGCCTCGCAGTGAGTCACAACATACACACTGGCGCTGTGCAGACGACGATGTTCGACACTTACAATATATTATAGTTATTGCATTTATAATAGATACGCGAAAGTCGTATAAATTAAATAATTTGTAATATCTCGCGCGAGTCACTAGTCTCTGCAAAAACGGCAATTATTGTATTATATCTATAAACGTAAGGTTAGATGAAAATAATTAGAGATGGGAGATATACCTATAGGGTGATCATAGGAGGACACTTATCTTATAGATTTTATTTTGTTTATAATCTATGAAATTGTATACCAAAAGTGTATAAGTTTTATAGAATACGTTTAAATGCATTTTACTTTCAAAGAATACTATAGTAAAACAATTTTTTTTAAATATACCAAGAATGAAATACACCTTCTTGTTTCGTGTGAAATAAACATTTATTTACTAATATAATACAACTAACAAATACAACATTTTAACCTTTATAAGTAAATAATAAACTTAACAGTCGTGCGTATTCAGCAACAATTAATATCCGAAGTGTTACCGAGTGACTAAAAACATAATTATAAATTACCAGATGATAACTTCTGCGAAAAACCAAGTATATTATAATGTATTAAACTTTTTTGTGGATGTGGGAACAACGCGGGAAAACTTAAAAAAAATGGGAAGCATATTATGATCCTTGGTTAATTGATTTATTGGATTTACGGACGTGACCGCGACAGTCCGAATTAAATTTGGCGAATTCGTTGCTAGAAATATGTACTGTATACGTATAATATCAAATTATCATGTTTCGTGTATATCATCAATATATGTGGTTTATACAATATACGTGTGCACCGTGCAGATATTATCACCATGAGTGTGCGCAAACGTTTTTGGCAAATGATGCCGTATAACTTTAGTCTTGCAAATTTATACAAGATTTAAAGGGCGGTTAATTCATACAAGGAATAAAATCGGTTTATTTCTATTACCTATCTAACGTAATATTCGATTCCGAATGCAGCAAAGGAGTTATTAATTTTATTACGATATACTCATCATTAATAATTATATTTTATTTTTTGATCGGAAAACGTTTTTTTGGCTATAGTAAAAATCCTCAGATTTTATATTCTGAGCGAAGCAAGGAATATATTTGGTTTTACAGTGATGTCTTTTTTTTTTTTTTTTTGTTAACAACTTTTCTACCAGAAATTTTGCTCCGATTTTCAAGTGTAGCATTTTTTCTGAAAGGAATTTTGTCTTAGTTGGTACTTTAAGGAAGTCATTTTTGATTTCCCTAGGAGTTTTCATAATAAATATGAAAAACGGGAAAATATACGAAATGTACGAATTATTTTCAAATCATAAATATTATGGCCTTCTAAAAAGAACTCCTCTCTGCAAATTCGTTTTTCTTTAGCAAAGATTAATCGTTGCGTACAGATATTCATTAAAGTATATTCGTATCTTTTTTTTTGTTATACCTTAGAAGATAGCATGCACTTGATGGTACTTTATTCAAATACATTTTCAAAAATTGCTTTTTGTGTTTTTTTTGCAAACGTTTTTTTGGTCGGGCTTTAACCTTTATACGGTACCTTAAAAGATGCGGAATTTTTGCCCACTGATACTTCATATGAAACATTTATCTAAATTTCCAGCAGTTCAAGTTCGGTGTCCTTTTTTTGGGTTTTATCGGAAAATAGTTTTTTGGTTAGTAAGAAGGTTTCAAATTACTCGCATCATATCATAAAATATGCGGATTTTTCAACTGAAATTTTGATATTTTTTTTTGTAAACAGTGTATTAAGTACATATAGGTTCTATTTTGTTAATTTCTGAGGCCGTTCAGAATCGGTATTTATTTTTGAATTACAACGATATATCATTGCATTTTTAGGATATAAACTGAATATTACCCATAATTTTCTTAATTTTTTGTTTAAATAAGCATTATATAATTTACAATTAAATAATTTAAACAAATTATATACAAATACACCGAATGAACTGTGTTACAATAATACCAGACTTCAAAGTCGACAAAAGCCGGAAGGAAAATAGTATTTAGCTACCTATTCAATTATAATATTATAACTAATGAAATGTAAATGTGTTTTAAAACAGTCAACACGTACGTATTATAATGAGTTACGATTGTTATTTTCTTGTGTAAACAAAAAAGGATTACACGAAATTTTGCAGAAATAAATATGACATTTGGTTTCTTTTTAGATATTTGGATGCAGCCAAAAATATGGCGTATAAACAATGTTGAAAAATAACAGATATACGAAATATTAAATACAGAGTGTTCTACAGTGTTGTATAGGTATTATATTTAATACGGATATAAATTGAGTAATAATGGTACGGGAGTGTTTTTTTTTTGTGGCCAGAATTAAAACAATAAAAAACCAACTGTATATTTTTTAAAAATGATTTTTATCAGCGAATTTTATACGAGTACTTTATATGCATGCACGATTCACTGTTTTAAACACATTATTTTTTATACTTTACTGGTTACACAATAGAATTCGTTGACGCCTAGAAATTTGCATATAAATTAATATGGCGAGGTTCTCGCAAAGATGAATCCGAATCAGCGTAATTTTATGAAAGTATTTATACTTTATACTTATACTTTGTATGCATAAATGCACAATTTTTTATCATGTAGGCACGTTGAAACGTAGTTCATAAACTTTGGGAGTGCTAAAATTATAGACACATCCTAGTCCCCAGGGAGCAATACTTTCACGGCTCTATAGTCTCTTTTAATCGACATTTATAATAAGCAGCTACAGATTTTATTTACAATTGTTTATATAAAAATTGATTATAGCATTTTTAACTTTTTTATACACACATGCGTTGTCTGTAGGTGATCTGTATTTAGTTCTGCTTATTAATTATGAAATGTATGTATAAAATATTTAGTCGATACTATATAAAAAAAGGTTTTGGGGGTGTTAAAGACCTCTAACACCCCTCTAGTTGATGGTAAATTCAGCGAAATCGAAAATAAATACTATTTATCTCGATAGATAACATTTCTTTACAAATTACAACTTACGTGATCACGTGGCATCACTAAATTTTGAATTGCAATGAAAATATTTTACCATCATAACTTCTCACCTAGAACAGTGGCCCACCCATCGTTTTAAGTTCGATACGGACATACCTTTTTTTTTGTTAGTTTTTTTACGGGCAAAAAGTCTTTGACTTCTGAAATATTCTCGTAAATTTGGTATGAGGTATTATGTGTTGTTTTTATAATCAAATTGTTCCTAACCTAACTTACTGATTCCGGTCTTGGACTTATATTTTAGGTCAGAGCCAATGTGCTAGTGATTATTGATTCCCATAATATTTACTGAAGGATATACTGGTGTTTATCGACCCCTTGATAATTAATTTTGAGGGGGGGGACGGAGATAGTTGATTTTGTTACTTATTCATATTAAATTATGACTAATATTGTTAATTTTACTACATTTTTTTTTCGATGTTCGTTTATTCTCGAGCATTTTCTTTGTCGCCAATATTCTCCATCTATAACGCTACACTATAATAATATTTGAATGCATTTTTCTTGAGGATATTTCGCAAAGTACATAATAATTGCGTAGCACATCTATTTATTACACTGTGCAGTTGAGTATTTGTGTGTGCAGTGCACATGATTATTTATCGATAAGTAATAAACGTTCGACGTTAAATAGATTATAATAATATTACGGTTTTTTTTTTGTAATTTTAACACGATCGACTGTTATTACCGACGGGCTACGCTACCGGCGAAAAAAAAAAGCGAAATGTTTGGTATATAATTCGTGTACGCTGTTATGATATTGTATGCGTACCTACATAACATTATTATACTATATTCAGTCTACGCTACGATTCATACGAATATATACGAGCATTATATTATAAATCTCACGAGTGAGCTAATAACGGCTTACCGCGGCGGTACCTATACACAGTACCCCAACCTATACGTTTTACGGTTTCGGTCTACCGGTATTTATTTTTTTTTTTCATATCACAGCCGCTAATCGAACGAGTCCGGCGGGTGATATACAAATATTAAATAATATTTGATTATAATATTATATTCAGTTAATACCGTCTAATCAGTGGTATTATTGGTGTAGTTGCATACAGCGTACGTATAATACGCTATAATCAAATATTAATCGTTACCTTTCGTCGTGTTGTTCGTTTTTTTTTTTTTCCCATTTACAATAATTATTATTATAATATAGAGTATACGATTGGGCAGGTGTATTGTGTATAGATGTAGATTATAACGATTAGCTTATTATGGAAATCCGTTTCAAAACGGCATTGATTATGGTATAATACGATAATATTATGTATACATATACGACAGTGTAACGATTTTCAAGACGTCTCGGACCGGTACGTTTCTGATGAATTTATCGTAATATAATATTACGTACTATGCAGGCTGTAACGCGGAGATCTGTTATAAATTATGTTCTGTTCAATATGTTTAAGTTTTTTTTTTTTTTTTTACTTGCTTCAGTAATTATACAAAGGGCTTTGTGCTACGATTCTTCCATTTTACGTTTCTTATTTTTTAGATTCTGAGTGCAGCGAAGAATGTATTGGTTTTACAAAGATGCTTATTATTATTATTTTTTTATGTGAACACTTTTTCTACCAGAAAGCTTACTCCGATTTATACGATGTAGACTCTTTTCTAAAAGGAGATTTTCTCGGTTAGGTTAAAAAAAAATCGATGACAACAATAGAAAATCATAGTACATAATATTATGTAACCGCGTACAACTGTTGTTTCGTTTTTGTTTTTTATATTATGCTTTATGCAGATGTAGTAGATGCACGTATTACGATAGCGCTATATCCGTGTACAAAAAAAAAAAAAAATGCAGTTTTAATACGTAATGTTCGAAGAACTAGTTTTCGGTGAAAAAAATCTGAAAGGTGGGATTGCTGGTTTCGGTATATCTACGACTCCGGAAATGGGCTGATAGAAAAGGACATGTGGTATGATTAATTATTTTAGAGAACATATTATCAACAACTATTGGAAAAAATAATAATAAAAACAAAATTTAAAAAACTCGACAAACTTGTGGTCCATGGGTGTACTCAGAGCTGTAGTGAGGTAATGATCAGAAGGTATACCGCTGTACCCCTTCTGATCATTACCTATATACATTAAACACCGTATACCTTCTGGTTATGGTCGTATACTCTCTGTTATAGTGAAATCACAAAATATCAAAAATGTACAGTTATGTATAGGTTTAACATACAATATACAATACACATCTTCAAGGTTTAAGAGCCTTAATCCAAGGTAATGAATTGATACCGAACAACTTGAAACCCATTTTAAATACAATCGCATCACTGCCATGTTCGACAGTCTCATGTTAGTCTCATGAAAAATATTATTACAAATTTGAGAGCATCACTTTTAATTTCAAACGTTTTAATCCAGTTTAATGTTTATTAAATCTAACGGCCCACTTATTGAATTGTTGAAACCAAAAATGTACTTGCGGTCGTAGCTGGAAGAGCATCGTTCAACTAATGATGACCAATTAAGAATTTGTTCAAAAAATAATTTAACAAAATTGGAATCCAAAGAACACTTTTGGACTACTTTTCAATAAAATACATTAATTTAATTAATTGAGTAAAACAAATTGTTTGAGGTTAAAATAATTATG